GTGCTGCAGGTCCCTGATAAACACGCCAGACTCGGCCGAGCTATTTTTGACACGGGTGCCCGGTATTTACCAGGATTAAAATCGATAAAGAAAACTGGAACACTGTCTTAATTCAACCCTCCTTCTCGGGACATCCTCTGCCTGTACTTACATTAGGAGTTTCTGTAGTAGAGTTTGATTCTTTATACTACGTCATTTATTTCTTAAAGTACTGGCTAATAAATGCAGCAAGCTGACTTCTTACAATCAGCTTGCTGAAGCCTGACTGCTTCCGGGTTCCGGGTTGACGGCACAGACTCTCTCAGCTTCTCAGCTTGCACAAAATCGCTTGTTTTAACTATGTAATTCCTTTTTAGACATTAACCCTAACACCCCCATCTTTTATTCAACTCATTATATTAAGTTTTTAATCATCGAGCTTGTGGATCGCCACAAAATTGAGTGGGAAAACTTGGAAGCCATGTGGTGAATCACACCACCATCATGAAACATGTTAGCAGTGTGTGAGTCCTGCCTCCCCACCGTCTCTAAACTGAGGGAGAGCATTTCTGGACTGTGAAAAGACCTCCTGGAAAAGGACAAGACCCTGGTAGATTTTTTCAGCATGGCTACAATGCAATCAAAAGTTATCGCTCACCTAAGGGCCTACGATGCAGCAGACTGGAGTTTGGCGTGCACCATTAATAACACCACCCATCCATGGACCTGCTCCATCACCACTGGGACTCTGGCAGATGCACGAGCAGACTCCCACTGGCACCTCCAAGGAGCGAGGCCCAAAACGCTCAGGAGGCGGTTCGCTCACCTCCTGCTCCTCCACCCCAGGATCTGCTGCTCGAGAACAGGTTTGACATCCTGAGCCTGCATGACTTTCCTCCCATGGGTGCCTGGTCCCCTTCCATTCATCCAGCTGGACGTGGCTCCAACCAGCCCGAGAGCCGGGTCATGCCCGCGCCGAACCAGCCTGGCTCCTGTCCAGCGTCCCAGTTGGATACGGCCGCGGCAACAACCAGGGTGGTTTTTGCTTCTTTCATCTGTTCATTTAATCTGATTTTCTTGTTCCAGTTAATCAGGTTTTAGTCTTTCTTTTTACCATTTTATTATTATTTATTTATTTATTTATTTTTCTTTATCTCCAGTGTTTCACAAAGGTAGCTCTTTCCTCACATAATGTCTCGGTGTCAGGCCATGTCTCTTAAACAATATTTCTTAAATTCTCACTTGTGTGAACTTGTGTGTGTGTGTGCTTTTTTTGTGTGTACGTGTAGGTGAGTGAGGGTGGGTAGGTGTCTGTGTGTGTGTGGGTCCATGGGTGGGTGAGTGGGTTGGGTTTTATTGCTGTTTAATTGTTGTTTTTAGCCTCTGTGAGGTACTCTGAAATACGTCTTTTTGTCTGAAAAGTGCCATACCATTAAAGTTGAATTTTGAATTTGAATCAAATCTCGAAGCCTTCTGAACTTTGTAGAACTTGAGTTCACTGTTGGCAGCTTCATTCTGATGACTGACCACTTGACAGCTTTTAGAAATCTTGCTAACTCCTCTGAATGAAGGGGGAAATGCCCCCTGCATTGTCGGGATATGCATGTCAGCCATAAAGCGATCTATAGGGTGTGCGATAGATCAAACCCTATTACACCATTAAGCTTCACTCATGTGCACTTTCACTCTAACAGCTTCCATTAAGCAGAAAGCTATAAAAAAGTCATAAACCAGCAGAAAGGTATAAATGTTATTATTGACAATATGACGGCTTTTTTCATGAGGCAGGTATGAGCTGAGATCAGGACTTTCACTGCTAACAGAGCAGAAAACTTTGACAGGCTCACACATCGACGTTATTCAGGAGGAAAATCAAACAAGCTTCTTCAGACGCCTCAGCGTGAGTTTTAAATGAAGCTACAGCGATTCAAACCTGCAGGATTCAGTCTGGCAGGACTTTCCTAATTCATCAGTAATCCAGACACAGAGAGTAAGTGAGCTTAACAGACGCTCCCTGATTTAGATTTAAATAGTGTGGGCAGAGAAAGATCTTGATGTGCACAAAAGTGGAAAATTGAGTTCTACAGGATCAGGTTTTGTAATTATTTCCAATCAAACAGAAACCTATATCAAAGTTTGAAAAGTATCAACTCGCCATTTAGAGATGATTCATTCTCTCAGCACGCTGCGCTCTGACTGGAATAATAAGGATGTCATTTGGTATTAATGTAGAGCAGATATCAGAGAAAAACCCTGCGCATCTCTAAGAAGATTACTTTGTAAAAACAAATTATGCCAGTGATATGTCAGCTAAAGCGAAATAATTGTTTTTTAATCATTGTTAATGCCTCAGGCGGCTGCTAGTTTAGTTACTTTTGCTTTGTTTTATATTTTTAATGAGGGATTCGACTCTCAGGTTCATGAGCTGCAACCAAAATAGAACAGAGAGCAGAATATGTGATAACAACTATCTGAGAGGCCTCAGGTGGCCTTGGCTTCTTTACTAACAATCTGTGGTTGTTAGTAAAGTTGGTATAACTAGAGAAGCAAGCGGTCGGCGACATTCATCTCTCGAGGGGGTGTCTAACTCGGTGTTACGGTGCGTTTGACCCTGACTTAATTTTACGCCGGAACATCCCTTTAAATGTCTTTCTTTATGGACAATAAAGATCATTCACTGTAAACCAAACACTCACATAGAAAATGATAATAAATAGCCAACATGTAGCTTAAATTAAATGAACATTAAATAATTGGACAGCATTAAATAGGCAACTGGAGAAAAATGTAACCTGGAGCTAAATTGCAAACATACTGATTGAAGTTTATTACGGTTTATCATGAAACATGGTGTTACTTGTTCGTTGTTAGTTTGATAAATTTAACAATGCGTAATTTGCCAGGATTTTTGCTGGGGCAATGGGCGCAGATGGGGCTGGAAAAGTCCCCCTTGTTCAAAGTGACGAATAATCAAAAAAAGTTTGAGAACCACTCGGTTAATTAGAATGAAATCCAGAGAAGTTTGGGCCCATAGACTGTATATAGAATGGATGCCGTTTGCGTCCTTGCCCGGTGAAACCAATCCGAGAACAGCACACTCTGGTGATGGGCTGCAATATAGCTCATAAACCCCGCCTCCTTTAGCAAAGCTTATGGGACTGTGGACAAACTCTAAAAATTAATTACACAGAATATACATTTTTCTCCCTCCTGCTTGTGATGTTGACATGTAGTTATTGTAAGACTGGTTTGTGCTCAAGTCCTCTTTTTTCTGTACAGCTCCATTTTTAAAAGTTATTCGGGGGTTCATGTTTTCTATGATTGACACTTAATACAGACTATGGGCGTACGGAGGGATAGCTAAATACGCCAATTTAAGTAGAAATAAACAAAACAACAAAGAAAAACTAACACCTTTTCTTCTTCATGCATACAGTAAAATAAAAGGATTGAACAACTTCAATACCTTACATGTCTGTTATCACTGGCAGATTCAATACTGTACTTGTGTTTAAAGGGATCTTCCTCCCTCTCTTCTCTTCAGCTCAGCAGGTTGACACTGTCATCGTGCTGATAACAAACAACAAAGTCAGTGATATTTTAAGTGAAGTGAATTTGTTAAGTTAAAGTTTTAGCTTTTTAATGCTGGTGAGTAAAGATTAGGCATGTTAGGCGAGTCAGTGGTGTATCGTAGCTGTTATGGCAGCGAAAACACAGTGAGCTGTAGATCTGTACAGAGTTTTAATTTAAAACCCAAAGTAAAGCAACTACAAGTGTGAAAGCACCTCAGACATCCTCAGGTCTCTTGTTCATCAGAGTAAAACTGCTGTGTTAACATCTATCCAAATAACCTGGACCATGAAGGGAAACACTTTTCATTTTGGAACAACTCATCCAAACGACCATGTATAACAGAATCCTTACATCTGTTTTCAGTAAGAGTGAAAATCCCATTTACAGCACCCTCTGAGCCTTTCTCTGATGACTATTCAGACTCTGGAGGACACAATTTGGAGCTTCTGGAGTAGCATCTGGGTATCTGGATGAGTGATCAAGGTCAAGTTAAAGGACAAAGACATAAAAAAGGTGTACCTGGCCAATTTTTTAATGTCCAGTTAGATTAAATACAGAGATTACCCTGAGGCTCCACCAGGAGCGGCAGTAAATCTGATGTAGGTGCATCTGCTGAATGTACTGGAAGTACACAGCGATCCTTTCCTTTGTTACTGCTTTCATACAGAAGATTCATCAGTTACATCTGTTACTGGCTGAAACTATAAAAGTAAAAATATCAGAAGTATTGTCAGTGTAACCCTAGAAATCAGTAAGTGTTCAGCAGGGAAGATACCGGGTTCTGACAGATATTGATCCATACATTGCTTGCTGTGATTGCCAGTATTTTGATCACCTTGACCTCTCTCCTGTAACCACAGAGCCCTGCTGGACATCAGCCTCTGAATTCACAGTCTTGCCAAAGTGCGGCTGTGTTTGGCTGCCCTTCCTGTGAGGTGGAAAGTGATCAATAGAGAATGACAAAAGAAATAACGAGGGTCAAATTGGAGGGTCAGCAGAGGAAGTGCATGCTCAGCTGCTCTCAAGATGAAGACAAGGAGGCCACAGCGTGTATCAGTGCCTGAGTGTACTAACTGCTGAATATTTTAGAGGGCTGCATGTGTTGAGGGAAGTAATGAAAAATTTCACTCTTGAGTGCATTAAGAGGAATCTGACTGAAGTCAGATCAAACCGAGCAGTAACGCAAGAAAATGAAAGTCCTGACCGATCTCCTCACTCCCACGGCTGATTAAGGAATTCCCACAGGGTCAATGAACAAAGCCCAGGCCAAATTACCTCAGACAGATTCAGACTGAACCCACCCATTACCTGACATGTGTAGAGACTGAATCATGTCAGTCTGACGTTGAGCTTTAAAAGGACATTAATGGATTCCTGTTTTACAGACAGAAGATAGAGGTCTGTGTTTGCATGTCACAGATGATTCTGAGTTTCTTCACAAATGCTGAGTTACAGGGTTTGTTTGATGAAATTCAGTGTATACCTTTGTGACCTCTGGGTTTATGTAACACCAGTGTTTCCCCTGCATTCATTCAGCAGCAGCACACCGTTCAAGCTTATACACAGTCTCTATAGCGAGTGGTATTAGTAGCAATAGTAGCATTAATATCAATGCGCCGGTAATGATTTCCACTCGCACACTGTGCACAACACACAATGTTATTTTTGACTGGTTTTGAGTCATCAACGAGCGCATCTATTCCTGTCGGACCCTCTTCCATTAATGTGAAGGGTAACATCTCTGATAAAATATCTATTAACCACAGAGTCCCCAATGCTGCAGCGTGAGGCTAAAGTATGAACTTGATGAAATATTCTTTTTGTTTTTTTTTGCAGTGTCCATCTGCACCATGATACTCACTTTTCATGCATCTCCCTTTACACTTCAGATCATGGCACGACAGCTGGTGGATGCTCTCATCGAGATCCACTCCAGAGGAGTTTTCCACCTTAAGATGGCCAACACTCGGGTTCGCCCGAAGATGCTGGATTAGGCTCCAGTCCCCCCGCGACCCCGGGAATGGGAATAAGTGGTAGAAAATGGATGGATGGATGGTAGGGGAAGGTCCCGCCCTCCTTTGCCTCTGATTGGCTAGAAGTGCTGGGCTCTGATTGGTTTTTCCTTATTGCTGTGAAACGTCATTGTCTGTCAGGTTAGGGTTAGGGTTAGGGTTAGTATTGGGGTTGTGGTAGGGGTTAGGAGATTTAGAAGTGCAATAATGTTCTGTAATGTTCTGTTCAATGTACAGAGCTGACAGCCCGCGTTTGGCTTTAACGTGTGATGACATTTCCAGCTTTTCTAGCCAATTAGAGGCGAAGGAGGCGGGACCTTTCCCTACCATCTGACAAAAAAATATTGCGTTTGGGACGGTGAGTCCAACTAAGACAGAATCTCAAGATAGATTTTGTTCAGGTGTCTTAACCTGCCCAAAAAGAGCTCCTGAAAATGCTCAAAAACCTTGTGTTTAACTGTTGCATTGCATTGAATAGTTGCAGCCCAGGGTACATCCTCTAGTCTTCCACTTATCCTTAAATAAACTCGACGGAGTACCAAAAGGAAGCTCAGGTCTGGTGTTTAGGGTTTAAATTAGGCTCAGGTGCACAACTGAATTGAGGCCATGATGGAGACATTAAGCTGATTTTCTAAGACTATCACAGGCTTGCAGTTCTCTCTTGAAAACACATGTGGTGACAACAGGTGGGTAGGCAAGGGAAGCTTTTAAACATACATGAACCTCAGCAATCTTTTCCCCGCTGGCCCTGGTATCGACACTGTGCATCCATTACTGCTAGTGTTCTTGACAAATGAAAGTCATTAATGAGCAGCAAAGAGAGCACCTGGTATTGATGGTTACAATCATCTTCTGGAAAGCCAAACTGAAGAGGGCAGCTGGCAGGAAGCCCTGGAGGATAGACAACTGGCTGTCAAATGGGCATGAATTAAACATGAAATCACTGATGGGCTGGACTCTTTAAAATGTGCTGAATGAAGTCAAATGTAGAAACGTGAGTCAGCAGACTAAACTTTAGTCATTCTTGTTGCTCTTTCTCCTTCTTTTAATCCAACCATTAAAAAAAACACATTCTGGTGGTGTGCAAACTTAAATAGTCATAAAGAGACTTTTGGGTTCATCATACAGATTATACTAAACTTCATCCTGCTTCACTTAAGGCCCACTATCTTTACTTTGAGACTCTATTTGTTGCCAACTTTGGTCAAACACAGCACTCAGTTATCCAGTGGTCTGAGATAAAGGACGCCCACACATGACTTACGTTGCCATTGGTTGTGATATGTAATCAGTCAAGTATAGAGCATCTTTTTTAAGCCAGCAACAGTAAGCAATAACGTTAGAGCACTGGGTATACTCATAAAGAGCAGCAAGGTTCCTCTATAAACATGCTATTTATCGGAAGACAAGAACGGCTATGTATTTTTCTTTTTTTAATGCACTGTTATCTACAAAGGTAGATTTTAAAACGCTTTCCAGATTGGGATATTTCTGAAATGCCATAGCCACCGTTGTCAACAGCAAGCCGGGGATTCCAATGAAAACGCTGATGCTACTTCATGCATACGCATTACACTAAGGTGACCAGACATCCTCTTTTACGCAGACACATCCTCTTCTCTGGGGACTGTCCGGCATGTCCGGCCTTGTCCTGCTCTGTCTCTTTATAAAATCCTTCAAATGTCCAGGGTTTTGTATGGAAGCTTTGAGTTTGTGTCACGTGAACACAAATTAACCACGTATGACCTGTTACTCCGCCCCTGAGTAGTCATGTCGTCTTCTTGGGGATTCAGAATATGGTCATCCTGTATTACACTTCTAACATGGGAACATTTAATTGCCATGCGTGAATCGGACAACAGTAGTAATGGCAGACACATTATTAATCAATTAGTTATCACGGGAAAACGATCTCTGCTATGTCAAGATAATGAAAATAAAATAATTTGTTATCAAGGGAAACCAATCTTTGTTATGTCGAGATAACGACAACAAAATAATTCATTACCAAGAGAAAACGATCATTATGTTCAGATAACGAGATAATAAGTTGTTATCATGAGATAAGAGTGCATAAAAAAGGAAAATCCAGCAGCTTGACAACTGAGTGAGTGTACAGTATACAGTATGTCAACATCTACTCTGTGCAAGAATATGGACAAAAATGATGTTTTTCATTTCCATCCACATAAAAATAAATGACTAGATGGCATTTTCCGTGACCTTAAACTCAGGGGGTTAAACAGGAAAGAGAAATCTACTTTTTCAAAACTATCCACATACGTGCCTGACCTGAGCAGAAGGGGTGACCAGGAGCATCACTGGTACCAGGTGCTCCTAGTCAGACTGATCTGAAAGCTGCTTGAACCAATAACATCACCCCAGATTCATCAAGATTCAGCAGCAGGAAATTTGAGACATCGAGCATTTTACATTTTCTGATGCAGCTCATCAGTGAGAAGATGATTAAAGGTGGTTTATTGTATTTTTTAAATCTTTTGCATTTTAATCCTTTAACTTGTTCGATGGTGGTCCATGGTTTCTGTCCTGTAATCTCTTATCTTTATTTCTCTAATTTTATTCATTAATCTATCTCTTTCTCTCTTTTTAGTCTCAGTTATCCCTCACATTTCTCATTTATTTACTTTGATTTTGATAACCCAGTTTTTAAAAGTGCTCTATAAATGAACTTTATGTTGTTTACATGTACTTGTAACACAAAGAGATAGTTAAACAGGACAAAGGGCCTTCATAATGTGGAGTAAATTTGTCCAAATGATTCAAGTTCAAACTCCAGTTCAGATAAAAAGACAACCACACTGAAGTAATTGCTTAGAAATCTAATTTAATTTGCAATTCTTCACATGTCAGTCCTCTCTTATCCTGAAAAGCTGGATTGGAAAAAATATGTGTCAAACTAGAGCTTGTTTCTCAGCAGGAAAAGAGTTTGATAAAAAATCCTGCTGTTCTTGTCTGATGTTTGACTTTTAAACCAGATCTAATGTTTTTGTTATTTGCTCATAAAAAAGTCTGAACATAGTTTTCCATCTATCATCATTTCTGGGCCACAGAACAAAGAACAAGAGGAGCAATAAACGAATGAAGTTTGAGTGATTTTCAGCGTAAATCTGTCTGATGACGCTCAGTAGACTGACTTTCTCTCATCTTCTTCATTGAGATTGATGGACACTGTCTCCTGAGTCAAATGTGAGGTGATGAGTCAACTGAATGTGGCTGAGGTGAAAATAATACTGTCATCTCCCACTGATGCAAAAACCTGTGAAATTAAGATGAATGAGCACAAGTCGTCCTCGATTTACAGTTTGCTAGAGCAGATTACTTTCATCAGCGTGACTGCTCACAGAGCGACAGAGACAGGACTGACTGACTGTACTGGAGCCACCAGGCTGCAGGTTATCCTGGGGATGTACAGAAACTAACGTAAAAAAGTGACTGTTAAAGATTCAACCGCTTTAATCCTAAAATCTAAGAGATTTCTGGAAAGTTTTCCAGCTTGAATTATCATCTAAATGCCAAACCAGGACACATCCAGCCACAGATCCAGCCTGTGGGTCATCTAAGGCTCTACTTGACTTGTTTACTCATTCTAAGTGGCATCCTTAAACTTGATTTGTATGCACGACTTGTCATGTCAGAGAAATATTGCTGAGAGCAAAAAATAATAATCACTCACTCTGCTGCATCATATTCAAATGTTTTTTTTTGCATCGGCCTGTAAATCCCTGGATTGCTGTTCCAGGCTGGAAAGCTGGACAGTCATCTTCGATTAATTAGGCCTGATCAAAACTGCACAACATTATATCAATTAGGACTGCTCCATTATGACAAAAATCATGATCATGATCAGATTGAAAAAATGAGGAGTCTATGATTCAAACCTTGGGCTGCGTCAAAACGGTTTTGTCAACACTTGGAGTCTAAAATGTGTCACATCCTGTTTCTGTAATCTCAAAATTCTCCTTGCAGCAGGGATTACTGTGACAGAAAAGAACAAGTTATAATTCATGTCTGTATTTCATTACTATTTAACTCGGATGAGAGTTTGCATGTGCTGTTTCATTGCTTTTGGAGCTTTCATGCTCGTCCTACTTTAAGAGAAAATGTTAAAAGCAGAGCGAATCAAATTCTCCAACATCAATAATACATGAGAGTCAGAGAACAAACAAGTAATCTGTTTTTATTCCACATCATATATTCATTTTACTTTTGTCCAAGCTCTGGCTCGATTCTGAGATTTCTACTCCAACAAGTTACACCTCCATCGTCTCATTTCTAGTTCAGTTAAAAACCTTTTTTTAAGCTTTATGTGATAAAATAATGAGCTGCTGTTCCCGCTGATTTATGGACCAGCTGTCAAATAAAGTCAATAATCTACAACGTCAGAAACAAAACATCTGTTAGGCATCAAAGTTCGATTAGTTTCTGTATCAGTCGAGGTCAAACATTCGAGATGATTCAGCTCAGAAAGCGTCTCCTCAGGTTTTGGTTTAAAGACTCTTCAGATCCACTTTAAACCTCCTTTTAAATTCAAAGTACACAGACATGAAGCTGGTTAATCCTCCTCTCTTGCTTAAAGGATTGTGACGAATGTTTCTTTGAATCAATTCCACCCACTACTCAAGAATACCGATCTCTTCCCGACTTTATTTTTCAGTGAATGCATCACGTCAACCTTAATGCAGTCCATTTTCCTGCCTTACTTTTGGTGTCTTTTGTTAAACCTGGCAGACAAATGATCCATCGAGCAGAATTTACTCAAGTTAAAGATCCACTTCTCTACCTTGTTCGAAGAAAGTTTATCTTTATCACCGGGGAAAAAACAGGAGTGAGTGATAATTTCTTTAAAATCTGCTTTATTCTTGTTGGAAAAGCGAACTTAACCTCAAAGTCATGAGCATCAGAGGAGCAGCCATCACAAACCCTCTCATCTATAATCCTAGCTGAACATATGGAAAACTAATTCTCATATCAATCGCAGTGGTGCAGATTTAAGGCGTCAGAGAGCTCATAAATCACCTCCTCCTGATGTGAGAGTGAGGAGAAGCCTTAGTGAAGCATTATTTACACAATCTGCTCTGGCTTTCTGCAGCCTCTGCACACTGAGCCCCTCCACAGCCTCACTGATTTATGTCCTCTCACCTTATTCCAGCTTTTTTAATGCTTTTCATAATGGCGACTGTATTTCATGGTCCAGCGGTCCAATGCACTGCTGGACCCTCACTCCATCTCCCCCAAAACTACCCACTTCAAATTTAAATTACATTTACTTTTTAATGTATTTTTCTAATTCTTGGAGAAGTTTTGCTTTAAATTGTTTCATGTTAAACACCATCAGCCAATGAGGCTTATCTCTGCTTTTCTTTTTGTGTGTGTTTTGCTTTCAAATGCATGCCCGCTGATTTTTACGACAGAGGTAAATCTTTCAAACTCGGCCTATAAGGGAGTTTTATGTCCCAAAGAGTTTCAAATAGAGGAACTTTTTGACAGAAGGTTTGACCACGCACACATGAGGGGGGAGGACCTGGGGACAATTTTCAGAGTAGGTTATGCACCAGTAGGCTGTCGTGACTCAGGATTGGCACTGAAGGATTTTCAGTCAGTTCTGCCCTGAATGCTGACTGGTGGTGAGTTCTCTTCAACTTTTAACCAACATTAAATATGATGTGGAATTGTTTGGAAATGTTCGGGGCCTGCCATAAAGACGGCAGTCATACAGGTGAACACTTGATATTGTGCTTCACATTGGCGGTGCTTTCATTGCTGCCGCTACACACCAGCCCATGCATACTTACAAGGCATGGTTGATGATTGGAGAGATTGGTAATGATTATGAACCTCGTTTATATGGCGATCACAGTCCTATAGTGCGATCTCCACAAAGTGAAGAGAAAAAAAGAAAGGAAAAAATCCATGCACCCTAGCAGCTGCAGGGCTGCAAAAACATTGACCAATGGGAGCCATCCGTCCCAGACAGCTCCTATTGGTCAATATCCCATTGGTAGGGGAAGGTCCCGCCCTCCTTTGCCTCTAATTGGCTAGAAGTGCTGGGCTCCTATTGGTTAGTCCTAATGGCTGTGAAACGTCATCTTCTGTCAGTTTAGGGTTAGGGTTAGGGTAAGGGAGAGGGTTAGGGTTAGGAGATTCAGAAGTGCAACTATGTTCTGTTCGATGTACAAAGCCGACAGCTCACATTTGGCTTGAGCATGTGATGACGTTTCCAGCTTTTCTAGCCAATCAGAGGTGAAGGAGGTGGGACTTTCCCCTACTGTCCTACAAAAAAAAAAAAAAAAAATTGCCTCCTGGCCCTCCTCAGAGCGCTGAGCGGCTAAAAGTAGCGTAGCAACTTAGCTACAGGAGCTGTAATGGAGATGGACGCAAAAACAACAACAACCAAAAAAAAACCCACTTCTGCTTGCCCCACCACCAAAAGTGCCAAGAAAACGCAAACCGACAGAAGAAAGGGTAGAGTCAAAGAGGAAATGTGACCAAGTGAGGAATGTAACTCGAATATACATTGGGTTATCCTTTGAGCAGTGGAGAAAGCTCTGCCAGGATTTGGGTCTGAAAACAGACGCCAAGACTCTTATTAGTCTCTGTAATGTCAACACAGTAGCTGTCCAGGCAGCTGCAGATGGTGCTAGCTAGCAGAGCTGGCGTTTACTGCCGATATTCACTAGAAAACCGACATGGTGAATCCTATTTGAAGCTAGCGTAGGATCCTCTGCCGGCCGGCTTCTTGCTCTGCCAGAAAGGTTGTGTCGTGGGGAGGGCGATACAGGTTGGGGGGGTAGTTATCGTGGAGCATACAGGGGAGAGGTTTGTGTGTGGTGGTTTGGACGCTTTTTTTCAAATCTGCCTCAACGGCTCAGTTTTTTTCAACTGCTTCTCAGATCGTCAACCATGCCTTTAAATGAAAGGGTTAAAAAAGTAAAATGAGATTTTAAGTACTTTCTTTTTTGATGCTCATGCATAAGCAAGATGCTTTCATGATCAGCAAGTTTCCCCTCACAGATTTTGCAGGTAGCTCTTTTCTTTGCAACTGCCATTTTCGTTGTAGGTTTGATTTGATTGCCTGTCACTTCCAAACTGCTGTTTTGCATGTGCCACTCTCAGCAGAGAGATTGAGGAGGCTCATTTGTCTGCAACTCAAAAAAACAACAACTCTGGAAATCAATACAAATCCCTTGTTGATCATGCAAAACAGGATCAACACCTGATGTGACATAACAGACTAATTACAGACAAATCATCATCATCAGTTTTTGCTGATGGCGTCGACGTACCGTTGCACCCTCCCCGGTGTGAAATGGATAAAGGCTGAGAAAGTGTGATCACAGAGGACTGAGGAGGATCATGATGTGCAAGGATGTATTTTATTCTGAATTTTACAGGAAGTTAATGAGGTGATGCAAACAGCGGCAGTTTTGGGACTAAAAGCTGTTTTTTGATTTGTTTGGCGGAGGCTCAGGAGGAAACCAGGTTTTTATAGACCTCCAATCTCTGCTAATCTGTGCTGATGAAACAGATTAAACACATATGACGAGACACTCAGTGGGTTTCTCTGCCGATGACGCAACCCTCCCTGCCACCCCCTCCTCCCACTGCAGGATGAGACACATCCACCCCCCTGCAGAAGAACATTAACCATCAGCACACGTCTGAGCGCGCTCTGTTTTTTGTTTTTTAACGCCCGGCCTATCCCTGCTCTGCTCTCAACAGGATATGAAAGATGAGGAGATCACAGACGGAGACGGGCTCAGACCCAAAGCAGACACAATAGGAGCGATGGCTATCAGCGCCGCTGGGGCCCGTGAGCCGCTGGTAATTCATGACGTACCAGGAAACTTATTTAGCCGCGCTCCTGCCTGGGCCATTATTGCAGACAGCAAATAAGCAGCAGGGAGGAGAACATCAGTGCAGATGGATTCACTCGCTTTCTGGAGGAGAGGCTGGGAAACAGAGCGGGGGATGATGAAAGGCTAACAAGCTCCCAGCATTAGGAAACACATGCAGAAAGTAAAGGGCTGATGTCGTTTCCATTTCAACATCGCAGGCTTGTTTAAGACATGATTGAGTTTCCTCTGGAGAGAGAGGGGAGTGTCCTCAGATCACTTTTAAACCCTTTTTCTGTCCCCCTCATGTTGGCTGAACTGAGTCCTCTGAGGATCCAGCCTCCAAAACCCAGAGAGAGGAGAGGAAGTGATGCAAATGTTGATAAATGTAATCTGATTTGACTTGATTTACAGACCTGATGTCACAGTAATGAGCTTAACGAGCAGCAGTGAGTAACTCCACTAACTCCATTACTCTGATAGGTGGAGGTAGTCTGATCTGGGCTGCAGGGTAACAGCAGGATTACTGCAGGTACTCAGGACTGAACGCAGTAATACTGCATGCACTGTACTGTGAACGGCTGCTTTGCATGCTGGGATTCTTCTTTACAGGTCACAATGAGTCATTTAAAGAAAACAGTGGTTTACTGTAAAGCTGATAAATGTGGACTGATATGACCAACTGAGCAATAGACGGCTATTAAGGTCCTTACAGACCGGGAGCGTTTTTTTCGTGCGATTATTTCAGGCATCAATATATTTTTTTTGAACCCGTATCCTGTCAATACAAGCGTTCACATCGGCGACATTTTCCCGTCCTGCGACATTGCGGCATTTATTTTTTTCGTATCACGGTCAAATTTTGTAAAGTTTCGCATACTGTGTGTCCACTTCTGACCAATCAGATTGCACATTGTTGCGACTTCTGATTCACCTGTATATTCAACATGGCCGACCGGCTGATTGTTTACGTGTCGGAGAACAGAGTGCTTTATGACCCGAAGGACAACTTGTGGAGAGTCATAGTGTCGGATCTCTTATATGACGATAGTTTGTGTGCTTTAACAGTTTGCTAAACGTCTTTCATCTGTGCTAAGTAACTTTAGCTCGTAAGCTAACCTGTTCAGATACAACATACCATATGTATTTTCACTGCCTTAAACTCAATCGCGTTGCTGTCACAGCACCATTAGGTCTTTGTTGTTACCTTACTTTTATGGATTATAGTTTAATGTACTAAAATGGTACTGGCCCCGACTCAGTACATGCTATCATGACAGACAGACATCTCAACACTAGTGTCTAATCAGAACTGAAAAACAGTCAGTCTGCTGTTGTGTCAGTCTTCTCGCTTCCACTCGGGACGCATCTTTTTCCCCCCCAGAAAGTTGCAAAATTGCATCACGCTTGATGTGTATAGTCAGGCGCGTCAAAATTCGCCTCAGAATATTTCGTAATTTCGTGTCGTATATTTGCATCTTTCTCGGTGTGTAAGGACCTTTAGATGTCTAGTTTTTTTGTAGACCTAATTTCAACCGTCTCGATTCTGTATATTTTAAATGGAATTTAGACGTTGCACTTTAACCCATTATTCGATAACTATTTATTTTAAAAAACCACTGTGAGTTGCATAACCGATCTCCAAGTACTAAACCAAAATAATCATGATAGCTGTTGAGCAAGATACAGTGTAGTATAGATATAGCCCAGATTTAGACGTCTAAAAAACTTTCATTTTTAGACTTGTGGTAGCTACTGTGGTATCCTGATTTTAGACCAGTCATCTAGGCTACATTTAGACGTTTGTTAGACCTCTTTGAGACCAAAAACTGCTCAGTGGGGGTGGACTATGACTTATGCATCACAGCGACTTTGTTTCCACCCTGGCCACCCCTGTCTATATCAGAGCTCAGGTCAAAAAAGTCTGGACACGCCCCTGCAGATCTGCACAGAGAAAACAGTACCGTATTTTTCGCACTATAAGGCGCACCTAAAATCCCTTTGACTTGTTGGAGCACTGCAGCTACCATAGCAGAGTTATTGACTGTTTATTTGGCTTAATGCACTTTATAACCCAGTGCACCTTGTGTATGAAAATAGACGCGTTCATTGATGGTGCGCCTTATAATCAGGTGCGCTTTACAGTGCGAAAAATACGGTATCTCTCTGCTGGTTTTTAAAGATTATGGAAATAAACATGGAAACAAACATGAAAATGACTTTTTTTCTATTATGTTTTTATTGTTTTACTGTTGGTAATAAAGGTTATTAGATATATAAAGCTATTCAAAGCTCATTTCCTGTGGTTGTTTTATGGTCATAACTTGTTACAGTTTTCAAAACACAATATAGTTTGAATCTAAATAAAGGTTCAAGGCAAATAACACAGAGACATCTCTGCTACCCCTCTTAGGTCCCCAATTTTTTAGCAAGAATCTCACCCCGGATTGCTCATTGGGTACAGCACACAGTGTTAAACGCTGCTATCATTTAAAAAGAAGAGACAGATCTTTTAGGAAAACTGTAAAACTCATATTAAAACACAGTTTAAAGTTCCTAAATTGTTCTACAAATCAAATGTTTTAATTGCATGTTGGATTAACATCAACAAAGCATATTAAAAGAGCTCAGAGTAATGAATGCAGAGGTTGTGGTGGAAGTGTAAAAGTTTGCAGACTCTGTAGGTGAAATAAAAACTTATGAATAATTTGGTAAGTATCCATTTTATGAGTCAAACAAAGCAAATGTGTTTGTTGATTCGACTAGTGAAGAATAACAGTAATAGTCTATGGTTAAAGTGTGAACCTAATGAGGCTGAGCTTTGTGTCTGTTAAACACTTTAATCCCAGTTATCAGTTCTTCTGTTGTTTCTTTGAGGATCATGTTCTAACTTTTTCTGTAATTATTATGGATCAAAATGCATATCCTCTTTAATGCACCACATAAGATAAAAACATTTTTTTCAATACAAATCCTTATAAATAAAGCACACTTTGTGTCGACTTCACTGCTAACAAGCCGTAAATGATGCAGATCCGTTTAGAGACACCTCTGTTGAATCAAACGCACATATCCCATCTACTGGTCGGCAGAGCCTTGAATATTCAGAGAATAATGACATAAAGAGCCTTTGTTATCACTCCCATAAAATACAACGAGCACTACTTATTGATCCATTACAGAGAGGATCTAAACTAGCAGAGAGAGTTATTAGTGATTTGGTTTTTAACCAACAGCTTCAGTCTGATTAGTCAGTTTAAACAACACTAACAATAATAAAGACGTTCCTTTGCACAGATTCATGTTGGACTGCAGGAATATTAGATTCTGGGGTTATGTTGTCTGCTCAGCTGTGCCGTTATACATTTTAATGGCACTTTACAGAAAGAGCAAATTAAAACTAAATGGCCCTAAAATACAAACATTTCCCACTTGTGTTGCTGATAACTTCTGTTTAACAGCAGCTGCCAGTATGCTGATACAAAAGATTTAAAGTCTTATTAAGTACAGTTTGTTCTCTGCTGTTACTTACAGACTTTCAAGACCAGCATCATTTCAGAAAGATCATTTTTCCTGTTAACAAGAAAAGTTCTACTGTTAAGTTTCTGATTTTGAATGAGTCCCTGTAGCTTGATTAGAATATAAACATTGGAGCATTATTATTCTGATTAATACTGATTATTCATAATTATCACCAATAATCTGACATCTTCATCACACACATTTACACAACTTAAATCTTCTTAAAACTTAAAAACTCTCTCTTTCTTTTTTTTTTTACAAAGGCATGTCTGTCTGACTGGATAATATGTCATATGTGCTGCTACTAAAAAAGGACCATGCATCAGAGAGGGAGGGACCACAGAAAGGACATAATGGAGGGAACACAGCAAGTGACTCAATACAGTCTCAGCGGATGACTGCCTAGCATGAGTCTGGTCCTGCTCGAGGTTTCTGCCTGTTAAAGGGAGTTTCATCTTGCAACTGTAACTTGCTAAATGCTGGTAAGTATTTGGCTGGTGGAAGATTAAGATAGGAAAGAGAGGGTCTGATCCATCGAGATGAGATTTCCTCTTCTAGATGTAGAGTTAGAGTTAGGGTGAGTTTGTTGAGTTGTTGTGAATTGGCTCTCGATAAATAAGATTAATTGATTGAATTATACTGTAAATAATAAAAACTGCCTCTGGCCACTTTAAAACTGTATCTCTGAGACTTTAGACTTTTAGACAATAAAGGAAGAAGATAAACCAGGTGCTGGAGTGCCACGGATAGTTTATTGGGTCATTCTGAGATATTTCTTCACAGTAGGTAAAACCAGGTACAAAGACTCACTCTCCTTTTAAAAATGTAGTAAGTTTGTAAATGTGGTGATTCCGTTTTTTTTCTTTTTAAGCTCCTGCAGCCACAGTGTTGATAAATACAGATGCTGGTTATATGCCTGAGTGGATGAAAAAAATCTGAACGGTGTCTCTGTGACTGTTGAACTTATTTGTCTGAGGGAGTGAGGAGGCCTCCTATCCCCCACATGTAAATGGAGAACAAAGGAAACTCTCTGGATAACAGAAAGACACGCTGTTCCAAGTGGCTCAGAAAGCCCGACTGATCCAACCCCACCTCCACCCGATGTGGTACATTTGACGTCTGCAGGAGCTGCTCCACGGTGGAGAACAGAAAGTAGGAGTTTTGGTACTGGTCCACTGGAAACAGGTCGAGCCCGGAGTTCTCCTGACCCTAAAACCAAACATCAACAACAGAGACACTTAATTCATCTGTACTCACATCTAATAATCTGCTTATGCCAGTGCAAAATAAACGCGGTTAGTGTGCACAGGCCCTTACTGTATTTGTCCAGCTGCTAATGCTGCGTTCCAGTTACCTCGGACGTTGGATGTCGGAGCTGGGAATGACGTTACACCCGAGTTGACGGCGTTCCAGTGAACAAGTCAGAAAACCAAGATGGATGCCTACAGTTACCTGTTGTTTACAATTATCAGCTGTCGATAGCGGTTGTCAGCTGTTGTCAGCGATACCAGTTGTAAACAACGCATAACACAGTATTTTACTCTTACAAACATCATAGCACTGTGTTCACAGTTAGATGTTGGGCAGTACAACATAAACCACTTATTCAATTTCACAAAAACAAAACAGAAGTACTAATAAATAATATATTACGAGAGCTTTCACCGTTATTCTTTACTGTTGATGCACTGCGCTGCCATCTCGGAATATGACGTTGTCCTCAAGTCGGGGTTGGTGAGGATTGTCCGACTTAAGATGAATATCTGACTCGGAGCTCGGAAATCTCGACTTCCGAGTACAATTGGAACACAGCACAAGAATGCTTTGCTGTGATTGGACAATGTTAGGTGAGCTTTATAAGCGTCAATATTTGAATATTTGTCAGGGTTTTATCTGCCAGCACCTCAGTTACTCTGCAAAGTCAGTTTGATACTGGGGTTCTGGAGAACGGTGGTTTGGGTTGCGAAACTACAGAGCCATGAGGTACGCTGTCTTTGAGAAGAACCACTTCAATATGTTAAAAGCTTATTTGGAATATTTCTGTTTTACTTTCCATTCCAGTCTCATGTTCTGCAGCTTCAACTACTGGAACCAGACTAAGGCCCCGTCTATACGTACCCGGTTATTTTTAAAAACGGAAACATTAACCATCGTTTGCACCCTTCGTTTAGATGCAAACGAGATTCGCCTCTGAAAACGATGCTTTCTAAAAACTCCGGCCAGAGTGGAGATTTTGAAAAACTCTGTTTCCACATTTGCATGTAAACAGAGAAAAACAGAAATTTGGGTAGCTGACGTCAGATTGTGTGCTGGAAAGAAGGAAGTGACGTTGTTGTTGCTGCAGCTATGCAGGATTCTGATTGGCTAACATGGGCTTGAGCTTCTCTTCAGGTTTAGCATGCTCTTGAAGGCATATATAGACAGGTTAGTGTAAACGACAACTTTTCTGAAAACGTAGTGGTGTGCACGCAGTTTTTTTTTTTTGTAAATGGAGAGGGTGAAATGTCCATTTATGGTAATAGACGGACATTTGATACCTGGACACATGTAAATGTAGTCTAAGTTTCATTTATCGGGCTGTTCCTCTCAGCCCACTCCTACAGGATCCAATCAGATTTTTTACGACGAGTGTATTGTTTGAAGAGCCTCTACATGCATGTCAGCTTGTCTCCTTTCATTTGCAGCCTGTATTTGTCAACCCGCTGACTCAGGAGTCCCTGGATTAACAAACCCCCAAAGGTCTCCTTCCTGCAACAGAACAGCCTCCATCCTCTCCCCGGTGTTGACTAACTGGATGTTGGCCTCCTGCCATCCTGGGCATAACTCTGAGCGTCAGCCTCCACACAGCAGCTCTAAATCCTCACATGTTGAACATGTCATAACTTCCTACATCATCCTGGAGGTCAAGCAGCACAAATAACATCTCTGCTGGGAGAAACTGCAGCCAAGATTCAGAAATTAAAGGAGACCTCAAAAGAGAGAGAGGAGAGAGAGAGAAAGAGAGTGAGAGAGGGTGAAGTGTTACACCAACAAACAGTGGAGCAATCCTTCAGAGAGGATGGATTGATAGATGATGCAACCTGCTGCAAATACCTGCAGAGGCTCTTTAACAAAAGATGACAACACTGATGTATGAGGAGCAAGGTGTGATTGTTTTCAGAGCACGCTGGAGTCGGGTTCCTCCGACACGCCGACATTACAAACCAAATGTTAATTATTCACATAAACAGGAGCGGCTGGATCCCTTCCAGGCTGAATCTTGAATGTGTGTGTGTGTGTGTGTGTGTGTGTGTGTGTGTGTGTGTGTGTGTGTTGTTTTATCGAATGTGAAAGTTTGTGTGTGCGCGCGTTTGAGATATGTCACAGGGAAAAAACAACCGCCAGATGGCTGTCAGGTATTCCTCCAGGGTTGGGCTTTCAGAGAGCTGACAGGATGTGACAACAGCACCCCTTAACCCCTCACAAACACCTTCACACTAACACACACTAACGCACACCACTTCCACCCCATCAGTGCTGGGTCACTCTGCTCTTTGTTCTGCAGAGGCTCAACACCACTTTCCTTAAATCTCACTATTCACCGTTTCAGTTAAGACTCTTGGAAACTTTATTTTAGCTCCACTTCAAGTTCTTCTGCTGACACCATCATGATTAATGACTTAAATCTGTAATCAATAACATTTTTCAGCCTCTTTGCACAGAGTGTCAGCCAGTGTTAACTTCACAGCTTCTGAGACTTTAGGCCTCCGGAAAGTTAGAGAGCTGGGGGGCTGTTTCGATAAAGCATGGTTCAGAAATCCCAGCGGACTGACTTCATCTGGCGCACGTTTACCAAACCAGGATGGAAAGGTGTCGCTCTGTGAAATCAGATGTATGTAAGTTGTTCATGCTGCAATAACTGCGCGGAGAGGTCAAAAAAGATGGACTATCCATTCATCCATCATCTTTACCATTTTTCCCCTTGTGGTTGGGGAGGGGCTGAAGTCAATCATGGCTGCCATTGGGTGAGAGGCAGGGTACACTCTGGGCATGTCCCCAGTCCATCACAGGGCTGGCACTCTGAGACTGACAACCGTTCATGCACACACCCACATCTACAGGCAATTTAGAGTGACCAACTGTGACTGTGGGAGGAAGTACCTGACAGAACCCACACAACTTTACGAGACGACTTTTTTTGTTTTGTTTTTAATGGAAAAAGAAATAAAAGAAGCTGGTTTGGAGGAAAGTAAGCGAGAAAGTCAGATTATCTGTTTCACCCAAAGCGAGTCAGCAAACAACTTTATAAATGTTGGCCTGAACTAGCTCTAAAGTAGGGTGACCATATTCTGACTTCTCGAAAAGAGGACACGACTACCAGCTTTTTTGTTGCGGGTCGGATCGAGTGTCTTACGCGCTTCTAACTCAGTAAGTCCACGTGACACGAAATCGAAACTTACGTACAAAACCGAAGGATTTTATAAACTTCCCTGGACAAACCTGGACAGCCCTGAAAAAAGAGGACATGTCCGAGTAAAAGAGGACGTATGGTCACCGTATATAAAGTGTCACTGTGCAAGAAAAAGTTAACCACTGTTGTGCAGGGTTTTCTCTTGGGCTTATATCTAACTGAACTGACTACCACAAAAGAGCGGTCGCCCCCTGCTGGCCACAAAAAGTGTGCACTTTTTATGTCCAGCAGGCACTTTTCCATTGGTTTCAATTTTCAGTCTGGAAAAACAGAACTCAATCAATGCTACAAACTTAAGTTTTACTTGGTAATGAAGGGAACATACAGCACATTTACTCTCCATATATATATGCATTTTGTTGCCATTAAGGCTATCATTAGGAAGTCCCAGCAGGCAGCCTGACTCTGGGGTCTCATATATTCACACTTTCTGCTGCGGAGGCTGTCAACAAGATGGAAAGGACAGATTTCATGAGAGCCAACACGTGGAGGGTGGACTGCAGTGTGACGTGAATCTGCAGATCATCATTAAAATGATAATTATCTATCTCTCTATCCATGCACACATGCTAGATGTTGAGACGTACTGTCTCTGCAGCACATTTCACCGCTTGGAGAGGTCGGCTGATCCTTTAAAAACCAACAAACTGGGAGAAACATGAAATTAAATGAAGCTGCAACTGAGGGAATTAAGTCTTATTTCATGAAGGATTTACCCGATTCAGAATGTGAATTAAACAGTGCAAAATCCATTTGCTGCCTGCGCTTTTGATTAGTATGCAGACTTGCTTGTTTTACAGCAGAAAAGAAACCAAAACTCAAGACATAGTGGAAAGATTTCTGTTCCCAGGTCCCAGCAGCGCTGAGATATGAGCCAGTGGAGCTGCGGACTGTGACTGACTTATTACAGTGACGTCCAGAGATTCATCTATGTGCTGTCCAATCACTGATTATCCAATCTGTAAATGTCAGAAAATAATGAAAAATGTGTATTTCTTTTTTCTTCTGCATGAAATGTTGAATTTAAATGTTGTTTTTTAAGTTTAAGTCAGAAACCAAAAGAAATTCAATACATAAATAAGAGTAAAACTCAGATTTGACTTTTGTCTTGATCAGTAAAATGACGTGTTTTTACTTTGTGCTCAGTTGCGTAACAATCAAATATGAACACTAACGGTAACGTTCACCACAGATAAGCAAGCATTAGCCTAACATATCGTGGGATAGTCTTCTTAAGATTGCAAACTTCCTTATCTATCAAACTTTCACAAACTTAACATCTATGAAACACTTCAACATATACCAGTTAGTGTGTGAACATCATGTAACAGCCAACGCGCTACAAAGGATTCAGACAAAGAATGTTTTGACTTCACTGGGTGGAACCGTCTGAATGTATTTTATCAGCTAGCATCAGCAAGTATCGGACCAATACATCAATTCTTCGATACATTGCGATGCGACACGTGACGATTGATGATTAAAGCAAATATTCAGAATCGGTTATTCCAGCACCCAGAAGTTGGCCGGAACCAAAAAAGCCGCCCTGACAGTTTTGAGGGACAGACTCATAACATACTGTTAGCCAACATAGTGGCAGCTAACTGGCTGGTTGCTGTCAATGAGCGTAAGTTCAGGCTTTAAGTTTGAAATCCAGTGTGAGGTGGAATTTCACTTTAGGGATCAATAAAGTTATTTTTCTTCTACTTCATTTTATGTGAAAGATTGAATTCATTGCATTCTAATCCTGTTCATCTGCCACCTATTTAGATTTTAAGCTGCTTTTGGTTGTGGATAGCAAAATGTTATATTGTTGTTTGATGCTATACTTTGTTTAGAAGTCGTTACCACTGAGGTGAAGTTGTTATTCTTCTTTATGTTACATCAGAATAAGGCTGAACAAGATAATGGTTATAGTGCTTTATGTGATAAAAGGAGCTTTTTGTTGTGAAAAAGTATTTGATCATTGGTCTACGAAAAATAAACATGATAAACACCTATAACTCTGTGGACCATCCGCCGATTACAACCTCAGATGGCAACGCTCTGCAAGAGGTCAATGACTTCAGATACTTGGGTTCCTGGGTGAACTCCACTGAACAGGACCTTAAAGTCAGGAAGGCACTTGCCTGGAAGGCCCTGAACGGTATGTCAAGACTGTGGTGCTTGAATCTCTCGAGACACATAAAGCTGAACCTATTTCACGCCACTGTGGAGTCCGTCCTCATGAATGGCTTTGAAAGCTGGACCCTGACACCCACCCTGCCGAAGTCCCTGGATGGGTGCTACACCAGAATACTACGAGCTGTTCTGAATGTGGACCAGAACATCCACATTACCAACAAGGACCTGTAAGGGCAGCTGCCAAGGCTCAGCAAGAAGGTAGTATCTAGGAGGATGAGGCGTGCCGGACACTGCCATAGACATCAGGAGCTCCCGGCCAGCAGGCTGGTCCTATGGGAACCAACACACAGGCACTGTTCGTGAAGACGTTCAGCGCTAACGTATGTAGACGTCCTGAAGAACGATGCGGGAGCTAAAAGCTCTATGGAGCTGGCCGGGTGTATGGAGAATCGGGAGGACTGGAGACTGTGATGGAAGCTTGTCTGAGGACGACCGAGAGAGAGAGGTGGATTTGGTTATTTTGTTGAATGGATGCTGACAAATTTAACTTGTTCAAAAGAAATCTTGTATGGCGAAAAAGATGCATCAATAATCGTGATAATCACAATAATCATAATAATAGTTACTTAAATAATTGTGATAGTCATGATAATTGAAAAAGTTGTTACAATCATTTAACCATTGAATCGTTGCACCCTCAATTGTAATTGAATCGAATCATGAGGTACCTAAGATGGCACACCCCTAGAGATGCAGTAAACAAGTAGTTCAAACCACAACATGACCGTTGATTTGTACTTTATTTTTACTGCAAAGTAGATTAAAGTGAGCCCGGTTCATACTTTATGTGGTCCAACGCTCACTCTCATATTAAAGCTCTATAACATATCCTGCATTTTGACTTATTCTCATCTGTTTCCTGCTGCAGTGATGCAGAAATCTCCTCAAACTACCCTCAGCCTGAAGTTTTACACTCAGCTGTGTGGGGCATTTATTTACCTCTATGTGTGATTGTGTAGATCTTCAGCTTTCTAAACAGCCATTACCAGCAGTCCCCTTTGACAAACACATAAAACAGCATCCAGGAGGTGGAGGTGCTTTATGTCAGTCAGGTTAGTTAAAAGGAGCCCAGGAGTCCAGGATATTCTTACTTTAATCCCAAGCCTGTCAAACAGTCAGAAGCCCAAAGAATTTATGAAGCCATGAGACGGAATCAATGGACAGCAAAAATCAATAACTGGAACAAAAACCTGGTGGGAGCTGTGATGGAGCGTCTGTGGAGAAAACACACAAACTACCTGTCCACAGGGGCAGGAGACAGGAACATAAAAACCTGACACTGAGCAGGGACTGCCGGTCTCCTGACACGCAACCTGCTTTAGAAACCTCACCACGGTGCGGCAAGTCATACTGCCTCAGTTCAGAGTCTGAGGTCAGCTGAAAAAGTGCTAACACCTGCAATAAGACCAGTGATGTGACACTGTCAAAAAAACTGTAGAGACCTTTATTGATATGACAAAGACAAGCAATGACAAACTAATCACTGATATTCAACCTTTGCTATTTTTGCTGCTGTTCACTTAAACAGCTCCACGTCAAAACCTCTATGTTGTTAGGTATTAAAGGCATGATTAACCATTGGAGAGATTGGTAATTCTTACGAACCTCGTTTATATGGTCCTATCATGGTCCTATAGTGCAATCTCCACAAAGTGAAGAGAAAAAGGAATGGAAAAAATCCGTTCACTCTAGCAGGTGCAGGGCTGCAAAAATGTTAACCAATGGGAGCCATCCGTCCCAGACAGCTCCTACTGGTCAATCTCCTGCTCCGCATCTCCATCCAATCACCTCGCTGTATTTGACACACCTCTCTCCTGTAGTTCTGACTCGTCCCCTCCCACTCTCCTGGCGCTCTTCGGAGCGCTGAGCGGCTAAAAGTAGCGTAGCAGCTTAGCTACGAGAGCTGCGATGGAGAAGGACGAAAAAAAAAAAAGAAACACTTCTGCTTGCCCCACCGCCAAAAGTGCTAAGAAAACGCAAACCGACCGAAGAAAGGGCAGAGTCGAAGAGGAAATGTGACAAAGCTAGGAATCTAACTCAGGTCATCCTTCGAGCGATGGAGAAAGCTCCACCAGGATTTGGGCCTGAAAACAGATGCCGAGACAACAGAGTTTTTATTGAACAGGTAATTTTTTCCTTTTATCGTGGCACATGTTACATAAATAACTCTCATTAGTCTCTGCCATGTCAACACGGTAGCTGTCCAAGCAGCTGCAGACGGTGCTCACTAGCAGAGCTGGCGTTTACTGCTGCTAGTCACTAGCAATCGGACATGATGAATCCTATTTGAAGCTAGCGTAGGATCTTCTGCCGGCCGGCTACTTGCTCTGCCAAAGGGGGTGTGTCGCGGGAGGGCGATACAGGTTTAGGGGGGAGTTATTGTGGAGCACAGAGGGGAGAGGTTTGTGTGTGGGGGGTGGGATGCTTTTTTCAAATCTGCCTCAACGGCTCAGTTTTTTTCAACTGCTTCTCAGATCGTCAACCATACCTTTAACAAAAACACAAGTGTGCAGAGCTCCAAATAATTTATTAAATAAAGGAGTAAACTAGGAACAACTAAAACTTTCTTGGAAAGAAAATGCCCAACTGAAAAAAAATCCAAATCCAAAGACAACTGGAGAAGAAAATCCAAGGAATCAAAGGCACTGGGGAAAACCACAAGGAGATCAGGCAGGGTTACATGAACAAACACAAATTGACACAATGAACCAGCAAAGAGGGAAGGCTACACTGGGACTAAATAGACAGGGTAACAAGTAACAAGACGCAGGTGAGACTCTGGGACACAAGTGCAGACAATCACTGAGGAGGAAAAACACGGTAAGTAAAATTAGACTAGACACAACAAGGAGTGACTACTACAAAATAAAACAGGACTGTCTTTGGACTGTTGTTTCCCTTTGACTCATGATAAAGACACGTCCAGTCTAAAGTAGGCTCAATGTATGGAGGGGGCTTCTCCGATGGTGGCATCATGTTCATCCTCATTGTTGCGTTGGACAGAGGACAAAAAGTTGAACCAGAAGAAGAGAAGTCAAATAAAACAGGACAGACTGGTTCAGAGATAATGACGTTAGATGAAGTGATGTTTGGCCCATCTGCATGTGTCCTTTTCTAAATGAGAGGATGAAACAGCAGGACAGACTGATGGAGCTGTCTGCTCGCTTGTTAGCGCTCCTCGGGGATCCGACGGGCCGAAGGCTGACAGTGATGCCGTTTGCCGCTGCCTTTTAATAATGCTGATAAACTACCAGCTCAGTCCATGCCAGCTACAGGACAGCTTTTCACTTTCAGGCCAAAGCGCAAAGTCAAATTCAACTTCATGGCTGACATCACTCCCTCAAGTGTGCAAAAAAAAGATGCTAAAGGTGGGATGTGGAGGCTCAGGTGAGGCGGAGGTTGAAGGGAAGGTTATTTTTGTAAACGAGTTTCAAAGTGAGCGTGCTCAGAAGTTCTGGCTTTGAAGCTTGGCAACAGGATGCAGTAGAGTCGGTGAAAATCTGCAGGAGGCTGCACCTGTTACACAGAGGCTCATGCCCTACAAATGTGCCCTCAGAAGGTAATAATTAGCCACCCGGAGAAAGAGTTCATTAGGAGTGAACACAATTATCTGTTTGTAGGGAGCAACATGATCACAGCTGCTGTTCTCAGTCCTCAGAGTTTAAGGTTCTGTGAATTTATGTCCAGTTACACGTACATATGTTTAATTGGGGCTGTCAAAATTGACGCGTTAACGCATATTAATCCATCATCGTGATGAATCTGATTAAATTTTTTTACTCAATTAACCCACCTGCAGTGCAGAATGACACAAAATTCCTGAAACATCTTGCATGAGCAAATTGGCAGTTTATCCGGTAGTGACAGGCTGCAATATGGAAGACGGTAAACAGCATGTTCGCTTTATCGATAAAAAATTGGAGTACAGAGAAAAACCATGATGGAACCGTCGGCCAACATTAAGTTCTTCTATCGTGAAACACCACATGAACACAAGGCATGTAGTTGGGAATTCATACAGATTTAATTGCGATTAATCGAAATTAATCCACAACAACCCTGTGATTAACCTGATTAAATATTTTAATCACTTGACAACACTAGTTTTAATGTTACAGTTTAAAGTAGAAGGTGCTTTTGTCCAAAGTGATCCGCATCTACATCAGAAAGAAAGTTCAACTGAAGCAAAGATATAGATGGAAGGAAATAACTTGACACACAAACTGCCTCAAGTGTGAGTGGATAGAGTTCTGCTAAGAGGGTGTGTGTCCAGGGTGTGTTAATAACATAGTATCATCATCACCCCACCAACTCCACAATATATCATCAGCATGGAACCACCATCATTAGCAGCAGATAGATGGATAATTAAGAAATTAAAAGTGTCTTGGAAGTAGAAAGGACTGGTTCGATCAAAATGGGTTGGGTAACTCATTCGACCATTGTGGACTACAGGGGAGAGGAGTCTGGTCATTGACCTGAGGTTTTGTTGAAATGGGAGGACCAGGCGCCTTTCATTGGTCGAGTGTAGTGAGCAGGAAGGAGTGCAGGTAGACAGGAGCTGATTTTGTGAGCACATAGTAGGGCTTTATACTGCATTTGATGTGGGCTGATACTGAAAGCCAGTGCACAGATTTGAGCAGTAGAGTGACCGGCTGTTTTGAGCTGGTTAAAAACCAGACCAGCTGCTTTAATTCTGGACCATTTGCAGAGGTTTGACTGTGTACAGGTAGGCCTGCCAGTTAGGAGTTCCAGTAGTCAATGAGTGATATTAGGAGAGCTTGTACCAGGAGCTGTGCTGTGTGCTCTGTCAGATAGGATCTGATCCTAATGTTACAGAGGGCGAATTGGCATGACTGAACAATCAAAGCCACATGAACCTGAAGATTAGTTGGTCATCCGTCATGACATCCCTATGACTTCATTGGCATTAGTTCATTTGATACAAGCTGGATCTCGATCTGTGGTAAAATGGAGGGACTGGCTCGGATGACAAGTTTTGGACAGTTTGAGGTGAAGGTGGCATTTCTTCATCCATTTAGAAATATCAGCGACACACGATAAAGTTGGGGCTTAACAATCTTGTCATCTGGTGACAGGAAGAGCTGGGTATCATCTACATAGCAGTGATATGAAAAACCACGAGAGCAGATATTTGCACCAAGTGAGGTGGTATTTATTGAGAAAAGGAGGGGACTTGACACTGAGCCTTGAGGCATCCCATTGGTAAGTATTATGGTTTGGACATGCCTCCCCTCCACGATGCTCTAAAAGACCTTCCTGTAAGAAAGGACTCAAACAACTGGAGGACAGACTAAAAATTGAATAATGTCACAACAAAAGCTGCTACATAGTGAGATACTTTCTCACTAGATGTGGTCCTTTTAAATCTAACTTGAAGACTTGAGCCTAGCATTTCTTTCAGAAGTGGAAAAACCTGGCCCAGATGATAGCTGATGGACTACAAGAATGCCCCTAGCACTTAATTAGCACTTAGGCTTAATTAACAAACCCACCATACAACACGACGATAATTCAACAATTAACGGATGAACTGCTGTTAGGGTTGGCTCCAACATGTATGGTTCCCTGGAAATTAAGCCTAAATGCTTCAGAGATGCCCTGAGATTGTATCAGACTCCACTCTGCTGTTAATAACACTGTTTTTTCAGAGAAATACTAACAACATATGGTGTACGCCATTAAATGCAACTCAGACGTTCCCCCTTCTGTTAGCATGAAATTGAAATAATAAAAAAACAATGATATTTTGACTTGCGAACCAAACACAATCTGCCACTGAGGACTAAATGTGATTTGGTTGTAAGAGCTCAAGAACGCCTAAAAATGAACCTTTAGTTGGGAGTGTTAAATTTAAACAGGAGAACAAACATTTTACTGGATTACAAATACTGTGAAAGAAGATGCTGTAAGCATGAAAATTAATGAAGATACAGCCCTAACCTGAATATAAATGAGGGTTAATTAAAGTGACAGATTGAATGGATGACTCAGTGAAATGTTCTGGCATCCGACACAATCTAGCATTAAAAATTGGCAGGGTCAAAGTGGGAATTTTCAGAGCTGATGGTCTCTCTGTGTAGTCCTTCAAAGTTTAATGTCATTACTCAAACTCTCATCACTGTGGTTTGCAGGCTGGAATAAAAAATGATGTATCAGTGCGGTGAAAGTGTCGAAATTATCTGATGGATGTCTCGTGGCTCTGGACTCCTTCTAGAAAAGTTTAAAGACACACTGCCCACAAAGACAACCTCTGATACCTTCACTGAACCCTGTTAATTACCACTGCGGGGATTTTCCGTCTCAGTCCTTTTGTACTGAAGAGAATCAGGATGTGGACGAAGGTAAAGTAGAAGAACTCAGATCTGTATGCTGTGAGGGAGCCTGGAGCACTTTGACCCAGATAACATCGGCTGCACTGAGATTATAAAGCTGCTCTCTGAATGGGATTTAATCGGCCGTTTGATTGGACCTGCAGCTCGTTACTGCTCTGACTGGGTCGTGGGGAGCTGAGGGAGGTGGAGTCATGAAGACAGGACACGGTGGGACAAAAAGTTCCTGAAGTAGAAGAAAAAATGGAAACAGAGGACTTCAAAAATCTTCGCAAACAAGTTTTTTCCCCATTTCTGAACACATGGAGCTTTTATATACTTCTTCATTTGGCAGCATGACCAGATTACACAAATGTTGCCCTCTCTGCCCTCTTTTTCATGTCCAAATACAGACCCTTACCCCTGTTTCTTTTCTTTGCTCATGAAACTGAAGCAATAGGGGGAGGCAGAGCGTACAGTCTATTCAAAGCTAATCATTTCTGAGAGTTTAGCCAGACTAGGAAAGGCAACAAGTTCTCACATTGGAAGAGCTGTAACTGCTAAATGGTTCCCAATTGTTTGGCTGATTCACTGAAAAAGAAGTGACTTTCCAGGCTGATCCCTGTGACACCGTAAATACTATTTGGACTGACACGGGTACAGATATTTGACCTCTGCAGCTCGGGGATTCACTTAGTGCTGCGTCAAAGAGACCTCACATATCAAAGTGCTAATTACATGAACCTTTTTACAGCTGATAAATGCTGCTAATTAGCTTTCAACCTTATCTGACTCACCAATTAACAGCTGTTTGTATTTCTGATGAAGTGACTTTAGAGTCGAGGGAGTCGAGCTTTATTTTGTCTACCTATATTTAGCTCTTTGAAAAAGAAAACGACAGAAACTGAAGAGGGTGACAAATAGTAAGTGGAATGAGACAGACACAGAAAGAAAAGGTACCCATGAAAACTGAAGAAGGAGGGTTTAAAAGGCTGCAGAAAAAAGCTGGAAAGGAGAGGAAATTTGTGAGAAAAAGGTTGACAAAAAGAGGGAAAGACCAGTCAACAAAACGAGGCAGTGAAAGTGCAGAGAGTGACTAAGAGTCCATAATAAAGCTGTGCTCGGTGGGGAGTGTGAAGGGCAGTAATTTACTGATCAAGGACAGAGACTGATTTGGCTCCAGAGTGGAAGAGAAAGCCCACAGAGTGAGTGAGAAGCTTCAGCCCACAGAAATGCTGTCTGTAGGTCGACAGAGTGTTTCCATTTCAATGTATAGACACTCAGCCTGTACTGACCCAGACCACAAAGAACTGTGAAGTACTCTGGAGAGTCCTTATCCTCGACACATGACTGATATAACACAAATAAAAAGGCTTTTTCAGTCAAGTAATTGAGCACAGAGTTAGTTCAGGCAGGCCAAAAAAGTCAAGCTTGGCCCATTGTAGATTAGGCAGCATCCAACTGGCAAATGTCAAAATGGGTATTCTGTTTTAATTGCTAAAGCATGGCCAACTCTTGCTGCTCTCCCTGCCTCAGACCAAGGCCCTGCTCTTCCTGCCCAGAGACTGTCACTGATACCTGTTCTCTTCTGTACCTTGCGGGACTGTGCTAATGCCTTTCCTCATCACTCCAGCTCCCCCTATTGAAGCTGTGTCTAACGGGCAATTTCCATAGCATCCGGAACAGCTACGAAAAGGCCGTATCGGCTGATCGTAGCCATTCAAGTCAACGTGTCAATTTTTCCGTTCCGTTGTGGCTCGCTGGACTCTGCAGCTAATCGCAAGAGTTCTATTTTTTCCGGACGCCAGAGCATGCCAGATAAATTCAGCAGAGATTAACCTGTGCTGGAAAGGAAGTCGTGCACAGACACAAAATAAAACATCTGGCCTCTTTTCAAATTAAACAATCTGTGTTTCAGGCGGATCAACGGGCGGGGACTAACAAGTGAAAGGTTTATAGACAGCATTTCATCCCGATGACACAAGAGATGAAGAGATGCTGATTTTATAAGTCCAGAAGTAGATTTCCTCCTCTGGAAGGACACAATCTACTGCTTATATGGTTAGCCTATGTGGCTGAAGACAACTTGTTATCATGTGCATGTACGTGAATTCGCAGGTTCTTGTGAAATCTCGTGATTTCTGCTGTCCGTAATCTGCCACGAAATGCGGTGGAAATCCCGAGTAATTTTACCAGTGTCATATTAACACTGATGCCCGTTCTGCTGTGTAATTTGGGGGTCTTTGCTGCTGCTCTACTGCGCAGTGCTGGTTTCAGGAAATGAAGAAAAATCCTGCAAATACAGAGAGCTATTTGGCTTCAAATCCGTATACAGGTGGGAGGCGGAACCAACCATAGTATATACAGTCTATGCGGATAACGTAACATGAACGTAACGACTAAAAATAATTCTAGGGGAAACAGCGGAACAGTTCTGGTTGTAGCCAGTTAGACAAAAGAAATAACTTTGCAAGGCTAAAAATATGCATACTGTAAAAAAAAAAAAAAATCCGGTACAACTTTTATACTTTTGGTACATTAAGTTCTTAAAAGCCACACTACAGAACCCATGTTGGTATTTTTCTGAATGTGTTGTGATTTCTCACAGTACTTACCCCATAAACATATGTGAGACGTGTTAGTTCAGTGTAATTTTTTACGCACAGATACATCATAATTTACAGCACGCTGTCAAAGAGGACTGGAATTGGAGCATTTGTCTTCTGCTATGTGTTACAGACAGCTTTCAGTCTCAGCTACAGTGAGGCTCAAACCTGAGCTGCTAACTGGCTGATTTGAGTGGCTGACAGCTGCAGTTGTCGATAAGACGTGGTGGGTGTTCATCACAGATGGCTGATCTGATATGACAGCTGCTTCAGTTTGAGAATGTCTGAATCAATGTGAAAATGTATCAGAAGCAATGATGCACAATATAACTTTGACTGTCACGCTTCAGATCTAAAGCTGAGAATATGCAGCAAAAAGGCCTCTGCCCACTGATGTCCAACAGTGTTTGGCTTAAGAGAAGGACTTCTTAATGTGTGTTATAATTCATACATGCAAATGATTAATACAACTCTACTATGAATCAGACATAAAAGCAGGGCTGAAATGACTCTCTAATAACTTGAGTCTCTTTATAATGAGAAAGCCATAGAGCAAATTTATTTTGACTGAGCCTTCATTTAAATCCGGACTGTATATCACACTGTGTTTTTTGTACAACAATAACCATCAAAATGTAAACTCTAAATAGTCTTACTGTTCACCAGTGTTCACAAACCTGCAAGTTAAACGTTTCACTTTTTTTTGTTGTTGTTGTTATAAATAAATATTCAGCGAGTCATAGATTTTACTTTGTTTTAATTTCTGTTTCCATGTTTATTTCAATCTATACAGCCAGCATTAGCAGCACAGGCCTCCCTGTCTCTGAGTGTGGGTTTCTTTTAACTTGTCGGAGTCTGATGTTGATGCCAGTACGGGAGTCACCGTTTTACTTTCTTCTACATGAAGGTGGAAATTGAGCTATTTGCTGTCAGTCTCTAAAATTATTGATCAACTAATCAATCTTTATTATACAACTCCAAATCACACCAGTTGTAGGGTGACCGTATGTCCTCTTTTACGTGGACATGTCCTCTTTTTTGGGGGCCGTCTGTCCTTGTCTGGGGGAGTTTATACAAAATGTTCAAATGTCTTGGGATTTGTAAGGAAGTTTTGAGTTTGTGTCGCATGGACTTACTGAGTTAGAAGCGTGTAACAAACACTCAATCTAACCCGACAAAACTAACTACATGCAACTCCGTCCCTGCGTAGTGATGTTCTCTTTTTGGGGATTCAGAATATGAAAACTCTAAACAGTTGCCATCTAAGAAGAGTGCAAGGCATGGTCAAAACACAGTGCAGGAGAGAGCTTCAAATCTGCACAGAAACTGCGCATTACTGGACTGAAATATACAACCTCAATTTAAATTGAAAAAGCCTAAGTAAAAGTTTTCAGCCGTGTCCTCCCTCTTTGAGACTTTTCACAGATCAGTCACATGAAACTCATCATATAACAGCTCTATGAAGTGCTGTGTAAGTGTTTCCTGGTGGTCCTCTGAGGACAGCGTGACAGCGCTGTGCTGCAGGTTTATACACACACACACACACACACACACACACACACACACACACACACACACACACACACACACACACACACACACACACACACACACACACACACATTCACACACACACCTCCCTGCCTGTTAGCCCAAAGCAGACAACAACTCCCAGGAATTGATTTTTTTTTCCAGCCTCTGTCTTGTAGAAACGTCCTCTTGCAGGCTTTTATTTTTTCCCCTGACCGTCTCTTTCAAGGCGTTCTGACAATCCACTGATTCAACCGACAGAAAATCGATCCAATCTCATCTAAGTCTGCGTTCTCTGGGCTCATATCTTGACATCTTGACTGCCTCCAGGAGGTGGAGGAACACAGGTTTGTCTGTTTTGCACACACACACAGAAAAACTACTGCATCAGGTTGTTTTCTGGGGGTTTATCTCAGCTTCAGCCACCCAGGAGAGGTCCACTGGGCGGGCCGGTGATTTCCTTCTTTGTTAAATGTTCAGATGAAGCGGTGAGGGGGTCACGCTTGTCACTTTTGATCTGACAGCTCAATATTTACTGAAGCTACTTGATGGAGCAGAAAGCTGACAGAAGAGATTTACCTTTGACCTGCTGACTCCTTGTCTCTTTCCTCCTTCCTCTAACAAAGTCTCCTCAGCCTTCGCTTCAGTCCTCCTGTATTCACTGGAGGATGGCCAGCCTCCAGGGACCAGCCTGAACAAAGACCCTCTCGCGGCAGCCTGGATCAAACCCCAAATTTGAGTCCGGATGTAGAAATTCACACCGCAAACTGATATTTCATTAATTTCATTCAGTTTAGTCATTATTTTCTCACACTTATGCAGGTTTTTCATGCTGAGAATCATTTTCCAACGTTGAGTTCCCGGTCCTCTAAGATGTGGATTTTAGGTGGTTTAAGTTGTAGGATCCTTTGCTGTTATTCACAAAACAAAGAGCAGCTGTCGTAGTAAAATCTTGGTCATCATGACATGGTCGTCATCCAAAAATCGATGCCTGATTCATGATGGCTCCACGTGCAAATGTCAGGGAGGTCTGGCTCTCCTCATCATTTCAACAGATTTGATTCTCGCTGAAAGCATATTGTGACTGATACTCTGAATGCACCAGTGTTATTCTTTGCAACACTGTTCTTCGTGAACCAATTAAAAACATCTATAAAACAGGTGGGTGAACACCCGCCTGTTGATCGTAACCTTGGAAACAGTGATAAGCAGGTGTTGCTCATTTTAGGTTTATTGTTATTTTGTGTGCTTATTCGTTTTCAGCTCGTCTTTGTTCCCTCTCTTTCTGCTTCCATCTCTTTATTTTTCTGCTGTGTTTGCTTTATCGATCCATAGAGCCGCACTTCAACGTTTTCTTTTGAATTCAAAGACAGATGATTCGTCATTACCTCTGGAAAAAAAAATAAAAATAAAAAAAAAACTCACAAAAATATGTGTGTTTTCACCCGAGAGGGTACAGCAAAGATTTTGCTTTGAAAGGAAAATAAATCAAGTGAAATAATAAAGATGGAGGCTCAAAGAGGAGGCGATCAGGGACTCTGACGGTGATCGTTTCATCCAACAAAGGAATCTACAGCTGCATTCAAACCTCCTGTCTTCCAAACACATATACTTATTTTAGGTTTGATTTGGAAACAGAGAGTGGCAGAGTTGGGCAGTACATGAATACAGATAACTTCATTAACCTGTTTGGTATGTCTGTGGTGGGTTTGTCCGTTTATGCAGGACTCTGACAGTGAGACTCCAAGGTTTACTTTCAAAAAGCCACTTTGATCAAACAGGCTCATTTCTCTCTCTGGATGGACCTCTAATGAGAGCAGCGCGCAGTGAGTGGAGAGGACGGCTTTGATCGTTGACTAATTGTCCATCAGTTTTTTTCAGTGTTTTCCTTTTAATCTGACGGTGGACAGGATGAAGCTGAGATCGCCACACCGGGAGAGGAGAGGAGATACGTGGGCAGTTCAAGAGAAAACGAATCAGCTTCATAAAATGATGCTACTAGTAAATAAGGACTTTAAAAAAAGAGCACTTGAAGTATGGTAGTGCATTTGTTCAATCACATAAACACCCGCCACGAGCACACCGTCACTTTTGGGAAACACCAAGAGCTTGATCCACAAAAATATGGCACGGCGTTTGCACTTGCTAATCTTGTGCAAACAAGACACAAACAAAAGGCTAGAAGCTTCCAAAAGTTTCTGTGCAAAGATGCTACCAACACATTCAGGATTTTTATGGCTGTAATCGACCAAAGAAATTCTTGGTCAAGTAAAACCCTAAAATTTTCTGCAGCAGGGGGACAACATGGCTCAGCGGAGTGCGGCTTGGCGGGGTGAATATATCCTGATATCAGCACAAGAAGGCAATTAAACACAATGAAAGTTGAAATGCTCAAAATAAAAATAAGTATTCAGCAAACCACCGGACGTTGATTAACGTGGACACTTTTCAATCTTCCTGTCTCCAGCCGGTCTCCAGTGGGTTGGGCGAATCCAAAATGGTAAAAACAAGGGGGGTTTTCTGAGACAGGTGTGAAATGGGGGTGCTCTAAAAACTACCCCATTAGTAGTTGGTATGTTCCTCCTGACGAAATGAACCATAGACCGTAAATTGAAGCAGAAAAAGTCGACCAATCAGAATTTTGGTCGACTAAGCACGCATCGACCAATAAATTAACCAGTCGACTAAGACTTTACAGCGCTAATGATTTTGTTGTAAAGGATGAAATCTTCATTGTCAGGTAGCACCATCCCTACCTGATAATAAAAATAGTAAGGTATGGGTATGTGGTCTTCATTTAGCAGATTTTTAAACAATGACGCATTTAGAAAGTAACACTTGTTGATTTTATTCTCCTTTCCCTCCATGACGTGAAGCTTGAGCTGTGGATTTGAACCACATGGGTAGACTTGGTGAATAAATAAACTGGTTAACAGCCTCTGCCCATGCACAGTCACACTTTGGATTCTGCTGTTTTGGGAAACTTTGCCAAATTTAATTTTGTTCTGGGCCAGACTCCTGCTTTTTAAATGTACTTGGAAGGGATGTCGAATGATCCGAATATTGGCTCAATTAATTTCACAAATTTCTCCAGCGATGACGGCCAGAGTTCGGCTTCTCTGGGGAATCAGCACAGTGTGTGCATGTCTCCCCTGCACACACAGTATTTTGGACGGTATAAGCTAGCTCTTAGTGGATTTGTAGGCCAGTCAGACTCAGCCCTAAATGCCACTGACATTATGACTATAAATGTGAAGTGCTGTTAGCTATTATTCAAGTCGCTTGAGAATGCTTTCCCTTGCATTTATGTGGGGCGCATCCGGTTTTGAATGATGCGTCTGTGCACTGGAAAAGTCAAAGTGGGAAGGAACAAAGTCATATCTTCTTACTGCCTGAGGTCTTGTCTGCAGAAATTAACTGTAATGTGATAAAATGAAGGCCACAATGATCCTAAACCTATTCCTGCATTTTAAATCAACGCACTTAACTCTGTTCGATCATGTTTTAACACGTCACAGTGCACAGGAAGAATGCGATAGCAGAGATAGAGTACAGTGGTGAGCAGAGGATTATTTTAGAGAGAGTTGAGACAGACGAGCGCTGTGGGAAGAGGACGATAGATAGAGACGGAGACAACAGGCAACAGGAGAGCCAAAGAATACTAATTAATTAAACCGTCACCACAGACGCCGTCAGAGCTCTTCACATTTGGAGGAGGAAATGAAAAGAGTGTCCCCAGGAAATGCCAGAAAAACACAAACCACACAAGAAAGTGGAAATAGATGAGCAGTTTTATGCACACTGCAGCTTCTTCTACATACTAATTCTGCTGCTCCCAGCTGAAAGTAATGATATAAAGAGAGACAACACAGTCTGTCAGGGTTTTCAGAGGGCATCTCAATTTGCAAGCCTCAACTTTAGCTGAATACAAACCTCTTTATTTTCCCATACTACTCAGCACAAGTCTTCCAAATATAATGAATTTCCCTTTGGGGATCAAGAAATGTTATACTGTATTGAATTGTGTTGTAAACAAGTTAATTATCACCAGTGCTGTCCACGAACGTATGGAGCAGTCAGATGGTGGGAAAGCATCAGGGGTTCAAGAGTGGGGGGAATTTAGGACAATTATACAGGTATCCATTGGACACCATCGTTTAGATTAGCTTTTTCAGCCTCCATACTTACACATACAGATGATTTATGATTGGGGCGTCTTTCTCATGCTCGTATTAATATAAAGTAAAGGTCATTGGTTGTAGAAGTACAGCAGAAGAGGATCTCAACTTGTTATTCAAAATGTAAAGCTGTTGGCAGTAACTGAGGAACAAACAGGCTGTTTGACAGACAGTAGGTGCTTGTAGAAACCCCTGACAGGAATACATAAACGCTTAACCATGAGCAGGTTCAATACAGTTTTAGCTAGTTTTATATAGATTTGTGCATCAAAGAGTTCGTAGAGGGTATGAGAAAGAAACACGGTTATCGTCAGAGTAACAAGTGATGCTGCAGGAAAGATGAAAACTGAGGTTGATTTGCTGCTCTTTGTCATAAACTGATCTTTTTCTACCTTAAGTCCAGATGATGTCTGATGATCTCTAACTTTTTTACCTTTATTTTCCCTGAAATCCTCCTACTGACCTTCATCTGGGCCCTGGCAAGAATTGAACCACCATCCTAAAACTGGTTAAAATCAGGGGTTAACCCAGTCCAGATCCTCTTTGTGAAGCCCGCTGTGTAAAACCAGCTCTGCTCTCACTCTTAGACTTCCATTTACGTGTCTACAGCTCAATCAGTGCCCTGACAATGACCTGATTGTTGACGCACAAAGGATCCCCCCTCTTTCTCTTCCTCTATCAGAACAAAAAATCTCCACCTTTCCTTTTACTGCTGACTGTACTCCACATAAAGCAGCCAGCCTGCTTCATACAGAGCCGTGCAGCGGTATAGAAGTGAAGCTGTGTCGTCATCAGTGTTTTTTTTTTCCCTGTGAAGGTGTGTTATTGGATTTCTGTCTCCCCCGAGGACGGGGGCAGAGCTGGTGAGTAAGGATAAAAAGAAGCAGAGATGTACTGACGAAGCTCTTTGTAAGAACTCGAGCTGTGAGGAGGGCTGTTTGTAATCCTTACGGTCTGCTTGTGTGAACACTACAGAGCTTTACTGACAGAACTGGGACCTGGAAACACTCACAAATCACATAGGCGGAACAAAGTACAGCTCTGCTTTACTCAATCGTGATTTCCTGTACATTATTCAAGGTATTCATGTGCTGATTCTGAGGCTACTCTGCAGCCCGATGGCTCTGCACATCTTTCACAGCAAATATTTCTGCCCTATCAGACAGATGTGGCAACTAACGTCCCCTAATTGCTGCATTTAAGTGGTTGCTGGAACATCAGCTCTTTTAATGTCATTAGTTTCATTGACTCTGATGAAAGTCAAATTAAAGTGCCAAGATGCAGGAAAATCTCAACATTAAATTGAGAAAAATTATCCAAAAAAGAAAATTGATGAGTTAAGTGTCAAAGTGAAGTGAGAAGAACTGGAGAGGCTGCTGGAGAGAGGAGTGCACTTCCTGTTTAGGATAGTGTTCGCAGTATTGGACAATTGGTCAATTTTTAAACTGTCCATCAATGTCCAACTACGATATGTGTTCTGCGCCTCTGGGAATAGATGTTATCATGCATTTCTGTGCAGCCAGGGGTCAGAATTTCATGACCTCCAGCCGGATAATGTGACAGACGCTAGGGTTGGGGGATAATTTACCGACATCATTTTGCCCATATCGGTATAATCCTTGTAAATAAATTATAAAAAGTTGGTTTTGGATGTGTGTCCTACGTCAGAGACATGACTCTACCCCATCCAGTCCGTAACAAAGAGGGAAAGACAGGTGAGGAGATGGAGGGCGGTTCAAAAGTTGTAGCGGCTGGAGCTGCAGCTGAAGTAAATGAAGTTGATGTGGGAGGGGGTGAGCAGCTTCTGGAGTAGTTATCGTCCATTTATCATTATTTTCATCGAGGTGAATTGCTCAATATATCATGATATTGATTTGAGGCCATATCGCCCAGCCCTAACAGACGCAAACGCTGTTTTAGAGTTTATTACACATCCCAAAGTTACATACGTTCATCTGTTTCTGGTTGGTCTCAGGTCAAATCTAAAATGCTTGGTTCTTAGACTCCTCAATAGTTTATTCACAACTGTTACAGGATAACGGTGATGCAGTCAGAGAGACAAAGTTGTAAAACTAGATATTTCTCTCCTATCCACGGATGAATATTAGTATTTATCGCACCTGTTTAAGGCTCCCAATCTAAAAATTTGAGAAGTCTGTCCTGGTCGACTGCAGAAAAAACAGCCTCTCTTACAGCAGTGTTTTACATAAATATAAATGAGATCATGAATAATAGAAAAGTGTGAAACAGAAACAAGATCCAATCAGCAACGCCAACAAAACACAAAGAGCCGGACACGAGAAAACGACAAACATCATCAGAGACACTAAAACCTTATCAGGGGGACTGAACCGGACCAAGCTGAGTCTTTAGTTTCTGAATGTTCTTTCCACCTTGGTTCTCCTCAGAAAGGGGACAGATGGAGAACTGCTCTACCTGCTGTGCCTCAGCAGGTAAAATGGTGATTGTCCTCTAATTGTAGGGTCGGTGGTCCCTCCTGTTCCACCTGCCCAGGTGCCAAAGTGTCCTTGAGCGACACTAGGAACCCACAACGATCCCTGTTAACATCAGTGGCATTAGGGTGTGAATTGAAGGGGAAGGAAAGCATTTAGGACTTCAATTCCCTTCATTTAATTTATCTCCTATGAAATCGACAACGGTTAAAAACACTCACAAATGCAAAAACTGTGAAATCTCGATAACGTTTGGCTCTTGGGACACAAAGTGAATTTGTTCCTTAGGCTGAAATTTCAGACTCACTCAAAAAACACAAATTATGCAAAAGCCACAAATTTTGCATCTTTAAATGGTCCTGTCTAATAAAATGGTATACTTTCCAGCAAAAAGGGGGAAAATAGCACCTTTTAGTCCTCGATCCAGCTCCTTTATTTTCGTAAACTAAGTGCTCTTACCTCTGACTGACTTCTCTCTGCTCTGTCAGCTTAACAAAAACCCTTAACTTTACCGTGCCTCGGCAACACAAACTGCAAAAAGTGACATTCTGCTGAGAACCTGACACTCCATCGCGGCATATCTCCCTCTGCTTTCTGTCATTATTCTCTCTGAAAGCAGATTCGCAAGGGGTCAAATTACAGCGACTGAAGGATTTTGATTTCTCTCGCTTTCACGCTCTCTCAGTGTCCTGGTAACGGTGACTTTAACTTTCTGCTGCCATGGCAACACATGTGAGAACCAGGACAAATAAGCTTTAAGGTGCTCACATTCAGCTGCTGGGTGTCATCTATCAGCACAGCAGCTCGTCTCTCACCTCCCGAGGACTTCCTCTTCTTCTTCTTCTGAATATTACTGACACTCTCATGGACAGAGCAGCTCGACTGAACTCACATTACCTGAGGAAGAAATCATCTCACCGGCATCAGAGGAACTTTCTAACATCAAGCTCTTCTCTCAGGGAAAAATGAACGGGCATTAAAAGTCAGGAGTGGCCCTGAAAATGAGACATACTGGAGGAAAAAATATTCCCTGAGTGTGGACTGAAGGCAGCAGAGGCAAAGGGTGAAAATTAAACTGGCACTGTTCTTTATAAGCATCAGCTGTGCTGCTCATTTCCCCCTGCTGTCACTACTAAACTCTGAACTTCCTGCAAACACACCTCTGCGCCAAGTTTAACATCCCGAGACAAACCTAACATCATTAACAGCAATCAGCTCCACACTGGCTGCTCTGACGATCAACAGATCCTTCTAATGAGACGCTAACGCAGAGAATACACAGAAGGGAGTCACGCCTGAAGTAGCAAACGATACAGTGGCCCTGAAGGTCAAAATCATTAACTAAATATTTCACGAAATATAAAAAAACATGTTCACTGGAGCGCTCATGTAAGAACATTTTACAAAGCGCTAAAACTTTGTACAAATCTCAAAACAACTGATTAAAGTCTAAAAAAACTTTTAAGAGGTTGCTGAAAATATTTAGAATTGCTCAGACGCTTTTTAGAAGACGCAAAAGAATTTCATGGCGCACAAAAGCTTTTAGAAAATCTGAAAATTTTTTTTCTTTACCCTGCTTTCAGGACTCAAAAACTTTCAGCAAAGTGTGGAAATACTAAATGTAACGCAGGAACTTTTGATCAATCTGAAAAACAATTCAAAAAGTGTCTAATTTTTTTTCTGAAGTGCAAAGACAAACTTTCAGATAACACACTTTATTTTTGAACCCTGTGAAATGCTTTTGCAATTCATAAATTTTCTTGAATTCTATTAAACTTTTTAGTTTTAAAAGTGATTGTGTGCTGTATTCATTAAAAAATGTTCACTCAAATATTCTTGAATTAGCTTTTTTTGGCATTTTATCAATTAATTTTGCATTTTTGCGTGTATTAAAAAGGTTTTTACATTTTATTTATTATCTTTAGGTTTGAAAAATGTTACATTTTGTGATTGTTTTTGTGTTGTGCATCATACTGTCTTCCTGAACTGTTTTGCAATTTTTTGAAGCATTTTTGTGTTTAAAACTTGTTTCTGTATGTCTGTGTGTCCCTGAGTTGACTCTTAGGGCCACCGTAGACAATGGACAAGGGTGACAATGAGATTTATAATAAAGAAAAGAAAACATACAGGTCCGTTTGGAAACATTTTCACCTGCATCATCTTCCAGTAAATGTCGAGTCAGTTCAACTTTCTGGGTGGGGTGTAAATCTCTGTTATTCATATGTGATATAATTATATTTTTTCTGCATCCAAAGGAGATGTGAGGTTTGAAACTGAGAAAGCCAAAAGCTTGAGCAATCAAGTCAATCAATACTTTAATCAACAAAAAACCTAATTAGTAAATGATCCAGATCGGGGTAAATCTGGTTTTCTAACTCCTAATGGACTGATTACTTTACAATTTAAGGACGAATAACAGTGCAGTTCTCAACAATGGAACAATCGTTGATTATAGATCGATAACATTAGTTTTACTGTTCGAACCGTTGCCAGGTTTAACAGTGAATTCTGGGTAATTTACTTAATTTGAAAGTGGGATTGATTTTGTTTTTCTTTTAGTTTTCTCCTCATTGAACTGAAGCCGACTGAGTTCTCCTAACTCTTTAAAAATAAGACTGTTAAAAGCCTAATGACTCTTTAATTTCATACCATAATTAACTCCAATAAATCTGTTTATTTTACAGACATGCAACTCCAGTCTGAAAATCCAGGTGTGCATCTTTCTTCTTAAGGTTTTACAATTAAAACTGTTTGCGTGCCAAGTTTCTGCTTTAAAAGAATGAAGAGTTTTTTTATGTGGTCCAGGTCTATTTAGGTAAAAACATTTGGAGCCATGAACCCTGTTACTGCATATTTTCTGAACCATAAGCTTCTGTATTGCCTCAATATAACTCCTGAGTAGTGGTAACATTATTATTATTACTGTAATATCCATCAGCGCACCACCTGCCTCAGACCCCCTCCGCCGCTCTTCCAGCTGGTGGTTAAGGGAGCAGATCGCCTCCATCTGTCCGGGTCTCTAAGCTGACTCAGGCGTTCACGCCCCGGAGGTTAGAGGACGGGCGATGATGGTTGAAGGGCTTTGTGTCATGTTCACACATCATCACAACCCTCCAGCGTTATCATTCACAGCCTAGCAGGGGAGACCTTCATGGTCTTTGGAGGGTTTTTAGCAAAAACACATCCAACATGAAAGAAAAGGAGTCCAGAGGAGGTTATTAGGCGGGTTCAATGTGAGCTAACAACCGACTCTGCAGCAAACATTTGAACTTCAGAAGATCTGATCTGACCTTCAAGATTTTAAATTTTCTTCTCTTTTTAAGGACAGTTATTTTGGCAAACTTAAGACCCCTTAAAGGGATATTCCGGCGTAAAATTAAGTTAGGGTCAAACACACTGTAACATCTAGTTAGACACCCCCTCGAGAGATGAATGTTGCCAACTGCTTGCTTCTCTAGTTATACCAACTTCAGTAACGACCGCTGGATAGCAATACACAGCGATCTGAGGAGCCATAAACAAACCTCGACGCCACTCTATAGCCACAAATAATGCTCAGAACAGCACCTAACTTCATCAACAGTACATACAGGGTCCTAGCCTAGTACTCGCCACCAAACATCTTTTTAGCTTTGCCTAATTTCTTTCGCAAAGAGACTAAACACAACTCACCTACTCTCTTCCAGCAGCCACTTGTTTGTAGCAAGCCCTCGGGTCAGTCCATTACGGACTACAGCGGGGTGACGCAGCTCAAGGAAGAACATTTATTGTCATTACTTTAACACCTCCTTTCCTTGAAGTAATCACCATATTAATCATTTTGCACTGCAGACGCAGTAGTTCTTCTGCCTCAGAGTCTCGGTCTGATTGCATTTCCATGAAGAAATGATCATATATGTTCTTCCTTGAGTTGCGTCACCCTGCTGCTGTGTATTGATATCGTGCAGTTGTCACTAAAGTTGGTATAACTAGAGAAGCAAACGGTCGGCAACATTACTCTTTCTTTGTTATGGTGTGTTTGACCCTAGATTAATTTTACCCCGGATTACCCCTTTGACTATCAGAAAACCAGAAGAGAATTGATTTCTTTTTCAGGTTCGTACCGCTGAAGTAAGCCACACTAAAGCCTCTGTGTAACTTAGTATCTACAGTGAAACTTAGATTCACCACAAACAGATGAACAGGAGTTTCTCTCAGGGACGTAAATAAATCATGAAATGATGGAGGTTATCTGATGAACAGTCAGGGAAACTCTCCTCTGCATTTGGTCTGAAATCTTTGTTATGGACACACCTGGAATATAGAAAAGTTTGTGAGCACTAGCTGGAGTCATAACTCTGGTTAAAGGTTGACATGATATTAACATGCTTTGCTACTTGAACAAAAAATAGCATCTCCACTTTTGACTGTTTTCTGGGTGTTTTCTTACCTGTAAACTAGCTGGTTTGACTAGACTTACTTTTTTTAGACTTCTTAACAGCTCCTAAGTCATCACCTCATTTTATAGAAATGAAAAGTTATAATTTATTGTCCTGAAATTTCTGTCTTGACTATGTCAAACAAAAAAATCAGGTGGTTGCATCCATGTAAAATGTGCCTCTGAAAACTATGTTGAGCAGGTAAGTCATGTATCATATGCAGGAGCAAACAGTCTGTAAAAACATGGCCGACTGTGAGCCTATCGCAGGTTCACTCTAAAAACAGAGAAGGTCTTTGAGCTGCAATATTCCGAAGACTCAGGTACCAGGTTGTGGAGGTGTTACAGTCATGAGAGCTCTGTCAGCAGCAGGTTGTTCCTGTCTGACATACATCCTCAGAGAGGCTACAGCCCGGTGCCTCTGTCCTTGGAGCAGCACAGCATACAGATAAGCTTTGCCATCTGGGCGCTTCGCTGTTCTGTCAGAGGGCGTGACAGTCAGCGACACACACCAAACATCTTCAGCCCCTCGGGACAGGGCCAACAGAAAAAGCCGGCGATAACACCAAACCAGTGGGCAGTGGAAACAGCGCTCTGATGCCATTACTATGCACCCTCAGCTGTCACCGTCCCAGTGTCTGCTTCTTATGCAAACTGTGGGTGGTCAATGGCTCGCCGTCTTATCTGCACCCCATGCTTCTGCACTGAGTTACTGCAGAGGAGGGAGTGTGTAGATAGCAGAAAGTACACAAAATCACAGCCTGATCCTGTTCAACAGGAATAAATCAACAGGAGGAGGAGGAGGAGGGGTTTACACTTTTATAATGGTTCAGACTAAGATGCTAAAAGAGGAGTGGCAGCAAGGATGGAGGCTGTTAATTTTTATAGCTACTTAGACCCTCATCACACCTCTTTAATGGCCTCAGTTTTAGTCGTCCCAAAGTTAATACCTTAAACTTATTAGCTGGCCAGACAACACAAGAGTAAATTCATACGGACCTAATTTTTAGAGGAGCAATTATGAGAAGATAATCAGACAGAATTATGAAAGACTCACCAGCAGAAACTCAACAGGACTAAAGTGGTGTCTGAGCAGACCAGGAGGATACACCAAAGACAACTGAACCCCAGAGCACACAGATTCAGTTTAAGTCACAGAGACGTAAAAATCTGTCTGCTGTCATCCACAGACGTGAGTTTATCATTACATATCACAAGCTTGTTCTGGAGCGGCTCAGGCTAACATGCATCTATTAACATGATCACAAAATATTTAGACAAAGATGGACAAAGACATTAACCTCCAACTCTTGCAGATGAAACTCTGTCAAGAGAACCCCGACCCCAACCGTATGTCAGGCCTATGTGAACATTTTGCACAGTCATGTCAGACCTCAAATGAGCATTATGCTGTGTTCCAGTTACCTTGGAAGTTGGATGTCGGAGCTGGAAATGACATTACACCCGAGTTGACGGTGTTCCAGTTAACAAGTCGGAAAGCCAAGATGGACGCCTACTGTTAGCCGTTGTTAGCTGTTGTTTACAACTGTCAGCTGTCGTTAGCCATTGTCAGTTGTTGTTAGTTGTGGTTAGCTATACCAGTTGTAAACAACGCATAACACAGTATTCTATTCTTACAGACACCATAGCACCGTGCTCATAGTTAGACATTGGACAGTACATCATATACCACTTCATTGACAAAAACGAAACAAAAATGTTAATAAGTAAAACATTATGAGAGCTTGCACTGTTACTCTTTACTGTTGATGCACTGCGCTGCCATCTTGGATTATGATGTTGTCGTAAAGTCAGAGTTGGTGAGGATTGTCTGACATTCCGAGTCAGTAATCTAACTTCAGGGGGGCGTTCCAGATGAAATTCCAACTTGGAGGTCAAAAATTCCAACTTCTGAGTACAACTGGAACGCAGCATAAGACTGCTCTGGGTGTCTGTAGATTTTACTGCTAAGATAAACTTTGATTCATGCCAAATTCTTCCTCAAAAGTGCATTAGTGGCGGTTGCTTCATAGAGAGCAGGTGGTGAATGAGACCCAAAGTCTCATCATGATAAACTCAACCCCAGTGACTTTTCTGAAACTTATTAAAACGTATGCAGGGTCTCACAAAGTACCTCTCTCTGGTTTTTATAGACAGTGATAAAGTAAGATGCACATTCCATTTAAACCCCCCCTTCCCTTACAAACCACCTTTGTGAAGTCTGAAACGACAAAGCCTCACACAGTGTGTCATTATCAATCAGGAGAATAAAGCAAAAGGAGGCGAGTGGATTCTTCGAGGAGAGGCACGATGAATGGCCCCGAGTAGAGCTCGTCTTAATGAAAATCAGCCCCGAAGACGTCTCGACTCGACGCTCCTCATCAGCCACCTCCTGAAGAAGGCATGGATTTTTTCAATTTGCAGTTAGTATGACTAATGCCCTTTGTTTATGGCCCTAATCAATGTTGTTTACAAGGAATAGATACTTGATGACGCACACACCTCAAATAACCTATACTGAAAATTAGATCTGACACTCACAGCACTAAAGAAAAGAAACAATAGCTTTTTGCTGCTCAGGATGAATTTTTCTCAGCGGCTCAGACTCTTCATCCTGCGCTCTCAGACGATGTGCTGCAGGGCAGCTGCAGGCAGGGTAACACACGCTGCTTAGGTAAATTGTTAAAAGGCTGCAGCTGTCTAGGCAAACACTTGAAGGAACTGTAACAATTGTAGGTTGGTTCACCAAGTTCAAACAGAATTAAAGGAAACGTTTTTCACTATTTTGAGGGATTTTTCTAGCTTGAATGGGCATGAGAGGGATGAGGGAGTGTTAGATGACATGCAAAAAATCTTGTCATGACTGGAAATCGATCCAGTGATCAGAGATTCAGCGACTTGACCAACTAAGCAGAACTGGCGCCTGATAGAGACAGTTTTATGTTTATTCTGCAGCTCCTGCTGAGTTCATGTTTAACATACTTTATAAATTAAATCATGAGGAGAGTAAAAACACATCAGACAGGCTGACAGGCGTCTCTGCTAGTTCATCAGTTTTAGTTTCATGCGGCATTAAAGCTTCTTCAGAGCTGTAAAATCACAGTGCCAGACAGCGGGTCATGTCGCTCCTCTGGGTTTTAATATTAGCAATGATCACAGAGAGAAATACACTCACAAAGTTTAATGTCTGTAAAGGAGATCAACAATTTAAATTCAGGAACGCCACAACTATGACATACTGCAAACAAAGAGACGCTGTTTAAAGTCAGACAGAGTGATTTGGGGTCCGCAGGAAGCTTTGAAACTATTTCAGTTTGTGTCAGTCTTTTGTGTTATTTCACTGAAAGAAAGCAGCACTGAGACATCAGACAGTCTGAGGAGTGTGCATCAGGTACAAAGAGCCAGGTTTAAAAACGGCCAGGAGATCTGGATCTCTAAAAAAAGCCTGACCATGCTGGGGTTACTTAACTGAGAAAGCAGGATCCAGATCCTGCTCTAAAGATGGATCACAGACAACTTGAGCGTGATCATATAGCGTTTCTGGTTTAAAGTCATCAGTGGGTCATTGTGAATAAAATACATAGACTGTATATAGATCTGGGTGAAGCCACCCCGAGAACAGCACCCTCTGGTGACAGGCTGCAGTATAGGTCATAAATCCCGCCTCCTCCAGCAATCCCTATGGAGCTGTGGACAAATTTTAGAATTTTTTTACACAGACGTACATTTTTCTCCCCCCCTGCTTGTGATGTTGACATGTAGTTATTGTAAGACTGGTTTTGCTCAAGTCCTCTTTTTTTCTGTGCAGCTCCGTTTTTAAAAGTTATTAGGAGGTTCATGTTTTCTATGATTGACACTTGATACAGCCTATGGGCGTACGAAGATTGCGTAGCTCACCCGGGAGATACGCTGTTTGAGCCGAGCGTCATCACAGCGACTCTCCTGCCAAATGCGTACAACACTACTGCGCAATGTTGGTTTCAGGAAATGGAGAAAAATCACAGAATTACCGAGAGCTTTTCAGCTTCAAATCCATATACAGGCGGAAGGAGGAACCAAGTTGTCCATAGTATATACAGTCTATGATAAAGTCTCTGGATTAAATCTCTTACTGGACTTGTACCGGTACAGCAGGAGGGGTCAGAAATCCTTTAAACGCAAACATTTGTGAAAGAAGAACAAGAGTTTTTGGTATAACCAAATGTGTCCAGCAGCATCAGTGGACAATGTTGCACTGGTTTAATCTCTAAACAGATATTTGGATGAAAATTACAATTGCAAAGTGTGAGTCGGACTGTAAACAATAACAGACCAAAAGAAAAGGAGATTTTTTGACTTTCACTAGCCAAGAAAAGACAAATCTGATCACAGCAGAGGCACAAAACCACCGGGTTACTGATGTTTACCTTTCAGTTGGTGAAAACTCAGGCTCAGTAGCTGTAACCCTGGGTCAGAAGAAGAGTTAAACAAGAGTTAGTGTTCGTAGCGGACAAATTTGTACAGCCAATCAGCGCCATGCTTTGGTCTTTAAGACACGACTGGCAGAGATCTACCTTGGCTGCCAAACTGAGAGGCCCAGTGGCCCGTCAGGACATCGCTGAGAAACATTATCTTCTCCCCATCTGACTTTAATGCTTCCTCTGAAACAACTGATCGAGCATTATTTGAATCATTAGACAGCAGATGGACCATATGTCTGAAATAATGACAAACAGGTGCAGACAGATGCAGCAGCTTGTACAGTCAGACACTTTCTGATGGACCTAATGAAGCTCCAAAGTTCAGATCAGGATGTGAGCACAACACTCACAGTTCAGAGCAGGTGAAATGATGTGGTGAAATGATGACGTATGGTAATATTTCTTCCCATGGTTATGAGATTATCTGCATAGATATATTTTTCATAGAATAAGCCTGAACTCTTCATAATGTGCTGATGGATTTCGATAACGTCAAGCTCCCAAAATCAGACAAAAAATTCTTTATTTGCAGCCTAATGGAGTCTTGGTTTGGGTCCATTCAAACCAGCAGACTTTGATTTCTGTAATTCCTCAGCTTGACACCAAAAAAACTCTTTCACCAAGTGATGTCTTCTTTTGAACACATGCTTCAATAATCATGCGGATCCTGACAATAACAGAAATCTTCAGCCTGGTGACTGAACAAAAAGCAGGCAGAGAAACCATCTGCTCGGTTTTTGTATGTCAGAGCCATGAAACGTTCCAACACAAAGAACCTCCATGCTGGGAAGTACATTCATCATGTGCTATTGAAAGGAGGCAGGAGTCTACGGCTGCTGACAAAGAGCTGAGGCTGGGTCTGCTCACAGCCTCCAGTCCGCCCGAGAGGTGCATGAAAACTCACAGTCAAAATGGCAGCTATAGAGCGCGGTGGTTTTCACACCGGGAACAAGGACGTCCCAGAGGGTTTTTGTGGAGTCCCAGTAGGTCCCCACAAAGTGACTCACAGTTTAAGGTCACTGTTAAGGAGCTTGCAAAGGCTTTTTTTAAAACCTGGGCCCACTCTTTTACATTTTTGTGGCTTATATTCCCAGTTGGTATAAAATGTCTTGGGGATTGCTCCTGTGGATTGTTTCATTTTTCAACAGCTGTGGCTTTATTCATGGGAAAATGCACCAAATAAAGTTTGTTTAAAAAAAAATCCTGTTTTTTAATCACTGACAGGCACAGATTGATATTGTCACAAGCAGTAAACTCCTGGAGTTAAAAAATAAAGCCAACGCTTAAGTGGAAAAAACTGCAGTTTCTCCAGAGTCCACTTGAGGCAGGCTCCAAAAGCGAAAGTCCTGAATTAACGGTCCATTTTAACAGCGGAAATAAATATCTTTAAAGAAACTGTTTGGTCCACGACACTCATTTTTAAATACCACACACTTAACAAGATATAAATGTTTTATAACTAATATAATAAGTTAATATTAAGGCTGGAAGATGAGCATTAACTTAAATAGTTGGAGGATGGGGAGTGAACTGACAGGAAATGTCGCTGAGGACCTGCATGTCAAATGTGAAAACATTTCAACATTTCTTGAAAACTCTTATTGCACAGTATGAACAGCAGCAGATCCACTCTCCAATGTCAGGCATACCTGATTGCGCTCATCTAAACCCCAATCTCCTCATGTGGAGCCTCGTTCAGTGACGAGCTGCTCTGAAACGTCTTCTTCATTACCTTCGGCCATGTTTGTTTGTTACTCTGCTCTGTGTGGGCCATGGCTGTGAGTCCGTCGCTCGCGCTTAGGTCATCAACTTGCATTTATTGTATTTATTTTGAGATAGCTAATATCTATCATGGAGGATTTTTCTAACGATATATTGTAAATGATAATTTATCACCCATCCCTACTTAACAGCCATTCAGTGAACTGAAATACAGTGTCCTAAACTGTAATGACTGAAGGTGAAGGGCACAAAAACGTCTTAAAAATGCCAACAATCAGAGAAAATCTTATCTTAAACTGGCCACAGTCGACTCATTCAAATATTTAATGATAATAAAACAGCTTTTTTTATTTTTTTTCTCCACAAAGCTTCCTCTGGTCCTTGTCCTGTAGGCTGTTTAAGTCTTTGCAAACCTGTCAGATTATCCCTCTGTTTCAAAACTGGCTCGTTAAAATAGCCACCTCAGGTTAGATAATTGACAAACTGATTTCATGAACTTTCTGCTCTATGAGTCCAAACTCTAAATACTCAAGTCAAACACTTTGCTTTGGGTGGTGGAGATTGAAGGGTGTAGATGTCGCCATCATTATAATTCACTCTGAAGCTCAGAGCGTGAAATGTTAATGCGAAAAGAGATGTAGTCTGCTCTACACTTCTACATAATGGGAGGCGTAGACTCTCCCCCGGGACCTCCTCCAGCACCGGGGTGAACGAACCGGAGAGGAAAGCAGGCGTGGAGCTCAAAGCAAATAAGACTGACCGATGACTGATTGTTCAAACGCACGACGTCTTCAAAAGCAATCTCTTTCCCCTTCTTTGGCCTTGATAGAATAAAGATGAGAGAGGTGGAGGGGCGGCTAGGATCAACTCTTACACACTTCAGTGGGCTGCCAGAGCCTCCAAGGGCAAAAACAAGCCAGACCCCAGAGGGACCAACCAGGTGTGGGAGAGGCTGTTGGACCATGGACCATGTTTATGCTGATATCATACAGTAAAAGTGGAAACAGTCTCTGGGTTTCAAGTGAAGCTAAATGTTGGCGTCTTCAAAATGTGTTCTTTCTATTGGCCAGTATGGGGCATCTCCAGGGGTTACATAATGAAGTAGGATTATAGGACATCAAGCCTCCTTCTTCAGAGGTGGAACTGCAGAGGCTGGGGGTGAACTATGTCCAATAGGTGTGTTGAGTGTCTGTCAATAAATGCCTCAATTCTGGATGTTCCCCTGTTGCAAAGGAACCTATTCTGCACTGATTAATGATGCTTTCTTGTCTACATTTGACGGCTTTTCCCACAAACTGAGTAGCTGCCATTGATTCCTCTTGAACTTGAAGAAAATAGCAGATACTAGCTGCATGGAAACACAGTATAGTATGCACTCGATTTCTTGAACGTTCTTGTATTACATCCTATAAACTTAAATCCATGTGTTCTCATACAAGGGCTAATAATAGAAACAACAGCCCCAGTTTTTAAAAGGTAAGTTTTTTTCTTCTTTTTCTTTCTCTGTCTCACCCATGAGGTCAACTCTCACAAAACATCAGATGCTTTGACACCGTCTGTCTAAAACTGTATCATTAGGCAGCTGCTGTGTCCCCCTGTGAAGGGATTAGTTGAGTTTTTAAAAGGTAAGTTTGGATTACGCCCAAGCCTGTAACTCTGAAAACATCTATCCAGGTGTGTAAATAAGAGATGCAAGACACGAGTTCATTTTTAACGTACCAGAAATGCAGCAGGTATCAGCTATGATTTACCTCCATAAGAAAAGAGTCATACTTTTGTGTCTGAGGTCTGAATGTCAAACCACCACTTTAACAAAGGTCTACACCTCCACGTCGGTTAATTTCTGCTCGCAGTGACAGGTCTACAAGAAGCTCTGAGGACGATGGCGGTGCTCTGCTGTTATATGACAGTTTGAGGAGGATTCAGCCTTCAGACTCCTGCTCTCAAAAACCCATTACAGCCAGGTTTGTTGGAGACAATGGCTCCCCGGCAGCACAAGGCTGTTTTGCATTGTCAGAATCTCCAGTGAACAGTGGGTTCAGCTGTTTTTTTTCTCCTTTAACTTGGCCCTCAAAAATGCAGTGTTGATAAAATTCTCTTTCAGGCTTGGGCTGCCTCGAGAGGCTCTCTTGGGGTGGAGAAGGAGGAGGAGAAAACAGGCACAAGTGAGCATGACCAACCCCGCTGCGTGGGAGGGAAGCTCAGCAGGAGAGGTGAGGGGGGGAAATCATCTGTATCCTTTTCTTTTTTACACATTTCCATTTCGAAGAACCCCCCGGTGGTTTGACACTCAGCCCTGCCTTTCACACAGAGAGCTGGACTGGCGAAAGCAGCTCCGGCCCGGCGGTTGTCCAAGCCGCTGGAAAACATTTGAATACATGGCAGACAAGCAACAGGTGGGGCGCAGTATCGATCACGTTGGTGTAGAAGTGGCCGCGGAAAAGAGTCAATAGGGCAAACTGTTGGCACCTGAGGCCCCACACAAAAGCTGACTTTCTAGGGGCGCAAGAGTCTGAATGAAACACCGTGAGGGCGGAAAGAGAACTCTGTAGTTTGAGGATCTGCATTCAAACAGTCACATTAAGAGACACTGATCAAATTTACACCCCGGCTAAACTTCGAACAATGATAAGGAAGAAATGAACAGCCTTTCAAACTGTAAACAAAGCAACAGGAGCCAGCGAGTCTTAAGGTTTCTGGATGCTCAGTCCAAGCCAGAGGAAAGCACTATACAATAGAAAAGAAGGTGGACCTGACAGGCAGGAGGGGCAGTAAGCTCCATTACTCCCCAAAGTTATGAAAACGTTTGTCAGAGACGCTGACGGAACAGAACTTACATATAAAAGTTGATGGCAGGCCAGCGTGCAGCCCCTGTAAATCCTGTAACATGTGCATCCATGCACCTATTGGCAGGCTCCCAAAGACTCTCAGTGTCAGGCACAGGTATTTATGTGGCTTTGCTTTATTCAGTGTTATTACAGCCTTTAAAGACTACCACATTTTGCTCTTTTGAGTCAACATGATTCTGTCGTTTGTGAAAAACTCAAAAATAAAATAAATATTTGATATGTTTCGTTCAGGCTTAAGTAGTTTTAAACAATTGACCGTTTTAAAGTAGAAAAAAATGAATATATAAATTTTTACAGCAGTTTTTGGGGAGATGACATTTTTTGTCACGAGGGACAAATTTGTGAGATTTTTATTAAATCTGACACTGCAAAAAAAATAAATAAATAAATGACGCATCAAAATCAATGCCACTGCCAATCATCGACCCACCTCACGGCCTAATAATAATTATAACCAAATACAGCTTGAAATGTATTTTATAGAAAATATTCATGTTTTTTGTATTTCCCCCCCCCCCAAAAAAAAAACAGTTATGTAAACATACCAGCATTTAAAGGGTTAAAAAACTCAAAAATATAATAAATATTTGACATGTTTTATTCAGGCTGAAGCAGTTTTAGACAACTGGTCTTTTTGAAGTAGAAAAAAAAAATAATATATAAAAATTTTTACAGAAGTTTTTAGGACCTTTTTTGTCACAAGGGACAAATGTGTAAGTTTTTAAAAAAATCTGACACTGGAAAAAAATGGTAATGATGCATCAAAATCAATGTTGCCGCCAATCATTGACCCATCTCAGGGCCTTATAATAATAGTTATAACCAAATACTGATTGAAATATGTTTCATAGAAGTTATTTATGTTTTTTGTTTTATTTCGATAAAAAAACCGTGGAGTTATGTAAACCTACTGGCATTCAAAGGGTTGAAAAAACTCAAAAATATAATAAATATTCGATGTTTCATTCAAGCTGAAGTAGTTTTAGACAACTGACCTTTTTAAAGTAGAAAAAATTATGCATATATAAAATTTTTGCAGTTTTCTGGAAGCTGACATTTTTTGAAGGACCTTTTAAGGGTTAATCATTTGCCTTTTTTGAGACGCACTTTGGACTGCAGCATCATCAGGTTGTATGCTGTGATGGATATCAGTTCAACAGAAACCACATGTTGTCTTATTTGTTTGCTCTAACCTCTAGATTCTTGTCTGAGGTTAGAAACTGTAAAATCTTCACCCAGTTTGTGAAACTTCGTCTCAAACCAGAGAAACAGGTAGAATACAATCATGGGGTTTTACAGGCAGACAAAATGAGAGAGGGATCAACGCTGTCACTTTGCCAGGAAAGGAAAGTGGCGGAGAAAGATGAAGATCAAGCTTATGTGAATGCAGGAGCACGTGTGGCGAGGTGGTGGGGGTATTTACCTGGAAGGCCTGCCAGAGCTGATCAGCCAGAGTGCTGATTTCAGAGAGGATGTGACGGATGAGAAAGGACTTTGACATGCTGTTGCTCCCCAGCGTGATCAGGTACTCCATCAGCTTCTCTGCAGCCTGGAGCTGAGGGATGGAAAAAACATTAGTTCACCAACACGAAGACTTTAAAACTGTCTTTTTACCGAATAATACCGGCAAGTGGACACAGTCTGTACACGTCTGATACAAATTTATGGGAAGAAACAGACCAGTCATAATAAGCTTTCAATAAAGATGAGTTATACAAGGATACAAATCATCAAAACAGCTTAACCCTTCATCTTTCAGTGTAAACCCCTCCGATTACTTTAAGGCTGCATTTCAAAACGTTTTCATTAAAGATTCATCTGTGATTTTAACATGGTGATGCCTCTAGATCCCACAGCACACACTGGTATCTTCTAACTTTGCTCTGAAAATGAGACACCTTGAAAATACTTTATTCATAAATTCCTCCATGATTAAACCAGAGAGCAAAACTAAACTGACATTAGTTGGAATTCAGAAATGTTTTAACCTGGTCACTATCAGGCACAGAAAATCTTCATTAAATTTTTGTCCATGAATAGGCAGTAAATGTCTGAAACTCTGTCTTTGAGGTAAGCTGCACCTGATAAAGGTGTATCCTCGAAAAGTTCCAGCTTTGGTCCTTGAAAGACCTTTTGAGTGAAAGAGTGAAAACTACCTTACCAGAAATAGCTGTTTTTGAGCGCTCTGGTCAGAAACAGTCCATCATTGCTCATTTATGTATCTGCTCTCATTTTTGCGTGCATGTGTGTTATGAGCAGTGTTGCGTAGTAATATGTTATTCAGTAACTAATAATGTGACACTCGTTTTTTTTTAATTCAATAACTCTGTTTCTGTACCAAACGCTGTGTTACTCTGTTCTTTTTGGTGAGGTTTTACAACGGCACACAGTTCCCAAAACATTTTAGCGATCAAAGTTTAATCGAATTGGAAAAACAAAGCACTTGTCACCCTCTAGCGTCACACACATAATCAAACATGCGCCATGAAGAGGACTGAACAGGTCAGGGCACGGCATGATGGCGAGCGAGAAGGAAACGTCTCCCCTGATGGAGATACTCACATTATTTTCAACTCGAGAGCAAAGTGAAAAACAGCATTTTGGTAACATGTAAACTGTGTCTCGGGTCAAAAATCCTTTCTACAGCAAACAACATTAACAGCAATCTACTGAAGCAACTAGAGAAGCCGCATGCTTCGACAAAGGTAGCAGCTAAGGTAGCTAACGCAGCATCCACGACCGAGAGTCACAGTCGAGCACACCCCATCCAAGCAGCAGTAGTTGGAGTTTGAAAGATGGAACCATAGCCAGGCACAACTTGATAAAACAATAGCACACTATGTTAAATTGTTTATTTGGATGTTTTTTAGTGATATCAGGCTATTATTCCAAGAGTCCTTTGGTAAAACTTTGATGTTTATGTCAAGGTTTGTGTTGGTGCACAACGGATCATATTGCTTGGATGATTAGATTCAGTGATGTGGATGCAAATGAATTAAAACGGTTGTTTTAATCAACAGTTTGTTTTATTCAGCATCAGTACAGAACTGAAATGACGGCTAGAGAGGAACTCAGTCAATCCACCTTCATGTTTTGGCAGTATTGGAAGAACGTCAGACAATAACTAAAAAGTTACTTCTCAGTAACGCATTACTTTCAAGTAACTTAAGTTACTTTTTTTTTACAAAGTAACTAGTAACTGTAACTAGTAACTATTTTTCAGTAACTTGCACAACACTAGTTATGAGATGTCTGCTATAATGCCTATATATTGTGCATCCCTAAATCTGGTCATGTCTTGCCACACTCAAGTTAAAGGGGACCTGCCACCAAAATTTCATACCAATTTTTATCATTTTTTCATAATCCTTGATGTCCTCTGATCATGTTTGCAACATCATTTTAGCTGAAAAGTTATTTGATGGTTTGTTATAGTATGCCTAAAAAACCTTACAGGAAAACCAACTGGTTTTGGCTCATTAACATTTATGGTGATGAGCTTTGCTCTGATTGGATCGCTGCTGTGAAGCCTGCTGTACTCTGATTGGCTCAGCAGTGGAGGTTCGGATTTCGGTTTATCCATTTTGCTAATGTGTGCTTAAGTAAGGTGACCCGATGTCTGTAATGATATCCGGGGACATTTGGGGCGGCGGCAGGGGGGTGCAGGGGCTTCAGGGGCTTCGTGATCACAGACAACATCTCTGTACTATTTAGTAGCAGCGCATGCCCCTTGTAATAACCCCCTTAAAAACTGTTGTTTAGGACTGCTTACTTGTGCTTCCTACCCATTCGGCTACTGTAATAACCGTTGTTCTAGCCCACAGGCAACATTTTTGCTCTCATTCATGAAACGGTTAAATCGGGGACATTTTCGGGGACAGCTTTTGCCGGGGACAGGTCATCCAATTCGGGGACTGTCCCTGGAAATCAGGGACGTCTGTTCACCTTATGCTAAAGGCTAAAAATGGCAGGAAAGACGAAATAAGACGAACATAATATGGACCTCATCTGACACACAAACATGCAAAAATTACATTTTTGATGGCAGGTCCCCTTTAAATTCTGACTGTTTTCTGAACTGTTGCAGAAGATGTTAAAATCCTGTACTGAGCAATTTTTTTGACTTAACACCCATTGGGAGTTAAGCGTGACAGACAGTGTTGAAATAGGCTCATTATGATATCTGGATAAGACATCTACAAATGTCCTGTTTTGTCTGACCCTGAGACCAGACAGATGAGGTTTGTGACTGCAGATTTAAATCAGCAGCAGATTTATCAGCACAGACCGGTGCTTTAGTGACTGTTTCTGGCAGCAGTGAAGTGTTTGCTTGATTGAGTCAAAATAAATTACTGTGTGAGTTTGTGTTTGTGCAACACTGTGTCTAAACGGCGATGTGTTTTAATGGATTTTGGACAACAATGGAGCTATATGGCTCATGCGAGTGCATCTTCAAAAGCGACGTCTTCAAAGATAGACTCTGTGTCGGTTTGGCTTTGCACACTAAAGTTTGTTGACAAGGAGAAAATACGAAAAACTGGCATGCAGAGTTTTAGCTGTCACATCCTGCAGTCAAACCCAGCCAGCTCATAGTTAGCCGCTCCTGCAGCTTTTAATTTTTCTGATCCTGGAGGAGTCGTGTTTAGCATGCATGCTCACATTCAACAACAGGCTGATTCATATTCTTTCAGTTTTTCATATTTTCTGCAGCCAAACATCCAAACTGTCCTCTGTTGCAGTGCCAGCAGGCAGCTCCACGTCTGCAGCTGAGGATAAAATTGTTTGGCTGGAGGGTGTTATGACCATTGTTGGTTTTTTAGTTTGGTCTGGAGAATTCAGCTCATAACATTACACGACTCTGAAGCGCAGAGCTAAAACAGCTCCATTTTCAGGCTGATCAGATGGGTGTGTTTGGCTGTTTTCTTCACTGAGAGCAGCACAGAAAAAACACATCATGGAATTCAATTTGTTTGGTAATGCCTCTGCTGCTGATTGCCTCGCTGCTGCATGATACGAGGACATTATGTGAAATTGTCTGTCTGATTATCCTATCAGGAGATTAATTCATAATTTGAAACAACTGAAGGGAGGAGATTGTTGCTCAGTTTTTCTAAACAGATTTTCTCAGGCTGTTGATTGATGAGGCCCTTCTACTCTCCATATTTGCTCTCGCAGCTCCAGCCTGATCAGACCAGTTTGGTGGACGGACAGTGAATTCAGCTTTGTCACTGCAAACATCAGCTGATTCACTGCTGCTCTTATCACAAGCTTCACTGTGCTTTGCTTCTGTTGGCATTCACAAACACCTTCCTTATCCCTCCATCCCTTTTGAAACTCCTGATTGCTGCAGAATCTCTGTTGTGCTCCAGGAAACAACATGAAGAGCTCTTCCTTTCTGCACCTCAGTTACATGCTGCCGTCACTGACTGTTTTTAGGTGCTATGCAAGAATAAAACTGGACAGACACCTTTGTGGACTGCAATATTTTCAAAATTAGCAACAGCAGTGAAAACTACTGCGTAGGCATATGGTCATTTTGCAGTAGGGCTGGGCGATATGGCCCCAAATCAATATCATGATATACTGAGCATTTAACCTCGATAATGATAAATGGACCATAACTACTCCATAAGCTGCTCACCCCCTCCCACATCAGCTTCATCTACTTCAGCTGCCACTCCAGCTGCTAAGACTTTTGAACCGTCCTCCATCTCCTCACCTGTCTTTCCCTCTTTGTTACCGACTGGATGGGGTGGAGTCACGACTCCGACGTAGGACAGCGTCTCAAAGGGACATGAGACCATAGCCTACCTACACACATCTGAAACCAACTTATTTATTTTTTTGACATCCAATATACTGACATGGACAAAATGACATCGGTTATTGCCATAAATTTCAGTATCGGAAAATTTTTGGTTTATCGACCAGCCCTATTTTGCATGGTCCCAAACAGACCATAAAGCTGGGGTGGATTTAAAGCGGGGCTGCCTGTAATTCACAGCTCACTCTGCTGTGTTTTCTAATATCTGCAAATTTCCTAAATCTTTCCACATGAGCTGCATGTGTTAACACAAAAGGACATCTTTTTTTTAACCCAAAATTTAAGCAGAATTTTTCCTACCAGCCCCAATTTCCACAAAAGTTGGGATAAGCTGATATGGGAACCTTGCAGGTACAATTCTGTCAAACTGAAAATCACAGTCATTTCTGATTAATACATCTTTTGGTTACATAATTAAGTTTTTATGTTTGTTATAAGTGAAACGCACAGTTGAAGCTATACGGCAGTGGGGCAACTTCCTGTTGTTGCCCCAACTCCCCTTCTTCCTTTAAGTTCGGGAGCTTGACAGTTCTCTCCTCTTTTTGCATCTCCGCTGTAGCTGCAGCATGAACGTCGGCGTCTCAAACACAAAGCTTGAATCATCGTGCAGCGGGTTAAAATCTTCAGTCTTGCTGTTGGTTGGTGAAGGAAGAAGTAGAACCCAAGATGATCAAGGTCAGGTTTTGTGTCAGACGGTTCATCATAACCATCGACTCCACCCTCATCTCAACATTCAACTCAACTAGATGGTGAGCTAAACCTAGAAAATGTGGTATGACAAAACCCACCTATTGGAGTTCCTGCTATTATTAAGGCACAAACAGATTTTGGATTGTATGGTGTTTTGTTTATTCCTGACAAGGGTTTGGAACCAGTTACAAGCATTTTTTTTCCCCTGGACTAAATCTCAAACACCATTCATCTGCAATAATTGTTTTGTTTTTATTTTTGTTGCTCCTGTTGAATTTATTATCATCTGAATACAAAGTAAAAAAAACATAAATTTGTCAGTTGTCACATTCACCCACACCTCGGGCTCCTTAGAGACCAGATTTTCTGCTGTTGCTTATATATATAGTCAAAATGTCGAGCCCAAATTAGTGTTACATAAGTGTAACAAGCTTGATAATATCCAGTGTTTGTACTGTTACAGCTGCAGCAAACACAGACTCATCATTTTGGGTCTCTAAGAAAAAACGAGACTTCACTTCAGAAACGTCTCCTTTTACAGACCTAAAACTCTGCTGGAAAAGACCCCAACAGAGAGGATATTAAAGAAATATTTGTAGTTTTGTGGCTGTACTTTCATTTGCTCCAAATTCCAAAATAATCCACTAAAGTCTGTAAAGCACTTAAGCTCTTGTTCTGCTCCTCAGTCTATTTCTGACTCACCTGAGGTCATCAAATTCAGGTTTTCTAACTGCTGTTGAGATCCAAAGATCTGGTGAGGAAGCTTTTATCTGATGTCTCTGTGAGTAGGAGGAAGGTGGTTTTTCGCTTTCTGTTTTCTCTCTTTCTTTCAAATAGAACAAATTCAACGTTCTGAGAAATAAGATATGACTGGAAATGGGTGAGAGGATGTCAGAATATAATCATGTGGTTGTTTATTTACATGAACATGTTTAACCTTAAATAAAAGCTCCTGAAGGAGTTTACGGTGGGTGATGAAACAGAGTGAAATGTATTTATTCTGATATCTGATATCACTTTTTAAAGTTTATACTTAAAGACGTCTTAAATAGCTGTATCCTGATCTAGTTGCATCATAATCTGTAACCTGCAACACTCACGCAGAACCAAAATAGGACAATCTGGTCTATGCAGGCTTTCCTGGTTATACTGAAAGCTGTTCCTCGCACCCTTGAGGGCTGCACCAGATCTACCTAACATCATGTTTTCTTGGTTTTGAAACCGAAGACCTGGAGTCTGGAGGAACATAGTATCCGAGATTTTTGAGGTCCCGTGTGTTGTTTCTGCAGTCTGTAATGATTTGGGGTCTGTGTCATCTGCTGCTGTTGGTCCACTGTGTTTGATAAAATCCAAAATCCTCCTCAGCCATTTACCAAGAGATTTTGGTGCTCTTCTTGCTTCCGGCTGCTGACGAGGTTTATGGAGATGCTCATGTCTTTTTCCAGCAGGACTTTGCACCTGCCTCCAGCAGACACATCTTGTGCTCATTGCAGAGAAGGTAACAAGAAACCTTTTCTCACATGTTGACTTCCGACTCATTTTTTATAGAACTTTATCAAGATTTAAAAAAGAAAAAGAAAAAAACATTGTGGGACTTGAACCATGGTAGGAATTGTGGGCTGAGTTTCTTGCTACAGTCCTAACAGCATACAGCACCCACCGGGTCCGATCCACTGCCAAACTGGAGGAGATCTCACAAGATCTTGCGTGTTTAACCGTGAGACATTGAATGAGATCGGCGGTGTATATAAACTTCCACATCTCACAACCCTGACCCCTCCCGTTATCAAGTAAAGAACAGTTGCACAGCCGTTTCGTATCCTGTGGAATTTTGCCGTAACTGATACTCCAACAATCGGACAAAGTTCTCCATTTCGATAAAAATCAATTTCCTCTGTTAACAAGCAGACCTGGCTAAAGCATCATCTAGAAAATGGGTGGTGCTTGAGCGCCCCTCAGCTCACTGTCTGGAGTTTAAACACATAAATGCCGTATGTGATGATGAAAGTTCTGTCTGAAGCCAAAAGGATGTTTCCATAAGATCAGGCAGGTGTGAGGCCAGTCAGACGCTAACCTGCTCCCCTTTGAAAGGTCGTTACATGAAATATGCCATACAGAGAGGGAGAGTGACATTTCAACAAGGCCACTTGGGATTCAGGATCTGCAATTTCATCGTCTGAGCTCTTCATCTTGTCCAATCATCTTCCTCCTAGACCGTAACGGCTCCTCCAGGTGTGTCTGAGAAATGGAGTCAGAAAGAAGAGCTCTCCTCGTGGACGTGAGGGGTTCAGAAGGCAGAACTTGCCGGCAGGTGAATTACAGCAGCTCAAGGTTTTACTCCTCAAGATGGGACACACTCAGACTGCTGGTACTCGGCGGACACTTCCAGAGGATCATTCAGACCCTTTCATTGTTTGACGAGCTCGCTGAGGTTTTAGAAAAGAGATAAAAACAAAGGTGGGCTCTCGGCGGTACCAAAAGAAGAGCGAGTATACAGCCGAAGCTAATGCTGAGCAGCTTTGGACTGGTTTGCCCCAAACTACAGGTCTTAGAAAGATTTAGAGCAGTGAAACATGAATGAGACTGGAGCTGAAACAAATCAGTTCATTTGATTCATATTGAAGCTTCTCAGGTGAGATTTCCAATCGCTGCAGTACCCGCCTGAACTGGGCCTGCACTTTGTTTCTCATTCTCTGTTTCTACGTCTGTCTGGGTATTTTCAAAAACACATTTTTCCTCTCCACATTTTTGCCTCACGTCCCCACATACAGAGTTTTAGGTCACTGAACACAGACATTTGAAAAAACACCCACCATGGCTGGAATTTTTAAAAACTTTATCTGTATCCCTGCAGACAGAAAAAAAGCAAAGTTCTTGAAAACACCATCGTCATTACCTCCACTTGTAATTATTGTTTATAAGTTTGAGCCATGCTACCAGCTTGTTTATGTCTGCTCATTTGCAAGAAAGTCTGACTGTTCTTTATCATAATATTGCAGCGTGGAAGCAATACGTTTATCACACTCCTCAGGTTTTAACGTCTCCTCTTCAGGACAATGAAGACTCTGCTGAGTCCTTTATATTGAGGGAACTTTACATTGTATCAGAGTGACTCTAGTTTTCAGTTTGGACTGCCATTTTTCACCACCAGCTAGTGGTAGTTCAATTATCAGCCCTAGCTGATCGATAAATGGCATTTGGCCATTTATCCGTATCAGCTTTGTATTTTACAAGTGGCCATTAAAATTAATCGATTAAAGAGTGCCCTCCCTGGTCCCCTGCCAGTGTGTCTTCCCTCTGGGTCTGTTTTCTTGCACCACTTTGTCGCCCACAACACCGTCTAATCTAGTAACCTTATACTTAGACACTAACAAAACTGTTCTGTAACTGGTAACTCCTGAATCTGATCTGGAACGCTTCACGTCATTAAAGATTTGCTAAAGGCACTGAAGAAAGTATGAGGTTGAAGTTTGAAAAATCTGTAGTGAGTTTTAAGAGACGGTCTTTTTTTTTTTTTTTTACAGTCAAATCCTTTAAAATTTGGATTATTGGTCTCATGAACCACTATCAGCACCAGCCATGGAAACCAAATTCAGTCGACACCTTCTACCAACATTATTCAAAAATAACCTGGACAAACCTTTTTTTGTTGTTGTTTTGTTTTATTTTGCATTTGATCTTTTATCCCTTATCTTTGAAGAGCACCTGATCACTATACAACATCATTTAATGCTATGAACCTGTTCAGCCCTTCCTCCTTTCTCCAACAACAGTTTTTTTTAATGGTGCCTGACTTTAAGGACAGATTACGATGTAAACTACAGCCTCTCTGTGGCCACACTAACCCTGTCCCTTTCAGACACACTCTCTCTCTAATGCACGCCACTGCCTCCTCCTGCTCCTCTGCCTGCTCTCCTCCCTCCTATTCCTGCTCTCCTCTCTCCTCTTCCTGCTCTCCTCTCTTCTCTTCCTGCTCTCCTCTCTTCCTGCTCTCTTCCTCCTGTCTCCTGCTGCTCCTCTCCCTGCACTCCTCTCTGCTTCTTCTGCCCCCCCTCCTGCTCCTCTCCCTGCTCACCTCTCTCCTTCTCCTGCTCCTCTCTCCTCCTCCTTTTTCTCACCCTGCTACCGCTCTCCTGCTCCTCTCGTTGCCCTCCTCCTGCTCCTCTCCCTGCTCTCCTCTCTCCTGCTCTCCTCTCTCCTCTTCCTGCTCCTCTCCCTGTCCTCCTCTTTCCTTCTCCTGCTCCTCACCCTGCTCTCCTTTTCCTGCGTCCCTCCCTGCTCTCTTCTTTCCCTCTCCTGCTCCTCTTCCTGCTCCGTTCTTTCCTTCTCCAGCTCCTCCTCTTCCTGCTCTCCTCCTGCTCCTCTCCTCTTCCCTTCTCCTGCTCCTCTCCCTGCTCTCCTCTCTCCTTCTCCTGCTGTACAATAATTTGCGTCACTCATAAAGAAATCAAGTTAAACAAGTTTTGGAGAACAACAGTGTCTTTGGATGCAAAAGTTGTCCCCTCAGTTTAGAAGACTAACAAACTATCTGGACGAGTGTCTCTAGACATGAGCCAAATTTTCATTTTTTTTTTTGCCAGTTCATTTAAGTGAGATTCTTCCATATTCATCACAGTCCTGGTGCTGCAGCTGCTGGAATCAGACACCAAAGCTCCTCTTGTTTTAACACATTACAATGACACCAAATCCAGAGCGGCAGATGTGCATCAAAGTAGCAGGATCTGCAGAAGTCTCATGCAGATCAACAGGTTATGTCTGAACTAAGAAAGTCAGCTTGTTGCTTTAAAACAGAACCGTCTGTCTTTAAGATCTCACTCAAACAAATGTGGTGAACCTGCAGTCTGCACAAAGCCTCTGAGAGAGAGAGAAACCATCATTCTGAGTCCCTGAGATTACCTGTGCCTCTTTCACAGTGAAGAAAGGTCAACTAGTTCTCATGTTGTCGAGGATGACTCTACAAAGAAAGGTTAAAACATACATCACTTCAGACAGGGCTTGTATGTTCACACAGATGGATTACACCCTGTCCCGCATGACAATGAGGCAGAACTACACGAGCCCGTGGACGACATATCTTAAACTCAGAGTGCAGACGCTGCACCTCATCATCCTGCCTCAGAAACTAATTTCCCGCTCTGTGATTCATGGAAACGGACTTTCATAGACTGACTGGCTTTCTTCTTCCTTTACAGGGGAAAAAATGGCGTGTCACATAAAAGAGAGTTATAGTCTACTTGTATGGACACACTCTTCTGTGGAGGGCACACTCATGGCTGCTGTAACACAACAATTCAGCACTAACGTAGGAGAGAGGAAGGTTAGCGCCCTGAGGCCGAGGTGGAAATTATCTCTTAATCAAAACAATCATGCAGGCGAAGGCATCAACACTATCACTGATAAATCGACCTGTTATTAGTTTGATGTCTTATATTTTTATTGACCACCAGGAGGACAGCTCAAAGAACTGAAGTTTTTATTTTTACTCGCTAGAAAGTTAGCCTACAACTTGTTGAGTTTTTGCCTGACTAAACTTTTCCTAATAACTTTAAAGTCTGTGTATTTATTTTAAATTCTTTAAGTACACAGCATGATGCTCATTTCGTAAATTATCATTATGACAAATCAGATTTGTAATTTGGGCTCAGATTTCTTCACAGTTACAAACAAAACTTCTGCCTCTGACTGCTTCAAGAGTAAACATCTATACTGCTTGTTATGATCCATAATCACAATTTTAATTCACATTGGGATCTGTTATGTTCACAACAGGAGATGCTTTTGGAACATTTACTTAAAAAACATCAATTTAAAACACTTTTGGCTCAATTATTTTTCAGGTGGGGCCCGCTTAAAATAAGATATTCCTTTATTAGTCCCACACGGGGGAAATTCCAGATTTACAGCAGCATATAATATAAAAAGAGAAATTAAAGGACAAAGAAACTTAGAAGTTACATGAGTGCTATTTACAGCTGTTATGTGCATGTTTGATATGTTACAGTTTGAAGAAAGCTGCGACCCGACCAACTGCAGAACTTGACTGACAGACGGCCACATGGAAGTGTTTGTTTTAATTTCCTCTTTTTCACGTTTGAATCTCTATTTTTATCTCTGAACGTCCATTTCTTTAAATATTTAACAACATATTTAAATATGGAATAATCTTGACAGCCGAATAAAAAAAAAACTAAAAATAATAGCATTAAAGCTCTTGAGTTGGTCAGTATTTTTATGAAACAAAAAGGGGCGGATGAGTAAGAGGCATGGAGTTGGTTCAGAGGATTGTAATAATAACATCTGGTCTGATCTAATAGTCTGAAGTGTTATAATGAACTAAATTAGAAGAGGTAGGTAAAAAAAAAAGATTGTATCAAATTGTTATTGGCAAAATAAAACTGTTGTCCCTTTAAACTGTCAGACATGAAGAATATAAAGTGGGAATCCACTCAGCTGTTGATTAAAGCTCTGTATCCCAGACCACCTCTGTCCATTTCAAACCTAAAATTGTTTCTGAACAGCGTGTTTGACGGATTAGTCTGGTGTCACAGTCTTTCAGAGTCCAGTCCCAGCGGCCGCCTTCCTCTGCTGGTGCTGCTTGATCTTGCTGGGAGTCTTTCCAATATTATAATTACCCCTGCTCTTCATCTTCGACCTCCCACCCCCATTTCATATCTGGATTGTCCTGAACAATCAGTTTGACTGGCAGAGTGATGGTGTGTTCACTGAACATCAGAAATATAAAGAATTCATTAACGTGGACTCTCAAAGTCATCCGCATCGTCCTTATTGAGCAATTCAAAGAGAAATTAAATCTTGTATAGGAGAAAGAGTGAGAGGGTCATTCCCTTTTCATGAAAAATGCTTAGTGTGCTGGAAATCATAAAGGACTGTGGTCAAAGTCAAAGCATTGACGTGTGAATGGCAACCCTACAGTGACCGAAAATCACTGCACAATGACTTCTATCCACCCTAAAATGAAAAATAACTGGAAAATAACCACCTCTTACTGACTGAAAATCACCCTACACTAACAAATAACCACCTTCAACAACAACCTGAACTAAAGAGTCACCCTCTCCTACTTTCGGGTAACCATTCTAGATTTATTTAGTATAAACACTATACACACAGTATATATTTATTTATATAGTCTATGTAGTCTAGTCCAAGGCTTATAACCACCCTTTACTGTTCAATAACAACCAAAGCGTGCAAAAATGGCTCTTCCTTGACTAATAACCACCTTTCACTGAGCATAACACACCCACACACCGACTATAACTACCTTGTGCTAACGAATAACTTCCTGTTAATGGTTTATAAATACCCCATCCTGACTTATATCCAATGTACCCAAACATATACTAACCTTGCAGTAAAAACTGAAGATACAGTGTGTTAAAACAGGAGTATTTGTGATTTATAACAGTCCAATTCAGGATTGAAATGTCCCCTTGCTCACTCTTCCCACTGGTGGAATACGGTGGCCTTCAACGACAAAAAGCTCCTTTAATGCAAGATGAGTATGACCACCCGTTGGTCAAGTTTTTACCATCAAAACACCTTTACACCAACAAGTAACCATTCCTTTCTTTCCAATAATCAACTCAAATTGACTCTTTACCATCCTACACTACCCTACACTAACTGCCCCCTTTTACTGACTAATAACCAGCCTCCACATGGACTTTTTGGCTTACCAGTTGAGTTGGCAAATAATCACCAATAAAGCATATTTTTTTACTGGCTGAAAGGATCAATTGGGTTTATGTGCAACATACATTTTCTACAGTACATTAGGTGAATATAATGACATGTTAAATACAAACTGAAAGAGTAGGCCAGAGCAAAAACTGGCGGTAACTGACTGGTTTTGATGAACGGTTAACCAATCAAGCCTGTATATAATTAATTTAAAGTCTTGATCCTGGAAAAATTGGTTGCAGTCAGGCAGCTAACCACAGTTTTTAAATTACATTTCTATTTTGGTACTTTTTTTTTTTTTTAACCAGCCATGTGGCGTATAGCCCTTTAAGATTTATGGGCCAATTAGAGAATCTGCCTGCATTTAGTACTTCAGGCTGTTTATAACCATCTAACACTGAATTAAACCCACCCTAAACTGAACAGTAATTAACTTCTATTGACTACTAACCATATTACACCAACTAATATTACACCCACACTGGGAAACAAGTGTGATACAGTGACACAAACAACTGAACGATTACTTCACCAACAAAAAACCACCAGCACCTCCCTGAAAAACACCTTCTACTGACTGATAACTTTGCAATACATGCGCTTCACTTCATGTAAAAATAAAAGTATCAATTTAAAAATACTGCTGGTTTGAAATCCTGCATCCAAACTTCTGTTTCTCAGGACATTAATGCTGGAAAAAAAAACATCAAAAGTTAAAGTATCACTATGCCAAATGGCCCCTTGTTAAATTATGGAGCCTTCAAGGCTCGATAGAAACATGCTGTATTTTTTATCTCAAGCCCAGAGATAATAATTCATACAAGTTGTTATCGAGAGCAACAAGATAAAAAATAGATTTTTCAGGACTTCAGGGGCTCCCCTGTTGGTTTAGTTGGAGGGCAGTTTACAGCTTTATCACTGTGTTCAAGATGACCCCCCTGCAGAGCTCTGAACAACCCTTTCTAATCAGTAGCAAAACAGAAAACATCCGCTTAGGGGCTTTTTATCATAGCTCTGCAGCATATGTATTATTTAGAGTGAGATCTCTAAGTACTCTAAAGCTTAATTACACTTTACATTAATAGTTATAAGAAGCGAACTGTGCCTATCCAGTGCAGAGATGCAAGGATTTGAAGCACTTTTTGTGCTAAGGATATATTGTCAAAGACAGAGTGATATGACTGCATCTCAAAAGTTCAGAGCAGAAGTAGTTCAAGACAGGAAACACAGCTCTTAAACTGCAGATTTTGGTACCAGCTATTAGAGCTTCTATTTTAGACTGTGTCTTGCCGCAAAAAAAGGGGGCAACCATAATGGAAAAGGCAAAGGACCCAATTTTTGCAGGTCGTGTCAATAGAAGAAGATGTGCTGAAGTCTCAAGGTGTTGCATTTTGAGCAACAGGCCCAGCTGAGATCAGTGACCTGTGTCCTCTCCAGCTGACTGAGCACATTTAAAAAGCTCTTTCTCTGCATCCGCATGCCAACATTTGACTTGAACACTTTCACTGAGGCCTTGTCTAAACATATTTAAAGAAAAAACCCCGGAACAGGATGAGGCAGGCAGAGAGAGACAGAGGACACATCAAAAACTTTAATTACACACGCATTTAACGTCACAGATCGGTGATATCGAACCACTATGGTATCAAAAAGATTTTTTTTTTAACTTTTAACAGTGCAATCTTGTTTCAAACAGAGAGCTCAACCAAAAAGATGCAAAGATGAAAAGCTAAAACTGTCGGCATAAATTAACTCCAGCATCCCAGGGGAGGTAGTGAGTGTTTTGAAGCCGACCTAGAAGAAAATTACAGGCATTTAATGGCTTTTTAAAAACACACTGAAAAACAGGTGCTCTCACTGTCAGAGCCTTTAAAATCTCTGTTTACATGATGTGTCATGGCAGGTGGGTAGCAATGGGAAACACTTAAGAGTTTTCCAGAAGCAATACTGCTAAAGAAAGACATATCAACCTTGCCTCTCTGAGTTTAGTGGGTTCCCAGTCGGTCTTTAGACCAGAAAATGATCTGAGTCACTGGATGACTCAGTATGAAGACATTAGTGTCACTGAGTAAATGCTAGCATCGAAGCATGACGCTCAGTTCTAGTCAAGACCACTGTCGTCATTATTCGCATCCAAAGAGTCGTTATAGGGGGTGAGGCTATGTTCTTTCTCAAAGTACCAAAATCTAAGGCTGGGAAACACACCGCTTAGGGCTGGGCGATATGGCCTCAAATCAATATCACCATATATTGAGCAGTAATATTATATCATATATAATATTGAGCAATATATTAAGCTCGGTAACGATAAATCAATGACAAACTACTCCACAAGGTGCTCACCCACTCCCACATTAACTTCATCTATTTCACCCGCCGCTCCAGCCGCTACATCTTTTGAACTGTCCTCCATCTCCTCACCTGTCTTTCCCTCTTTGTTATGGACTGGATTGGGTGGAGCCACATCTCCGGCGTAGGACAGCGTCTTAAAGGGACATCAGACCATGGTCTACCTACACACATCCAAAATCAACTTTTATTTATTTATTTATTTATTTATTTGACACCGAATCTTTTGACGTGGGCAAAATGACATCGGCTATTGTCGTAAGTTTCAGTATAAAAATTTTCAGTTTACCGCCCAGCTCTACATCCATTACAACAGTGGTTCTCAATCCAGTCCTCGAGCCCCACTGTCCTGCATGTTTTGGATGTTTCCCTGCTCCAACACACCTGATTCAAATGATCAGCTCATTATCAAGCTCTGTAATGGCTTACTAACGAGCTGATCATTTGAATCAGGTGTGTTGGAGCAGGGAAACATCCAAAACATGCAGGACAGTGGGCCTCGAGGACTGGATTGAGAACCACTGCATTACAACTTCCTTGGTGAATTCACTTTATCTAGACAAACTGGTATTTCAACTAAGGACTTTTGGACCTCCAAGACTCAACAGCCCCAACTTTGGAGTACGTGGTATTAAACTGTGATGGGCTAATTTAAAGGTAACTAGTTAAAAAATGCAACTGAAAACATCCTGCAGGCTTCTCCAGGCTCTCAACCTGTGATGTTTCCAACCAAATCACTGCACTGTAAATGAAGATTTAAATCTCTAAAATAACATCTAAATAGGCCCTGATGCTTTTACCCTGCAGCTGGCAACGTTACAATCAAGATTGTTTAGTTTTAAATTAGATAGCAAATATTTCACATAATTAATCTGTCATCTTTGCACCTCTCGTTATCTCTTCACTAAACACATCAGAGCCTGGCTTAGAGTGATGCTGCATTCACATTGATTCAAATAGATGACAATGCAAATGAGAAATGATTGTTGTGTACAACTGTAAGACAGTCAAATGAGGTGACGCTGGCAGAGTACACAGTCCAAAGAGATGGTAAACAGCAGTGTTGTACAAAGCTGAAACTTGCTGCTGTTGTCAATCAATCCACCAATTATCTACACGCCTTATCTTAGCGGGACTGGAGCCAATCACAGCTGTCGATAGACAAGAAGCGGGGTAAACCCAGGACGAGTCACCAGTCTATCACAGGGCTCCACAGGGGATGATAATAGCATACTTTATCCACAGGGGGCAGAAACTAAAGGACTGAGGGGGATCGGAAAAAGGGAATTAAAGGTTTTTTTGTTTGTTGCTAAAGCTATTTGGTGAATTGATCTGTATTTTCTGCAACCATTAAGTCTACTTTATTTTAAATGTTATAGTGGCAAAACAGCAACATGGAGGGTAAAATCTGGTGAAGAAGAATTAGAGAAACTGTTACAGGATGGTTCACCATTTCTCAAAGTTTTCCTTTCTGTTTTGTAAGGATGGTACTGCTCAAACTGTTGGCTCCACTGCTCAGTACTGCCCCCATGATTTCCACTGTTTGGTCTGTGGAAGCTTACAGAAAAAAATCACAGAGGAATCTGATACAGAGCACTAACAAAAGGCTCTGACTTTATCCCTAGTGGACATATAGCATTAGTGGACATCTGGATCTATAATCTGGACTTTGATTGCTACCTTAGAGTGTGGCTGTTGTCGGTGTCTGAATCTAGTGTAGCAGGTTCTAGGGGAAAGGTTTGTGAATCGATTCATTACAGGATGCAAAACAAGCATCACCGCAGAGCTGCAAACAGCATGATGAACATTTGCTATTGAGTTTCTTATTTTTATCATCATTACAGGACAAAAATCTTATTGAACTGACATTTGGTGATGAGAAATTTGACTTTGAACTTTTTACTGTTATGGCCTCACATTACCTTTCATAAGAGCATTTCCAATAAGATCCCTACAGTGGAGTTTATTGATTTTACACTTGTAAAAGAGAGAGCTTTGCTTATTAGACTGCTGTGGTGTCAGGACAGAAAACTACACATCGATATACACACATTTTTAATCTCTGGGAGCTTGTCTGCAAACACTCACCTGCCCAACGCCTCCTCTTGTTTAGTCTTGTCCTAAAAGCCATGTTGGTATCTTAAGGTGGTTGTTTTTTTTCCATCAGTGCTGTACGGATATTGTCTGCTTTTATATGAGTTGTTGGCTTTAGTACCCACACCCAACATGGAGGGGTAAAGCCAATTTCCCACCTCACTAGACCAAATCGTTTGTTTTATATTCTAAATAAGAGTTTCTTCAACTTTACTCCCAAACACTACCAAATATTTGAGCTCATCATCGAGTCCACGGAGCGATAACCCATCCCGCCAAAATAAGAGCTGGTTTTATGGATGCATGTCCACGCACTGAGAGTTAAAATAGAGACCGAACAACTTTAATAATCGGATATTTTATTCATAACACCTGAATCTATGACCATGGTGCATATCCCTTTGAAATGATAAAGCATTGACTCTGCTATAATAGAGCACCATTCCTTTACAATAATACCATATTGAGTTGTACTAATGGTGTTCCAGCTCTTCTAAATGACTCGACATTATTGTGATTGGTTGTCTGCCTCCGAGTAACTCGTCCTCTAAGACAACTTGCCTCTCTGCGGGGGCATTAAAAGTTTCTCACAGACAGATTGAAGTTCTGTTAATGGCTCATTAAATCTAAATTATTTTACACCCTCCTCAACACAATCATCTGTTTTCATTGACAACTGCTGAACATCGAGGAAATTTCTCTATGGAAGAAAACAGAGGCAGCACCGAGGAGAGCGCCCGCAGCCATCTGAGTTGTTTAAGCCATTCTCTGAGCGTTTAGTCAGAGCCAGATGGGATGACTTCACCGCCGTCAACTCGGGCTCACTTTCATTTCCATTTCCCAGCTGCTGAGCCCTGTCATGACTGTCACATGTGCGAGGCGGTGAGTGACTCGTACGTCCCGCTGGGGAGTCAATTTTACCCTTTAAGGACGCTGAGCTCGGAGTAAAGAAAAAACCTAATCACACAGGACACTGAGCAGCGTTTCTATTGTAATCAAACACGCTCAATGTCATTTCAAGGAAAATCAAAGAAATAAGCTGAAATATTAGCATCAAAAGAGGCCTCTGGATGCTGTCTCTCACTGCAAACTGCTGCTGTCACTGACGATGAATTATACACCCATCAACCATAACGTTATAACCACCTTCCTGATTGTGTAAGCCCCTTTCTTGTCAGGTCGAGGTCAACACCATCCTGACCTGATAAGATATGAGCTCCTCTAAACCTCTGAATATGAGCTGTGGTACCTGTCATGGCATTAACAGCACATCCTTCAAGTCCTGGACGTAGTAAAGTTAAGCCTCTTGGATCAGGTTTATTTTTCGAGCACATCCAACAGATGCTTGATTGTATTTCCATCTGGAGACACCGGAGGCCACTTTAACGCATTAATCTTGATGTTGTTTCCCTCCAGGCCACCTTCTTCTATTGCGACACAGTCTACCGCTGATGCTCATGTACCTATAAGAGGCATTCTCAGCATTGGAAAAGCTTGAGAATGACTGAGTGGAAGTCTAGAAAATCTCTCGCTGATTAAATCGTCGAACCCAAACTCTTTGGATGGTCAGTTAGAGCCATCAAACGCTCATATAGCCAGAGACTTTGTCCTTTTTTGGGACTGAAAAGTTGCTTTTTTCCATGTTTGTGGAAAGTCCTGCAGAGGCTTGCAGCCAAGTGGGACAAATGTGTCTCACTAGGAGATGCACAAAAGCACAATAGCCCACAAACAACCCCTGAAAAGCAGCTAATGTTACTACCAATTTTGGGCTGTACATGTGTAAATAGTCTCAATTGTATCGGAAAAACTTAGAGGGATATTCCAGCGTAAATTCAGGTTATGGTCAAACACACCGTAAGACTGAGTTAGACACCTCCTCAAGAGATGAATGTTGCCGACTGCTTGCTTCTCTAGTTATACCAACTTTAGTTACGACCACACGATAGCAATACACAGGGGTCTATGGATCCATGCGCACACCTCAACCAAAACGCCACTCTATAACCACAAATAATGCTCAGAACAGCACCTAACTTCATCAACAAGACATAAAGGGTCCCAGCCATAGCACTAGCCACCAAACATCTTTTTAACTTTGCCTGATTTCTTTAACAAAGAGACTAAACACAACTCACCCACTCTCCTCCAGCAGCCGCTTGTTTGTGGGGGAGCCCTGATGAGTCGATTACCGAGTGCAGCGGATCATTTCGATGAAGTAATAATCATTTGAATAGTCTTTTTGCACTGCCGACACAGTAGTTCCGTCTTCCTTGAGCTGGGAAACTCCACTGCACTCGGTGATCGACTCGTCAGGGCTCCCCAAAAAAAAAAGCGGCTGCTGGAAGAGAGTAGGTGAGTTTTGTTTAGTCTCTTTGCCAAAGAAATTAGGCAAAGTTATAAATATGTTTGGTGGCTAGTGCTGTGGCTGGGACCCTATATGTACTGTTGATGAAGTTCGGTGCTGTTCTGAGCATTATTTGCGGCTATAGAGTGGCTTTTTGGTTGAGGTTTGTGCTGTGTATTGCTATCGTGCGGTCGTTGCTGAAGTTGGTGTAACTAGAGAAGCAAGCAGTCGGCAACATTCATCTCTCAAGGAGGTGTCTAGCTGTGTTACGGTGTGTTTGACCCTAACTTAACTTTATGCCAGATTATACCTTTAACTGCTGAATACATGAAAAAAAAGGCTGTAGCAGCATACGGAAAATCACATAGTCTGGCATCAGCTCCTTGTCTGTGGTCTTTGCAGTGGTCTTGCTTGTCATAATCACACATTATCATTCATTTAGATCCATTCCACTACCTCAGATTTGCCATCAAAACCCAAGTGTTTTGCTGAAGTTGTACACCTGCACACATAAAAGAGAGCTGGAGGGTATGTGGTTTTATTTCACTACAACAAATACACAGTTCAGTCTATCCGTGCAGCCTTGCATGGGTTTGATGGTGCATTTCATAAACTATCACAGGGCTCTGCAAAAGTCTGCCTCCAAACAGCCTCCTTCACTGGTGACTATAAAGGTCAGCTAATCGCTCAGGGGCTAAAAACTTGTCCAGAGTCATTTCTTTGTCATTTGGCGTTATTTTTTATGAAAGAAAAGAAAAATGGATCAAAACTATAACTCAAGTTTGGTGGGGGAAAAAAATCTGAAACTTTACTTTTAGGTGGACCCTCAGTGACTGAACTGGCTGACAAACAAATCCTTACATGAGAGTAAAAAAGTAAGCATTACAGAGCAAAAGTACTGCAACAATGGGCACTTTATCGGAGGATTTGATGAGAGTTTTTGAGCTGTGTGAGACTGCCTCAAGTGGCCAGCCAAGGAAGTGTACTTCCCTTTTTCCTACATGAGGTTCCTGCCTGGTTTGACCTAAAAATCAGCAGACACCTGATCGTCAAAGCTGACATTAGCCTTACTCTGAAAGGACTAGCACTATCCATGCACCCATAAACCAGGTCTTATAAACTAGAGACCTTGAAACAAAGCGGACTGAATCCTTGTTTCTGAAGATTTGCGCACATTATTCCACCACAGGGCCCAACAGACCTGCTGTGCGATGATGCCATAAGGTATTAGCCTCAACAGTGTGAAGCTGTTTGTATCAGACTTAGCTGAATCTCTGTGGGCTGTGAGCTGCTCTGTGGTTGGCTGAATTTTGAGTACATTAATTTTAAATTAATCTCACAGGATAAACAGCTGATTGGAGGGAACATAAGTAGACTGAAAATGTTTATTAAAAGCAGCCTTAGCGATTTTTCATCATATTCGCAGCTGCTCTACAATCAAAACAACATTAATGCAGAAATGTATTTGACCCATTTTACTGCAGTCAAACGGTCTGTTTGGTTGTTAAAAGAAAATGATCCGTTTGAACATTTGCCTACAAGCTGAATACATTAAAGTGAGTACACATAAACTCCAATAATGCCGCCCTGTCTTTATTAAATAAAATAAATGAATGTTTAATGACACTCACAGGAAATAAGGGTGTTTCTTCTTATTTCTTATGGATTTAATTGCTGCCACTCTTATTTATATCACACCACAAACAAGGTGAGTTCATCCTGCAGGGATCACGAGTGTGAATCAGGATGGAGTGAGATTATCTCAACCAAAGCTAAAATGAGTATCTGACTGTCTGCTTCTACTTTTGGGTTCATTTATATTTGTCCTTAAACCTTCAACATGAAGAAGGGAGCCATTTGTTTTCTCTTTATGCAAATCTCGCAGAGGTTTTGATGTGTTAATCGGTAATTTGTCATTTTTCATTCAGTTTTATTCCTGACTTTTTCAACTTTTGGGCCAATTAAGTGTCAACAGGTAAAAATAAAGCAGCATTTTAGTTTAGAGGCTTGCTTTCTACCACAAATGAAAACCTTTCAACAGCTGTGCTCAAGTTCAAAAGAGCTGGCTGAGTTGTTTCACATATGGAGGTCAGAGCATTCGGTACACTCGTACAATGCAATGTGCAAACAGCTCTGGCATGAATTCACCCACCTTCCTGAGCTGATGACCGTGCAGCAGCATCCTCGTCAGCTCCTTCAGCGATTCCTCCACCCGTCTCTTGAACTCCGCAGACGGCAGCTGCTGAGAACAGAACAGGTCCATCGCTTTGGCCACCACCTGACAGCCCTGCAGGACCAGGTCATCAGGTCCCAGCAGAGGGGGGTCCCTACAGGCCGACACCACCGAGTCAAGGAGCTGGCACACTGAGTCCATGAGCACTGACCCGGCATCGCTGTCGGAGCAGAACCAGAGAGGCTCCAGACCTCTGCTGTTTGTTCCCACTCGCTGCAGAGCACACAGAGATTGAAGGAAGTGCACATGAGGAAGAGCAGATCTGCTCGGAGGAGCTGCCTGAAGACTGGAGGGGTCTGGAGGCTGAAGGGGACCGGGGACGGGTTCAGGGTCCTGTAGCAAGAAGTCAGGGGTCTCTGAGTCTGACTGGAGGTCTGAGCAGCTGGCTGCATTTGCTGGACCGAACAGATCCTGAGAAACATCCGTCGAGTCGTCCTGACCTGCAAGATTATATGCAGAATCGCACGTTGTCATTGTGAGGCAATCATCAGTAATTGCTGATTAAGTTTGCAGTGTGCAAGTTAATCGTGTCAGTCGCTCTCGTAATTCTTCTGCTTGTTTTACTTTGGAGGAACTGCTGATGTGAACAAGTTAATACCAAGGATGCACGAGTGAAGTGGGGGGGCAGGAAGCTCTCCGAACAGAGCCACAATGCCAAATATAGCAACTGCATGCTTATAATTAATTCCTTTAATGAAAGTGGTCCAGACTAAATTTCAGTTGCTGGCTCTTTTAAGGATTGTAAAGCACTCCAGAACCCTCCACTCCTGTTGCCATGCGACAAAGTTGTCACTTTTGAGTTAAACGGTGTTTCAGTGTTTAAAATGACATATTATTGCTGCCTTCCAGTCATACTCGGAAGTCGGAATTTCCAAGCTCTGAGTCGGAAATTCACCTGGAACAACCCTATGAAGTCGAAGCCAAAAGTCAGAGGATCCTCACCAACCCCGACTTGACAATATCTTCATAATCCAAGATGGCAGCCCAGTGCATCAACAGTAAAGAGTAACAGTGAAAGCTCGTCATGTATTATTTTTTAGCACTTGTTTTGTTTTTGTGACATTAAATAAGTGGTTTATGTTGTACTGCCCAACCTCTAACTGTGAACCCGGTGCTATGGTGTTTGTAAAAGCAAAATACTGTGTTATGCGGTGTTTACAACTGTTATAGCTAACATCAACTAACAGCAGCTGACAATTGTTAACAACGGCTAAATGTAGGCATCCATCTTGGTTTTCCGACTTGTTTACTGGAACGCCGTCAACCTGGGTGTAACGTCATTTCCAGCTCTGACTTCCGGGGTAACTGGAAAGCAGCATATGAACTATGGTGGTTTGTTTTGGGCCTAAAATTTGACCCATAAAGTTTAGACAGTGACGAAAAGTCCCCAGACATGAAGAGCGGGGCAGACATACTGTTTGGGAAGTGCTGTGTTTACTATGTGCTCTAATTGGGATTCAGTAATTGTTGATGTTACGACGTCTCGCCTAGTCCTTGTGTGACTTTTTAAACAAGCTGTTCATAGCAGCCTGCTGTCTCATCCTGGAATTACTCCAACACACAATTTGGAACTTTTCCCACCTTTGTTAATGACATTCAACGCTTTCACATAATATTTCTATGGAAAGCAGAGAATGAGCAATTAAGAGCACTTCTTTAAGGCAACAAAATAAAGATGTATGTTTTAGCGTCAATGAACGTGCATTGAAAACACACTTTTTTTTTTTAAATCTGGCTTGCATTTCCACATTTTCCTGTTTTTTTCTGTATTGTGCATCCTTAGCAACTCTGAAAACAGAGCATGTAAGAAGAGTAAATCTGATTAATTCCCCGTCTTTTAAACACTGGGTCTGTTTGATATTGAAAGAAAGAATACTGGAGGAGATCCTCACGCACCTTCAGAACAACAAATCCGCATTTTGGTTTGTAAATTACAGGCTGAACTGGAGGTCTTTTTCATTGATTAGTCCAAACAAATTCCAGGGGACAACCTTGATAAGATTCTTAACAAATTCCTGTGTGCCTGTTTCGCTACCAATGAACAGAATAATAAGAACACAGTGACATGAGGATGAGAAAAGAAATAAGAAAAGACCTCCGCTATAAATGAGCGCCAAGAAATATGTGCATTGATGGAAAAACGACAGGAAGCATTTATTAATTATTATTGGAAGGAGAGCAAAAACCCTATACCACATGACTGATCGTCCATACTGATAATCATAATTAAAGCGTGAGCATTATAGTAGTTTTAATTACAGTGAAATATGTTCAATATGATCCCAGAGGTAATAACTGGGAATTTTCCAACCAACCTTGAAACTCGTAAACATGTCAGTTTGATTTGGTAACATTTATATCATCACCCATATCACAACCGGGGAACTATCCCAATGTTTCACTCAGAAAACAGTAAGGTAAAGTTCAGGCTGAGGATGAAAACCTGTATTTTCACACATATTTACATTTAAAGTAGGCGTTAAACCTGGTTTAAACAAGCGTATGTGAAAGTTGGGAAATATTTATCCGCTTTCAGGAGGGACCATGATGCTTTGTTGTATTTCAAGTCCCTAAAACCTCCCAGTGGGCTCCTAAAATCATAATAACAGAGGCTGCAGCTCATAACTCTCTAAACAGGTGGACCTTGGTCATTATTTCCTTACCTTGTGCTCCTGAACGTCTCCCCTCGGCCCTCCAGGTTTCAGATTTAGGAGGACGAGTACTTACCTTGAAGCAAATGCAGCCATAAAGGCTTCACTGTTTATAACTCTGTGTGTTTTGTGTTTCGAAATGAAAAATTCTCTGCCGGCTAACTGGAAACCTGCTCCTGAGATTTAGATGACAACATAATTTAAAACCAGTTGGGGAGATTTGGCAGGAAGCAGACAGCAGCAGGTCCCTCTCAGAGAAATGAACCCCTGAATAGGAGTTATATAGACAGATTGATCTGCATTTTGTGCCCATCATTAATATGATGTCTACTAAAGCAGGAGACAGGTTTCCCACAGAGGTCACTATACCACAATAAATACAGTAAACTGGACTATATAGATCTCTCCAGTCTTCAGGCCACACGGTTAAGAGTACAAATTTGAACTCTAATATGGATATACAAACTGTGTGCAATATAATCTGATGTTAACCATCTTTCCCCTGACATCTAACCTGCTCTATCAAACTTACCAGATAAACATTCTACATGCACGACAGGAGAAAGCAGGAGGAGAGAAAGAAGAGCAGGGAGAGGAGCAGGAGGAGGAAAGAGTGCAGGTATATCTGTGTGTGTATCTGAAAAGCAAAGGGACAGAACGAGTATAACTAGAGTATAACTGAGAGCATAACTGAGAGCATATTTACTCGACCAAACATAGCGGAAGAGTGTGTCACAACAGCCAATCAGAGTCGAGCTTTTCCTCTTCACTTCTGTAAGTTGTCGGAGAAGTAAACCGAATGACCAAACGTGGAGCTAAACGTGGAGCTGAGGGCAGCAAGATAGATGTCAGCCATGACTTTGAGTCATCCACCGAAGATGTTATTGTTGAGAAGTTATTATCGGTTGTGTGGCGGTGGTTCCGGTATCTCCAAAGTGACGTCGAGCAATGAAGCTGGTGCGCAAGGTATGTCGGCGATCAGTGCCCTCAAAAACCGGCTACACAACAGATCTGTTTTAATCATTTGAAGAAGTACTTCCCGAGTGATTATGTGGAAGGCATGAAAATGCGAGCGGAGTCTGCACAGTCTGTCACTGCTGACGGCACGAGTAGCATTAGCAATTTAGCCACATTTAGTGGTGCAGCCACCAGACCAACGCAGCAGTCAATCTATCATCTATGTTTACATTTTAAGGCGTCTTCATCATCTCTGAGGGGGTGATTTTGGGTCTTGGGAATTTGTTGTATCAAGATCGGACAATATGACAAAATACATCGTGATCATTTTTTTTGCCAAATCACCCAGGCCTAGTGTCCCCACCTGATATTGACATTGGATATCGATCTCATATTAGCAAAAAAAACAAACATTGGATCCAATTCAGACTCCACTCCAGCACCACTAGCTAGCTAACAGCTCTCGTATTCAGAGATTACGAAAGATTTCTTTTCCATTATCACACAGCCAATAGTCAATACATTGAACTGTTCTTTAACATGATAACAGGAGAGTCAAGGACGTGGGATGTGGGCATTTATATACACCACCGTTCATGTAAACTGATCGGCAGATCTCATTCTATGACTCCCGGGGAAACACACAAGTTCTCGTCCAGTCTCATGGGAAATATCGGTAATCTCACGAGCGCTTCTCCTCGGATGGCAGCAGCAGATCGGATCCGGCGGGCGCTGTATGCTTGCATATCTGATCCGCCTGCCGTTGCGGATCCAGTGGGATCCCGTCCCAACAACCTTTCTCTCCATGTGCTAACTCTGTCCCTTAACTTTACTAACACCTGTCCCTTTTCCTCTTCCTGGCATCCTCTTACATCCCCCTCCCCCCGACTGCATGAAAGTTTTTTACCACTGTTATAAAACTTCTTGAAGATACAAAAGTCCCCAATGAACACATTCTTCACTGCAACATCTACAGCGTCTTGGTGCCCCCAAACTTGGCAGACAGAACAGTAATCTTTGAATCTCTGTTTTCTTGTTTTCATAATCTCAGGGAGCCAAAACTGTGACTGGAATTCTATATTATCGCCCCAGCTCTACCCAGTGCACCCTTATTTTTGGATTGTTTGTATTCGCTTTGTCATTAAGACAAAGAGCTCCATCATACACCTGGTGTGCAGAGCAAGTATCATTTATTATTTTTACCAAACGCCCTACGGTCATTTTTACACCCAGCACTGACGTTGTATAAACAGCAAGAAAACTTGTCCCAATGTTAACACCTCTAGGTGTGCTAGCGGAAAAGAAAACGACAGAATACAACAATGTGATCCAACTTTTTTCTGGAATGTAAAGCATGAGTGGATCCTGTCCAACTCTGCCTGGGTGAGGCAAGTTTTAAATAACTAAAAGAGTTAATAATACATGTGTGTATCTGTTAGTTTGGAAAGTCACTCTAGTTTCCACTATCCAGAGTAGATATAACATCAAACATGCAGTGACCTGTGTGTGTTTTCTACACTTTAAGGGCCTGGTGGAAGGAAAGACGTTTAAAGTGTTTGCTGGAGCTGGGTGTACTTGAGTGGAAAGGCTGAGATCTACTGTGTAAATACCACTGTGCTTGCTTGCAGGTACACCTGACTTTTAAAGAATATGAAAGCAGACCCACTGATCAGTTTAAGTCATGCTATGCTCAGGTCGTACCTGTGAATAATCAAAGGGCTTATTCCAACATAAGCGTGCCCCGGGCTTCACTTAGCACCCAGATTCTGCCACACTTGGCGAGTAAAATGTGGTTACACAAGCACTTTTTACTTGTTTTACCGTGTGCTTCAGACTGTGAGCTTGACATCATTTATGTCGGGCTCTGATTCTTGTGGAAAAGGGGACTGAAAGGAAGCAAAATGTGCTATTAACACTAGTTTGTGACTGAGTACTTGAATAAATCAGATAATACAGTACAAAATATGGTAATAATAATAAGAAGAAATTAGCTACTGTAAACAGGGTAATATTTTTCTGCAAATGTTTCAATTGGCCTTGCATTTTGAATCCACCCTAAGAAGGTCAAAAGGATGAAATGATAACCCCCTTTCTCCTTCCTTCCCTCTCTTTCTCTCTCTCTCTCTTTCTCCCTCTCCTCTCTCTCTCTCAGTAGCAGTGTGCAGCAGGTGATCATTAGCAGCGTGTGAGATAACGTCAGGACAGCCCGCTCGCTGTCTGAGCTCCTCGGAGGACTCGTGTCAGGATGTTCCCGTCCTTGAGATATCCTCTGCCTGCACTAAAGACATGAGGAGAGGCACACCGTGTGCTTCCCTATCTTTATAAAGTGTCTGCTCTGTTTTAACAGCAGCTCACCTTCCCGTGTTAAAAACAGCCACAGAGTAGGTCACTGCATGAATTAATCTCAAACTTTGACTCTTCAAGGGTGAAACTAACATTTATATGATAAATACCAAAGTTTTCCCCGACAACTCTGACTCGAAGCACAATCAAACAAAGTGGCTGCCACAACCGTTCCACTTTTCAGACTGATACTCTCTAATTTTAGGAACCAGCACGATTTTTATTGAGTGCTGCCCCTAAATAATAAAGTACTGACATTACGGTGTGCACCTTTTGTGTTAATGAGCAATAAAAGACATAAGGAGGGCAATTTTTAAAGAGAATATGTTTGGTTTTCTTTCTAATAGTAAAAATCTTTCTTTAAATACTTCCTTATAAATCATTTCACTGTTAAAGACATGTCGAGATTGAGGTTGCAGAAGTTGCAGAGCTAATTTTAAAGCGTTAAAACAGCTGAGGAGAGTGGAATAGAGTGGGGGACGACATGCACCAAACTGTCACAGGACAGAGTCGACCCAACAACCTGTGCATTAGAGCTTTGTGCATAAGCCACCTGCTCTACCAGCTGTAGTCAAAATACTTGAACAGCTGCATCTTAAATCAGTCAGTACAGTCAGCGGATCATCTGCTGCAGAGACACCAAATAAATTAGCAGCTATTCAGTTAATTATTAAAGTTGTTTTAAATGAAATTTCACTGCTCCAGGAAAGTGAATGTGACTGTTTGCTGCTCTGTCTTTAAACAAATATAACATTTAAATTCTGATGTTACTATTCATTTGTGTTACTCTGCCATGCTTTAACTTCAGATGCTTTTAGATGCCCTTTTTACTGTTTTTAAAGTGTAAGGTGACTCCTTTTAACCGCTTTTCCTCCTCCACAGGTTACCTGCACACACGGATAACAGAGGCTCACCTGCAGTCTCTGTGGAGCTCTTTGTGTTGGACGTCACTCTGGTGATCAGTGATTCCTGTCGCAGCCTCAGCACCTCCTGCTGCAGCTCCTGGGCTTTTTTCTTCCAGCTTTCATCCTGACTCCTCAGCTTGCAGCCCAAAGCCTCAGCGTGCTCTCTGCCACTCATACCCTCGGGCCTGTTCTTTATTATCAACACCGCCAGCGCCACTTGAGCTTTCTGGAGAATCCACGCTGTCTGACCAGCTCCTGGAAGAGAATTTTAGGGAGACAATCAGTAAAACTTCCCCAGAAATATTACCATGGTGCTCAAACTCTACCCACATTAAAAGTTTTACCAGAGTTTAAGACTTTGGACCTCCTTAAGCAGCGGTGCAGAGAAAAGAACACAAACTTACTGAACATTTGCTGGACTAAAACCATTACTCAATATGTAAACCAACCTAATATTATCCCCATGTGTTTTGATGACTTATCACTAAAGTAAGTTTTTATGCAAAAATACCTCAACTCAAACTGCTCAGTTGATGATTTATTGTTTTTTACTTATGCTCCAGTATTTGTTCAAGAAATGAGTGCTAAAAACAGTATCCAATATCTAGAGGACTGCAAACATTAGTACTCATACAGTTCACAGTCATGGCTTAGCTAGTTTAACCAAGATACAGACTGGTGTGTTTAGAGCTGTATTCAGCGTGACTGAAATCACATGGCAGACTGACTTCATATCTCTCTTTGCAGAACATTATAAGTGAAATCTCCGAAAATAAGCTTCAGAAGGAAAACTAAAGCTAGCATAGTAGCTATAATGCATAGCTAACATTGGCTAACGTACGTACTACCAACACAGCAGTCATTCGTCGTTTTTGTTGTAAAACTACGTTACGAAAATTAATCGATAATTCGTGGCAAAACAAATCATTTACCTTCTAGGGAGTCTTGTTGAGTATCCATGTTTTGTGCATCTTCACTTAAACTTCCTCACAAAGTTCGTGTCTTTTAAAAAGCTGATCCAGCGCCAGTTTTGGTGTTCTGGAAGAAACGGTTACCATGATATTTTGGGTCCGTAGTGTGTTCCGTAGTTGGGTTTAAGGATGTCGTTATTTAAGAAAACTTGTGATTGGTTCGTGATTGGTTTGATTCATGATTAATTTTTCATAAATTGTATTATTATTTTTCTATTTTTTTTTCAAGGTCTTTAAAATATTAATAAATCAGGAGACTTGGACATTATTTGACAGGCTAACATTTGCTTGGCTCAGAGTTAGCCTGCAGCATTGAATAAAATATTTAATTTTAAGTCTATAAGCAACAGATATACGGAGGAGGATTAGGGCCACTGGGGAAAAAAAGGTCCAATACAAAAAAGTCACAATTATGTCACACTCAAAATTTTGAGTTAAAAGTCATAATTCTGAGGGAAAAAGTCAGGATTTTGAGATTAAAGTCAGGATTTTGAGATTAAAGTCAGAATTCTAACTTTAATCTCTGTATTTGGACTTTTTTCGTAGAATAATAATTAACTAATATGTAAAGGACCTTTCTTTCAGTGGCCCTATTCCTCCTCTGTACAGAAATGTTTAATCAACATGAAGAAAAAAATTCAGCTGGATATAAAAAATTAGACTGGCTGATGGTTAATTATGAGGGGAAAAAAGGCCAAAAGTAAGATCATGTTTAAGCTAAAATGTTAAGTTTAGCTAGAATTATATACTTCAATGTTATTATTCTGTACAATAATTTTATTCTGTTCAGGAACTACCTGAAACAATTTTCCAAACAAAATTACAACAAATGATTAAATGCCAAAAAATTATGAATATAAAAAGCAAAAAACATGTAAAAGTAAAGTTTAAATTTAAAGGTAGTCAAATAATGAGGTTGGCCAAAATTATGAACAGCAAAACTGATCAAAGGTAAAATAAAAGTTGTTTTGCTATATTTTCAATTATTAGATAAAAATAATTAACCTAAAAAAAAGGGAAAAAAAAGACCAAACAAGCAAACCAATCTGCTAAAGATAAATGGCCATGTCTCGAGTAACAGGTAAAGTTTCAGTTTAATTTTGTGAACTTGTTTATTAAAATATATACATATATATATATATATATATATATATATATATATATATATATATATATGTATATATGGAGGGTAGCATAAAAAATTCCTATATCATTTATACATAAAATTATCCACTGACTGTGGTAGTAAACATAATACAAACTTGATTAAACCTACCTCAGCAAAGACTGCTCCGTTATAAGAGGAGGTTATTTAATCATTCCAATTTGAACCGGAAAATTCTGATAGGTTACTGTAAGTTCACTACAAATGAGCGAACTGAGTGCTTCAGAGATATGGTTTATTGTTTTTTTTTTTTCCCTCAGGCAGGTTCTATCAAACAGGTACAGAGAAAAAGTCACTTTGGTGTTTGTTTTGTCCTCCCTGGGTTAAACTAATGGCCGTATAATTCACTGAAAATCGCCAGAATTTGCATATTGTGATTGTTAACCTTTGGAAACTTTCCTGAATGGCATTTTCAAGTGTCCTCAAAATGTAAGAGCCCTGTTGTCAGAGCATTTCTGACTGTTTCAACAAGCCTGACAGAATCAGCGGCTCATTATCTGCGGCAACAGGCGGCTCTCTTCTGGATCTGATGTCAGGAGAGTCATCCAGCTTTCCTGTTTTTATTTATTTATTTCATATTTTTACAACCATCTTTACTGACTAAAGGCCAAAGTTTACTTTCATCCAGTTAATTTACATCCTGAATGTGGGTGTAGGGCCAATTCAAGGGTCTACTCAGTGACGTTTCTGACAGTGATGTGGTGAAGTTAAGCTCAAGTATTTCTTCTTTATGCTTCTCTGCAGCAAACAAAAAATGTGTACTTCATAAGGTATACATAAGCCAACCATGGGAGTAATTTACAGTCAATGAAGATTTGATGGTTTATCAAAGGAAATCAATCAGTGAAGTTGCTTTTATTTACTTGGTAATAAGTCAGCACATCTGTGAAAGCAGAACAAGAGCAGCTGCAACAAGCTAAAGTTCAAAGTCTTAATCTTTTACACAGATGAGAAAAATAATGAGTATTTTGTTCCAATAAAATAATTCACCAAACAGCTGTTGAAATAAACCCAAACCAGCTGCAAGAGTCTTTCTTTCAAGAGGATTTTTAATTTTCAGGGAAATGAGTAACATGTGAAGCCCCTTAGCTAATCAATACCCCCACACTTCACCATTACAGAGCCAGAGCACAAGATGCACCATATATACAATCAATATATATTACATACTGTATATGTGTATTGTAGCTTTTCATAAACAGCCAAGGACTTTCAGAGATTTTCTATGGCCGACAATAAAAGATTCAGAAGGTTAGTAAACACAATGAAGACAAAGTCTGTATTTCAAACTCTTAGTTACACTCGTACTTTTAAAAGAATGGTTTCATATAGGGTACCTCAGTGGACTTATGCCGGTCACCCAACATCCTTCCACCTACTGGTCACTTCTCAAGAGTATTACTACAAGCTAAAACAACTAATCACATCAAGTACTCAGTAAAGAGCAATAAAACTGTCGATATGACTTAAAATTGATTCTAGTCGAGGAGAAAGTTACAATCAATCATCTCTCCAATAAATAGTAAGTCATTCATTACACCATAAATATTCATGTGAAGACCTTACTCCAGATCCAGTACTTTGAAGATCAACACCTTTGTTTCAGTTTATTCGATCAACCTGAGGGACCACCTTGACATGTTTGCACTACAAACTTTTTAACATCAACAGCCAGACTACATGAAACTTAGTGGATTGTCGCTTGCAACGTTTTTCATATTTTGTGATATTTTTTTCAGCTAAAGAACGACAAACTGCACATACTTTAACTCACTCAGTTCAGTCATCTCTGAAGTCAAGTTGAATTTCTCTGCAGCTTGAATCTGTTCCCAGACATTTCTTTAAATGAGATGACTCAAATGAAGGGAAAGTGATCAAATATTCTCACAGCTCTGTCTGATCCTTTCTCTTTATGCATCTGCGCCCGGGGGGTTGCCGTGTCAGAACTCATCTGTGGTCACACAAAGCATCGCTCATCCCCAACACTATAATGATAAGCATTTATTCCGTTGCTCCGCAGAATATATGAGTTTGAGGACACGACTCTGATGGCGTCACAGTGATGTCGTCACAAGAGAAGGTTATGAGAGTACGGAGAGTAAAGAACAGGGAGATTTTTCTTTATGACTCAGCGGCGAGATCGATACCCTGCTGCTTCAAAATGAATGAATGCCACAAGCAGAATGGACCTACTGAGGGAGAAACGCAGTGTGATGACTTATTCATGCATTAAACCTCACTCTTATTGTACTGGATCGGCCCTAAAAATAAGTGCCAGAGAAAGCATTCTTCAGGAAAGTATTAATATCACACCATAGAAAATCCTGCACAATGAACAAAGTCCTGGGTCCAAACCCTGACATGAGTAAAAGTGCGTTGGTATCATTGTATTCTTTGTTACGTAATTTCAAAAGACATATTTGTATTGTCATGTCTTTTGTGAACAGTTTAGACTCTGACGGAAGAGTTTATATAACACCAGATATTGCAAAACAGATTAAAAGCTATGTTAGGTTCCTCTATTTTGGACTCTCCGTCCCCCTCAGAGTTCAGCTCTATCTACCTCCATGTGGATCAGGAGTGGATTAATTTCGCCTCCCTAAGGGGATTGTTTGATTACGGTGTTGGATGTGTTTTTATTAAATGTAAATCCTATTGTGTTTTGCAGCCTGCTGCAGCAGATTTACATTGGTTCTGATTTATCTTGCGCACATAGCATGCACACTCCCAGTGAATCAGATGTTGAAAGGAGTTGGTTTGGAAGTTTCAATCAGCAACTTTTTAACATCATGGTCAACACCAACATAACCTCAGAACCCATCGACTATCTTCTGATGATGATAAATGCCTTCAAAAAGTATATTTGGCTTTTAGTATTCAGTGTAGCCAGCGTTTAGCGGTTTGGGAAACTTAATATATCAGGTGCTATAATGTATACAGTCCAATCAGGAACTAGAAAGTCAACTAGAATGGTGCTTATGAGTCTCAGTTTCACTGTAAATAGGCAAAGTACAAAGTAAGTTAAGAAGAATCTGGCTTACATTAACATACAAATCCCAAAATTAAATACATTTTGTTGTTTTTCATTTACATCCCATAAATGGCACCAATTCATCTGTCTCTGTGAGTCTCGGTTCCCCCGTTAATAGGCCAAGAATGAATTGGTTTATTTCTCAGATTCTGGCTCACTTTGGTGGAATAAAACTGAAAAAGAAATCAGTTTTCTTAGATTCATCCACATCCTATTATAAGCAACAATGCATTCGTTTGTGGTGAATCGCAGGAGATTATTTGTGACATAGAAGCTTCACTCCGGCTTACTTTAGTCTATAACTTAAACATATGTTAAACAATTAACAGTCAATATTAACTGGTGAAAATGAAAGGCAGTCAAAGTAGAAATGAAGGTACTATTCAATCACAGAGTGAAATGGTTGACAGCCCCCTCTGTGTTGAAGAAGTGTGTTTTGTGCTTCATCATTTTGGAGCTCCACATAATTCTAGTTAAAAAAACAAAACTTTCCTCAGTATATCCTCTGGGAACCATGAATATCCTCTTAAATTCTCATCCTGATTAGTAAAATTTCCATTTTGACTGACAGACACAGACTGAAGATTGAAACAGTAAAAGTATTAAACAAATTTTGTCAGACATTATAATCTGGTTTCAGCCAAACAGCTGCAGAGTTTACAGCATGTGTAAAACACAGCTGTGCTCCTGATTCTGGGAACATAAACACCTCGCTCCTCTTCTGACTGCCCTCGACTGACTCCTGAAACCTTTAGACATTAAAAATTTCTCCTCTAAACTCCCACAGTCACTCCTGAGGTCGTCCTGATTACCCGGCTATTCACCGCACATATGTTTCCAGCTTTACAACATATTCAATTACTGACTGTGTTACTCATTAGTGTGCCTTTACCTGTTTGTTTCTGCTTTCTGCTGTTCCTTTTAACCCCGCTGAGGAAGGTGTTACATGAATACTCACCGACAGCATGGTTCCCGTTTTTTCATTCTTCTTTCTGTGTGACTGATGGAGACTTTGTGTTTCACTTTGTGTCTGAATAAACACCTGGGCGGCGAGCTAAAGCGGTGCAGGTGTTCTGCATCATGGCTGTGATGAATTCTGGTCAGCAAGTTCACAGAAACACTCTGGATGCTGCGTAGCATTCAGGTTTGATTGCTTCGAAAATGGAGAGAGCCGTCAGCTTCATGCATCACAGAATCCTTAATGTGTGACAAATATTTACTCAGCAGGCAGATAATTTACGCCAAATAGGAGCGGAAACTAAAGGAATGCAGAGATGGGTCTGCTGCAGCTCTCCATACTGCTCTTAATGATGACACAGTAAAATGAAGGATGCAGAGATGGATGGATGAATATTAAAACTGTGTATTCTTTAATACCATTAAACCATTTCTCTCTCTCTCTCTCTCTCTCTCTCTCTCTCTCTCTCTCTCTCTCTCTCTCTCTCTCTCTCTCTCTCTCTCTCTCTCTCTCTCTGTCCTCCCTCTTTCTGTTTGGTCATAATGTCTGAGGTGCCCCTGTGCAGAAAGGCTAAAAGACTCTATTATTCTCTGACAGAGTAACAAGTGAGGCCTGTGAGTGGAGACATTTCAGCACCACGGAGAGCTCCATGACATTAAAAACAGCTGAGAAAGCCTCACACTCCCCTCAGACCTTTTCTTTATATTCTGGCACAGCTCAAAATATATTAAAATATCACAGGAAAAGTTCTTTATGTTCCATAATTCAATGGGAACAGTACATTTTCATATATTTATACATTCACTGGATATAAAGTGAAATATTTACAGCTCTTTATATGAGTTATTTTGACTCTTTGGACTTATAGCTCAACAAAATCTGAAAATAAGCATCTCAAACTATCAAACACATTTTAAAAACAACAAAGTAAAGGATGATAAAGACAAAGATGTTTTAGTTGGGGCTTCTCCACAATAAACAACAGCATCGGTGTAGTGTGGTTAACGTGCATCAAATAAAAAATGTGCTGCAAATAAAGGAACATGCTGGACAAAGCTAAAACAACAAATTATACCAAATACAGAAAGCAGGTGGGCTGTTGCATATAATCAGCCAGTGTCAGCCACCATAGACAACGTCCAGTGTTAAAATATACAGTTTTATTAAAATCTGCAGTTCCTCAAGTGTCCACTGGGGCTGGCCACTAAAAGCAAAGGTATCCCCATTGGATCCTATATCACATTGTCTATTTTCACAGGAGAATTTCACATATTTATAACCTTGGTCCAAAAGAGTTCTTGAGAATCCAGTTGTGTTACTGCACCAGGGTTGAATTTTTGTTTTGAAGTATTCATTAAGATTATATTAAGACTTAAAGTCATGGGGGCATTTGCTTAAAGATGGGTGTGGCGGGTTGAAATGATGGACAGGTAGGAGTATTGTGGCTGTTTTCCAGGCCTCTCTGAGCTCTAGCTCTTTGCCTATTTTCATCCAAAATTAGGTTAAATCAGCATTTCAAATACGGTGACCACCATTGTCTCTTTAGAAACTGAGTAACATCATTAAGATAATGTCTATGATTTATGCAGACTATGCTTCTAACATGAGAGTATTTTCTGTTTCCTGTCATCAGCTATGTAAATAAATTGAATATCTTTGATTTTCAACCTTAACATCACCTCACCCTGTCACATTTCTCTGACATGTATAGATAAACACTCAGTAATAAGCAACCACTACTTGCACTTTTGACTTATCATCAGAAAATGAGTCAGAATGAGCTCCTGATGTGATGGCGACTGATTCTGAAGAGCTCTTTATTGGACGGGGCTGAAGGACACACAGTAACAAAGGCTGAGATCCAGCACTGAGTAGAAACTGACTTATACAGAAACAGTTCTGATCAGTTCTACCAGCAGGTTTTACCCCGTCACAGACAGCACACCTCTGAGGACAGGTGAGGCTGTATCCTCTGTTTTTATTGGCTGAGAGTTCAGGGCAATCAGAGACCTGGGGGGAAATTTATTGGCTCATTTCAAAGCATTGATAAATGTTTCAGGTGCTGAATCAGTATCTTTTGATCTATAATCTTCAGTTTAACTGTGGCACTACTTTTTCACCCGGTTAATAACAAACTTTTGATGGATTATCCTACAAACATTTATGTTCTTCATCATCAGGGGTCCAATAAATGGCATCTTTATTTACACTTCCAAAACAAATGTGCAGTATGTTCTCTGGGGTCTGGACTTTTGTATGTGAAGAATTTCAGTCTCTGTTTCACCAAACCCCTGCTGATACATGACTGGACAATACTAGTCTATATAGAAACACCTGCAGTCTGTATGGAGATCAAAAGCAGGTGGAACACAGCCGACACCCCAGCTCCTATCAGCCTTAATCTGAAAACAATAGACCTGTTTTTACTCTCCACAGACAGATGAACAGTAAACCAGTGTGAAGCCTCTGTGAAAGAATTTACATTGAGAAATAGATTGTTTATCTTGGACAAATGGGAACCACCAAAGCAGAGAAAAGATAATGCTGAAGTGCCAGTTCCTTGAGTTTCCACTAGAGGCTGTCTCCATAAGCAAGTCAGTCCCCATAGACCCCCATGTTAAAATGTCCAACTTTACAGCAGCAAAAATCAAGTTTACTGCCTGGTACAATGTTAATTTTGGACTCTGTAGCTTTTTTATCAATTAAATATTTATTTTAACTTTTCTTTTTGAATTACATTGAGGTTTATGTTAATGTTTAATTATGGTCCTTCAGACACCAACTCAAAGTCTCTTTCCACATTTGTGCAGTTAGTGTCTTGGTGCACGTAAAATAAATGATATCATGGTGACTATATTTTTAAATAATGTCTTTAAATGATTTCAGTTACATTACTTAATCACCAAATGTAGGAGGGGCAATGTTTCCTTAAGTCTTTGAAATGCCCATCAATCAGAATCAGAATTGTACAGTGGCCAAGAAGGTCAGCTGCAAACACATGTTTGCAAAAAAAAGTTCACTACTACAAGCCCTCACAACATCACATTTGTCCCCAAAATATCCCACAGAACCCCACCCCCCCAAAAAAAAATGAATAAATAAATAAAATAAAAATAAATAAATAAAATAAAATAAAATAAAATATAATAATAATAATAATATATATAAACAAATAAATAAATGAATAAATAAATAAATAAAATAAAATAAAAAATATAACAAAAAAAAAGTAATAGTTAATGGAATGCAAAGTAGATTGACAAATCAAAAACATTTCCTGTCACGAGAAATAAAAAATTCACACACAACAAAATAAATAGTATTTCTCAAATCAACAAAACATTTTTCAAGACAACAATATTTCATTAAACACTTTAAAATGGTTTTACTTCTGTAAAATATGTTTTTTTACTAACATTTCATAAAATGTTTGGTTTTACTTTAAAGTTATTTAGCAAACTGGAAAATATTTTTTTTTAATATATTTTTTTCTATTTCTGAAAATATTTTCTTGTTTTACAAAGTTTTTTTGAGTCATAAAATGTTTTGGGGTTTATTGAAATATTGTTTTGAAGGGGTTGTGCAGTTGACCTTCACGATCATCAAAGGACTGGCTTTAAATATTGGGGAACAAACTGCAGGGACATACGGAGAATATGGTATAGAGAGCAAAATTAAGATGTAGGATTCCTTTAATCTATTTGAGGGCGGTAAGAGTGAGAGAGAGCGAGAGCGAGAGAGAGAGAGAGAGAGAGAGGCGCGTATAAAACCAGCACTCAGACTTCAGCCGCTCTGAACTTGTGAAGAGACTCTGACCGGATTAAAAAGCAGAAAAAGAGACACCAGTGTTTTCTTTCTGATACTTAAACTGGATGTTGGCGTGAATCTGACAAATGTTTGAAAATTTATCAGAGAGGTTTATTCTGGATGATGGAGCGCCATTTTTACGCGCTGTCTCATTTTGATTTTTCGGATCTCTAAGTTGATTATGTGTGTGAAATGCTCGGGGAAATGTGAGTAAGATGAAGAAGAGGAGGCAGAAATGTGTCTCTGAGGTAACACCTGTGGTCTGATTGTTGGATAACTGCTGCTGCCGCTGCTGCAGGAGATGGAGCCGCTGTTATTCTCCAAGAGACGAGCCCCGCGCGTGGCGGATGAATATCTGAGTGATTTCAGAGTGATCTCCAGGCTTTCCTTCGAGCTCAATGACAGGGGGATCTGACGAGGGAAGCTGGAGGGATGGAGAATGCCAGCCAGCTCAAACCAACGCCTGTCACTTACGGAGAGCTGTTGAACATCTCCACCAACTACACCCATGAGAATTTCACGTCCAAAGCGGAGGAGAAGGACGCTAATTTGGCTTTCCAGGCGGGTGTAGCCGTGACCTTAGCGCTCATAACTTTCGCCACCACGCTCTCCAACGCGTTCGTCATCGCCACCATTTACCAGTCCCGCAAACTCCACACCCCGGCCAACTTCCTGATCGCCTCCCTGGCCGTCACGGATCTGCTCGTGTCCATCTTGGTGATGCCCATCAGTGCGCTCTACACCGTCAGTCAGACGTGGACGCTGGGGCAGGTGGTGTGTGACATCTGGCTCTCCTCGGATATAACGTGCTGCACCGCGTCCATCCTCCACCTGTGCGTAATTGCGCTCGACCGCTACTGGGCCATCACGGACGCGGTAGAATACTCCAAAAAGCGCACGCCGGCGCGCGCAGCAGGGATGGTGGCCACCGCCTGGGTGATCGCTATCTCCATCTCCCTGCCGCCTTTCTTCTGGCGCCAGGTGAAGGCAGAGGAGGTGACGACCTGCAACGTGAACACGGACCACATTTTCTACACCATCTACTCCACCTTCGGCGCGTTCTACATCCCTACGCTGCTGCTCATCGCGCTTTACGGGAGGATCTACGTGGAGGCACGGAAGCGCATCCTGAAGCAGTCAAGCAACAAGCCCGGGAAGAGACTCACCTCCGCGCACCTGATTACCAACTCCCCCGGCTCGGTGGCGTCCACCACCTCCCTGAACTACGGGACGAACGACACCTCCTCCTGTGACACTACCTCGTCCGCGAACGTGAGCCAAGTCAAAGTCACTGTGTCTGACGCGCTGCTGGAGAAGAAGCGCATCTCTGCTGCGCGCGAAAGGAAGGCGACCAAAACTTTGGGAATAATCCTGGGAGCCTACATCATCTGCTGGCTGCCCTTCTTCATCTACACTCTCTTAGTGCCTGTGTGCGAGTCCTGCTTCCACCCGGAGTTATTTGACATTTTCACCTGGCTCGGTTACCTCAACTCCCTAATCAATCCCATTATTTACACCATGTCCAACGAGGACTTCAAACAGGCTTTCCACAAACTCATACGCTTTAAATGCTGCAGGGCATGAACGATGATTACCAGCCATAATAACACCCCCTACCCACCCTTCCTCATCTGTATAATGCCAGAATCGAATCATACCCACCACCACACACAAATCTCTCACTCCCCAGGTTCTCCCTGAGGGCAACACCCAGAATGTTTATGATAATGTGGCTGCATTATTAAGCATGCAGCTGACAGATGAAGCAGAGGACTGTGGAAACGTATTGACCTGTCATCCAGTCTGCGTTGTGTTTCTGAGTGGCTAATTCTTCCACCCTGGGATGCTTTTTTTGTGCAGAAAAGGGCGTCTGCTGTTGGTGCAGAGGAGACATGTCAGTGGATGTTACCATGCAGAAGCTGTGACTGGTTTGATTGTGGTGTTAGAGTGACTTGGAGAAAACCCATGGCCCCGGATGCAGGGGCCCCGCCTGTACGAGCTGCACAGGACTGCAGCCTGCAGACTCACTTTGCCATATGAGTTTGACAGTCAACGGTCGTTGGCTTGTAAGCACAAACAGCTTAAGACTAAGCTACCATGAGCCCTGCGGGCAAAAAATAAGTTTTGTGTTTCATTTTCCTGTCTCAATAAGGGGAAATATTGGTGCCTAACAAGTTTAGTTCAGTTCCTCAGACGTGCCTGGCCCAGATGGAGGTAAAGCATGACTTCAGCTTGAGGAATAGAAACAGGTTTGGTTTGTTCTTGTGGCCAGTGTTTGTGTTTTCTTTTCCTTTTCTTTCTGCGTCTGATATCATTTGAAATAAGGTCCCAAAATGAGTGTAAATGTAGTATGCATCAGTGTGATTTTTACCTTTATTTGCAAAAGAGTCTGGATTCTGCTTGGTTGAATGGGAATCTCACTGTAAAAAATTACTGAGGGAATGAAGAGCCGATTCTATCCACCAGACCTCTTGTTAAAGATGCATTCTTATTGTGAATATTAGCTTTGATGTTCCATTTCATGTCAGGATAATTCCAACCCAACATTCAGTAAAACAGGGCTGACAGAGCATGGTTCCTACAGTCACCTCCTGGAATTTGGCATTTGTTTCCTTCATGGTTCGAGAAGGACTTTTAAAAATGGTGGAAAATGTCACAGGATTCTGATTGAAATCACCATTTACCTCCCTCTAAAGCATCACATGTTAAATGTCAAGCTTTGGCTGCTGCTGAACTGTTAAAAGCACATTTAAAAAGAGGAGAAGAAAAATGCTTCTTTGCAGGTTGTCTGTAAAGTAGTGAACAGGAGGATGCTGAGTTCACGTCCTTTCACATTTCTTTTGTGAAGTAAACAAACTCCAGGGGGTTCAATTGCATACAATTTACTCTTGGGGGCTTTTAGGGGTCTGGTCAGCAACTTCTTTTGTTCCAAAAAGCCTAAATTTAAATGTGTTTTGCCTTGTAATTTCAATATTCTAAAATACAGGTCCTATTTTCTAAATATTTTAGGTGTAAAAGACCAGAATAAGAAAAAAAAATGGCACTGTGAGCAGGAATTGCTCGTAGTGAAACAGGCTATCTTGGTTGCATTGTTATTATTTGGGGAATACCAGCCCAAGCAAAGTATTAAAGCTGAAACAGTAGCTTTTTCTGTCACCTGCAGGCTCAGATTGTTAATTAAAGTGTCTGATTATTACAGACACAATCCCTGGAAAGACAGAGCTTTAGTTGGAGAGTAAGACTCTTACTTGACCTCTGAAAAACTCTTTGTCAAGCCACTGATGTCCACTGGCAAAGTTGCGTTTTTACATTGAAGATCAAAGAAATCCACATAATGCATCCCAAATTTACTGCTGGTGGTGACATTCGGACCCACACCTGAGCTTCATGTAATTAAAACATCAGTACTATTAACTGCAGCTGCACCATCACTGTATCATCAGTGGTATCAGTATTAGCAGATAAAAGCTTAAAAAGTCAATTACTGGTATTGACACATATGAAAAATTCTGCAGACATGATTAAAGGCTGATAAGGTGATGCATTAATTATGTACACACAATAATAGCTAATACATTTTGGTTGCATGGAAGTCTGTTTAGGTGGTGGAAATGCCCAATTCTATTTTTAGTTATTTAAGTTGATAAATATATCAGCCAAAACAAGTCTAAAAATATCAGCATAAATCCAATATTATAGCTACTTCTCTACAATTAACCCTACTACTTTTCAAACAGTCACAGGGACATGGCAGGTAAAATACAGCTGCAGAAGCTGAAGCATCATCCACTGTAGCATAAATAGGCAAGTGAGGAAAGTTTGCTTAAAATGCTAAAAGATCATATAATGGTATCTACTGGCAGTGTGTGTGTTATACTCCCAGAGATAGACCTCTTTTAAAGATGATTGTTCCAACCAAAAATGGCTTTTACACGGATTCCCACTAAAGCAACTAAAGCAACATAAAGCAACCAGACTTAACTGACAAATATGCAAATTTTAGCTGGAAAACATGGGAGAAACATTATTTTTCAGCCATTGTGTGCTCAGGCATACTGTTTTTGATCTTACTCACTAATTGACACAATAGGTCAAACCAACTACCTAATTGATAACGAGGTAGAGCAGAAAATGTAGCCTGATACAATATAAAAGTTACAGTTTTTGTCAAGGAGGGTAATGTCAAAGAAAGTTATGTAAGAGAATGTTTTTAGGTGTACAAATGGCCTATCTCCATTACGATCCTTATGTAATGATATGCATTGCTTAAAGCTCCTGTGAGGAACTATTGGCTTGCATCCATTTTGGCGCCCCCTGTGGACAAAGCAGTCTTTGGTCATTTCACCCTTTACATGCCTAAATAGTGTCTTCTAACGAAAAAATCACCTCCTCCTGACTTTTGAAAGTCAAATATATAATTAAGTGTGAATATTTTGTGTAGAAATTGTAAAAAAAAACAGGACTGTTTCTTTGGCTGAGTGACTGACACCTTTAAGACATCTAAAATTACAATATAAAAATGGTCGGACTTGGTTTTAAAGGTCTTGTTTGCATCAATATTTCAAAAACATTAAAAACTCCTCTCATGAGCTTTAAAACTGCAATCTGGGCCCAACAGTCAGAACACAAGAACCTTCAGTCAACACACTTTGACTAGGATTGTGTGGCAGCCTTCACACCTATATTCAGACTTTGGTGGTACCAAACGTTTTAGATGTGCTTCAGTTTAATATTTTTTATTTAGACCCCAAAAGAAATGAGTATGGAGCCCATTTTTAGATGAGGATGGTGTAGCTTTTAAGAGGATTTACCGAGGTCCCTAATGAAATAAAAATCCTGACTTGGTGGCGAAAATGTTTCAGCGAGTACAGAGGGTCTAATTTGGAAAAGAATTTGCTAGCTGGCTCCTGAATCTAAGCTGGATGTAAGCAGAGAAATATGTGTTATCTCTGTGTGGACAGAGTTGAGCTCTATCAGGAAGAGAGTGCACAGTGCAGCTCTGTGCATGATGAAGTGGTAACTTTAACAGCTCACCTCTGAAAAATGAGAGCAAACTGCCGAGAGCTACAACAGGTGTTTTTTCACTTTAATATCATAAGGCAATATCATTTGTGAATTTGACATTGAGCTTGAGCAGGTATCTGGGCAAATCATGTGTGATTCTTGGTGCGGCTGCAATCCATTTATAGTCAAGTCCCTGCAGAGAAACTAACACTTGCGTAAGCTCTGGGAAAATTGGCCTCCTTCTGTCTAAAATCGCGCCTATAGTCCTGCTAATGTGATAAAAATGCTAAATGTGAAGGAAACCTGTCCCAGCAAGAAAATCCTGACAAACTGGCTCATCGGCTTTCTTGCAGAGAGATTGATATGTTCGATGATACCATCCTCTACCTGCACTCAAAAAGTGCTCCAATGTTAAACCAATTCCTTCTTACAACACTGTGAGACTGATTTATGTAAAATAGGGATTAAAACCAGTGCAGCAGAACCAGAGATGGCATCTAAGTTTCACTATAGTACATCTAATGTCAAATCCTGACTCCTGCTTTATGCACAATTCAGTCTGACTGTTGACAATTCAGTTTACTTGCACTAACAAGGGCTTCTCTTGCCTAGAGAAAGGCAGCTGGCTATACAGTTCTCGAAAGCTCTTTTTTTTTGCTTTGCATCACTGTGTCTCAACTTCAACCATGTAGTCGTCAGCCCAAATCAACCCTGACTCAAGAGACATTACTCGAGGACATTTATCTGACCTAAATAGGGTCACCTAGAGACACTGCAGACTTTAGACAACTTGATTTCCCAATATATGGACACAGACTGGCAGCTGGGTGAAATACATGGAGTGTCCTTGTATTTGTTGCGTTAGCAGTGATTATCCTAGCTTAGCCTGATGACCGGGAGCAAAGGGAAACAGCAAACCCGGCCTTCTTTAGAGTTATAAAACAACAACTATCTGCTATCTACTGCGTGTTCCAATTCATATTAAGCTAGCACCCCCAGCTAAAGCTTATCCGGTGTCGATTTATTTCCAACTTTCACTGTATTGTCAAACGCCTGTTCTCTGTCTTAGCTTTGTAAGCTGAGCTAGTTACCACCAGGATCTGGGCCTGTTATGAGACGCCACCACCAACTTTTATGCCACAGATTAGCTTCTGTTACCAGTTGCAAAAAAGTAGCTGAAGGTTAAGTGGGCAGAAATGGGGATACTTAGTGACCTCTAGTGGTCAGATTCTAGATTGAAAGCTTCCTTGCTCACCAATTCTGCATGTGAAGGGACAGAGGCCTTTCAGGACTATGAGCTCTTGTGATGCACAAGTATAATCCTCCATTTGTCATATGTCTATCTTAAAAATGTGTCAAAAAATGTAAATATTTATATGTATACCTAGTACAAAAAGTCATGTGACTAGTTTGTCCATTCTGCTTAATGACGTTGCTGAACTAGGCCTCTGTAGAAGGTGACCCTCCCCATGTGTAGTTGTAAAAGACTCTAAGTTAAAACATTCATTTTAAGATATTTAAATCATATTCTGCTTTACGTAGGGCTTGTTTTTGTCCCTCTTATGCAGAAAATCGAGCTG